ATTTAACCGAAAAGTATTTTCTTCTTCTTTTATTCCACGTTTCGTTTCGTTCCATGTTTTCTCGGCGGTACAGCGGCGGCCATTTTTAAGTGCGCGCGAAAACGGCGCGAAAGATACGAACGCAATTTCCATGCACCGTGGGAGTTGGTTATATTAGTCCTGCTCGTAACGAACACGGTTCTCGTTTGACAGGCTTGTCACGCGTCGTCTGGGGAATCGCGGGACTAATTTGCGAGATCGTTCGATCTCCAAGACGAGTCACGAACGAGAAAACGCGTCATTCGACCCCGAATCTAACTTCGATTAAATTCGGGTTTGGTCGTTTTGGCGCGACACCGATAATCCTGCACGAGTCACCGCCCCTATTCGATCAATCCCAGGGTAATTAAGAACGTTCTTCCATGTCTTGCGTGCCAACGAAACTTACAAAAGCTGTCGATACGAGTTTCAGATTCCTAAAGTTTTAAACTTGCAAGACTTTACAGTATAAAAAATAGAAATATTTGTTATTTTGTAGTATTTCCAATGGCAATGAAGTTACTTAAGAATATAGAGGGTGTTCTTTTTAATGGAAGATTCTAGAGGGCAAAATAAGACGAAAATCAAGAATACCAATTTGTTGATGGAGGCTTCGTTAAAATGTTATTAACAATTAAATTCCAAAATTTCAAATCGTTCTGGAAAAATTATTTTTGGTTGGAGGGGTGAATTACAATCATTTTTGGTGAATAGACATACCCCCGAAATTCTACGCATTTTCGAGAAAAAAATTCGAGAAGGTGTGAAATTTTTCGACGAAGAAAAAAAATTTCTAATCGTTCTAAAAAAATTATTTTCGGTTGCAGGGGTTAATTATAATCATTTTTGCTGAATACACATACCTCCGAATTCTTATCCATTTTCGAGAAAAAAAATCGAGAAGATGTGAAATTTTTCGACGGAAAAAAAAATTTCAAATCGTTCTGGAAAAATTATTTTCGGTTGCGGGGGTCAATTACAATCATTTTTTGTGAATAGACATAACCCCGAAATTCTGCGCATTTTCGAAAAAAAAATTCAGTACCTACGGAATTTTAAACGTTAATAACTTTTTAACAAAGCCATTAAAATACACCCTGTATAATCTTTAAGGTTCATTTATTGTAAGCGTTTTAAAAACACGTTGTAAATCGAAGCGCCGGTCACCGGTGACCACTATGGTAGTCAACGCGTTGAATGACGTCGAAACGGATGAAAGGAACCCCGTGGGTCGAGATTGCGGAACGAGAGAATCATGGACGAGGTTCTTTCAGAATTTCATCTTCGCAGTTCGTCGAGCAACGTCGTTTCTCGTGAAAAATTTCGGGGACAACGAGCATCCTGCAGACGATGGCTACGAGGACCGACGTCCCCGGTAGGAAATACCAGTTCCGTTTCCGTCTACGGGACCAAGATTGCGTTGTCGAGCGGCTCGCGTAAACAAAGCGAAGGAACATCGTCGTTCCTGTCCCGATCTTGCTTTCACCGACGACAATACGGTCGACGGTATCACGCTCGAGTAAATATTAAAAATTGCACGGAGATCTATTTTCCCGCGACGTAATCTCGTTGAATAAGATAAACGTCTGTAGAGAAAAAAAAAAAAGAAAAAAATTGCCAGGAGATCGCGGTCTGATAGCGAGGGAGGCTCGACGGACTCGACGAACGTTCGTCTAATTCTCAGCTTAGGAAACCCTCGTGATTCCGCATCGTCCACTCGATGACACGGGATGCTCTCACGATGCGCTAAACCCCGATAATTTCCACTTCGTAGAACGCTCGAATCCCACGCTGGCGTGTCGACGCATTCATCCGACCGATCCGGACGACAATTTCGCTCCTCCGTTTCCCTCCGACTACACGGGGCTCTTAATCGTTCGTTCGAAATGCTCGGGAATGGTCGCGGATCGTTTGCATAATATTTTAAAAGAGATCCGTTCGAGCAGCTCCCGGCGATTCCGAGTCACGTCGCACAATGACGCTTTGTAACGAGAGGCTGGCGAAAACACGGATTTTCGAAGGGTAAAGTAGATCGGTAGATAAAGTAGATTTGCATGGCACTTTTGTTGCGCGCGGATAATATCACGAATTAGGTAACGGATAGAAAAGAAACTGTAGAACGTCGTTTTAAATAAAGTATGCTAATCGTTATTGTCTTCGAAAGAAATAATCGTACAGGAAATTAACGGAACGATATTAATCGGTTCCTTCCGTTTCCGCGCGTAGTCACGTCCAACGCGTTTGGCCCGCGCCATTTTTCCGCGCCAAAATATAAAACAAGCTTATGTACGCTTTATCTCGAAGTTATTACTTGTGCTCGCGATTTGGCCACGATCCATCGCCCGGAAAAGTTACACTGGTGAGTTATTACGAAGCACGTACCGTGCACAGGATGTTGAGGCAAGGGGTCGAACAATCTAGAGTCGTAATAATTTCTAAAATACAACGGTTTCTCGCACGAAGATTCCATGAGAACACTATTGCTCTTGATTACTAGAACGAAAGTGGTTCATTGAGAGTATTTGCACTCCTTGATAAATAAGGGATGTATTTTATCGAATACTTCGTCGAAGCTAACATTCAGGTCAGATGTATCAATAGTTCTATTGTAAGATGTATAAATAATAATAAGACCCCGTTAAAGTAATGGCTGGGGTTGGAGGTTACTTACGCGTTTGTATGAAATATTTCTCGTTCCCCGGGCATGGATGGAAATATACGTAAATTTTATTAAAATCCTTGGATATTTCCGGGGAAACGGCGAATCTGTAAGTGCTCGGAAGGCGGTCGACGCATTTGTATTTTCACTTCGCGGATAGAGACGGAGGGAAAAGGACGACTCGGACAAACTGGGTTACTCGAGGACGATTCCCGGGGAACATCACCCTCGGCTTGGCCGGAGATATTTCCGGCAGTGCCGACTAACTCGCCGCCCGCCACGAACAATTTTCCCTTATTGTCCTACTAATCGTTATATGTACACCCGCATGGCGAAACTTTTTGACGATACGTTCGCCCCGTTCCGGAATGGTCGTCACGCACCAATCAATCAAGATACCCAAAACGTATCGTACCCTTATGATTCTCGCTCAACGCCTCTTGATGCAATTACACAACGTACACAAGATCTCACTCACTGTTATTATAACTATGCATTTAACTGGAAAAACATACGATACTAGGTTAGTAAACCCATTCGACACTCACTGTTATTATAAGTATGCATTTAATTGGAAAAACATACGATACTAGGTTAGTAAACACGTTCGACTCTCACTGTTATTATAAGTATGCATTTAATTGGAAAAACATACGATTCTAGGTTAGTAAACCTCTTCGACTCTCGTTAACCGCGTGCACACGCTTAACTTTCGTTCCGTGTTCCGTGTTCCGTATTCCGTATTCCGTGTTCCTTTCACCCCTTTCGTACCAACATTACATTCTCAATTACTTTCATATAATTGTCACCAACTTGTTTCCACGCACTTTTGTCAACCTGCATAGTTTCTACGCACTCGTGCCAACTACGCAACTGATACATATCCTATATCTGTCACTCTTTCGATCCCAAACTGGCATGCATAACCTCACTTATACTATAAAAAGAATTTTGCACAGTTTATGACCCGTCGATCCTTTCTTATCGACACGAAGTTGAGATCTTGAAAAATCATTGATCACTGAATCATTGATCATTGAAAATCACTGAATTTTTTTCTCGAAAATGCGCAGGATTTCGAGGGTATGTCTATTCACCAAAAATGATTGTAATTGAATCCCCAAACCAAAAATAATTTTTCCAGAAAGATTTGAAATTTTTTTTTCCGTCAAAAAATTTCACACATTCTCGATTTTTTTTCTCGAAAATGGACAGGAATTCGAAGGTATGTCTATTGACCAGAAATGATTGTAGTTGACCCCTGCAACCGAAAATATTTTTTCCAGAACGATTTGAAATTTTTTAATTTTGCCGAAAAATTTCAGTACTTGATCGAATTTTTTTCTCGAAAATGGATAGGAATTCGGAGGTACGTGTATTCACTAAAAATGATTATAATTCACCTCTCCAACCGAAAATAATTTTTCCAGAACGATTAGAAATTTTTTTTTTCGTCGAGAAATTTCACACCTTCTCGATTTTTTTTCTCGAAACTGGGTAGGATTTCGAAGATATGTATATTCACCAAAATGATTGTAATTAACCCCCACAACCGAAAATATTTTCTCCAGAACGATTTGAAATTTTTTAATTTAATTGTTAATAATTTCTTAACGAAGCCTCAATCAAGAAATTAATATTCTTGATTTTCGTCTTATTTTGGCCTCTAGAATCTCCCATTATTTTACCTTTAACGATAAGGGTCAGTAACGACGATTAAAGAGAAAATTGGCATGTAAAAACGACCTTTAAAGTGTCAGGTGCCAATCGCGAATATCTTCGACCTTCGACGGTTATTCTAAAAAAAAAATATGTAATCTTAACGCTCGTAGGCAGGGATTTAAAGACGTATCTTTGCGTCTTCGATGATACGATCCACTCGACGTTGATTGTGTGAAATACGAAGCGCCTGATTGTGGACCCTTCGACGGGCGAAATATTCCGTGGATTTTCGTAACGAATCGACGTTCGAATCGATGAAAAAGTGGTGGGAAAGGCTAAGGGAGAGGACACGAACGTTCGTGCCGCGAGATAACACGCTCTCGACGCGGTTCGTGACACGTGCGTATTAATTGAGCGCCGATTGATCGATAGCTCTCTCGAAAACTAGATTAAAAGCCCCTGATAATAGTTTTATTACGCGTCTCTTGACCTCCTCTGTGCCGCGCTTAATATATATCGGTGTTAAATATCGGTCGAAAAAACGGGTCGTGATAAGCCACTCGAACGGACCGTGGAAAAGATTTCAGATTAGCTTCGTGAGATCGCGCGATTGTCAATTGACGTCTCTGATTTTTACTATAAATTCCCGTGCCGTGTGTGTTGGCTTTTCTATCACAGCACGCGGCGCCATCGACCACACTAGGATAAAACTTCCGGCAATGGAGAAGTTGCTCACGATTCTCGCCATCGTGGCGTTAGCGGCCGGTAAGTTTTTAAATATTCGAACGAACTTTCGTTTCCGCGACCACTCGCGGGCCCTCAGGGATTCGCGGCCAACGGGGAAATCTCTCGAACCATACGCTACCCGTCGTTCCTTTCGCCCGTGTCCCGAAATTCCCGGTCAAACTTTCGAAATTTTAACCGTCCATTTGCCAAATCGATTCTGGTAAAATTGCCACTTTCACAAAGTTTGACGTAACATTTCTACAGGTCTAAGAAAAAATTCCTGCGCGACAGGTTAGGGTCAACTCGATCGGTAAAGCGTCGATATAGTGCAAATATGCTTCTGTAAATAAAGTAACACACGGATGATGTTTTCTAGTCGAATCACTCGAAAAATAGCTTGTCGCTGATATGCTTACCTTGCCGTTATACTGGCTCCTCTGTGGAAGACACAGTGTCTAATTTTAGCACTTTCGCGATGACTCCATTGTCTACTCGGGTGCCCCGTGGAATACTCTGGAAGAGTTCACTTACGAAAATCTACGAAATGCTATTCAAACTATAATGGTACAAACTTGCTCCTACAGCCTTATCGAGGCTCTGACGTAACTAGACTCTGGGTATGTTTCGACCAGTTAGAAAACGTTCATTTTCCTTTTACGTTCGTATCAAGATATTCTGTAAATATTCTGGTGGAAAATAGGGTGAAAATTACCCTCGACTGTTACTCTTACTGTTACTGTTACGCTGTAGTACTTAATAAAAGGAGAGAATATTTTTCAACTAAGAAGTGGTACTCTGTTCTGCGCTGACCGCGACAGCGCAACTTCCCGCGCTCGCCGCCAGGGGGCTACGTTCCTCCCGCAACTGCTCGACCAACCACCTATTCCTACATATACGCTCCTCCTATCGACTATCCAATGGCGTCTCAGCGGGCCCCGGACGAAATGCTCCTGCTCCTCCTTGCTATCACAGCAAAAAAACAAAAGTCGCCATGGAAAATATATTCTAAAAAGTAAACGTATGCTTTTCAGGTAACCCCGTAAACGTAACCCGGACCGACGAGATCAGTCTGAGGATGGACGGGCGTATCGTGGGCGGCGAGGAAACCACCATCGAGCAAGCTCCGTATCAAGTGAGCTTGGAGAAATTAAGATCCAACAAGTTGTTCACCCACGCCTGCGGGGGTAGCATAATCTCGAAGAACTGGGTGGTAACCGCGGGCCATTGCGTCGACTCCAAAATTCTATCGAATTACCAAATCCGGTCGGGTTCGACGTACGTCCACCAAGGCGCGGTTCACCGAGTGCAGAAAGTGGTCAGACACAATAACTTCGAATCCGAGGGCAGCATCCCCGTCAACGACATATCGCTGTTTCGCGTGGTGGACGCCGACGCGTTCAAGTTCAACGACCAACGGAAGGCGGTGCCATTGTTTTCCGGGAATGTCGAGAGTCTGGCTGGAAAGAACGCGATAGTCACCGGTTGGGGAACCACCGACGACATTGACGAACCGTCCGCGCTCCGCAAAGTCTCGGTACCGGTGATCACGGCAAAATCGTGCAACGAGGCGTACGAAGAGTTGTACGATAGAATACCACCGGGTCAAGTTTGCGCCGGTCTCATGAAGGGAGGGAAGGATGCCTGCCAGGGTGACTCTGGTGGTCCCTTGGTCGTATCTGGACAACTCGTCGGTATCGTTTCTTGGGGAGTGGGATGCGGAACACCCAACTACCCGGGAGTCTACACGGACGTGTCTTACTATCGCCAATGGGTCAAAACCACCAGCGGAGTCTAATCAAGCTGACTAAACGTGGTTGGAAACTCAAAAGACGATGGCAACTATCCGATCACGTTTACGGCAACTCAAAAGTGTTCCTAATGTTCGCTGTTGAAACTTTCAACAGAAAAGATGTGTACGCGTTAGAGTTAAGTTCTCAAAATAATTTAACTATTGTTGAATCCGATACTTTTTGTAAAAATTGTACCAAAATAGGATTGTAAGAACTAAATTACATTATGTCTTTCAAATTTGATCCCCTTGTTTTAATTCCCAGAACTGTATCCTAGAATAAGTTCGGTATAAGGGTTTGTTATGATCAGCTGCCTGTTATATGGGAACTCAAATTTTTTCAGAACGATTAGACATTTTTTTTCCGTCGAAAAATTCAGGCGCCGAATTAGATTTTTGGTAAGGAATTTTTTTCTCGAAAATGCGTAGGATTTCGTGGGTACGTGTAATGATAAAAAATGATTCTAATTGACCCCTGCGAGCGAAAATAATTTTTTTAGAATGATTTGAATAATTTTTTTTTCGCCGAAAAATTTCACATATTCTCGAATTTTTTTCTAGAAAATGGGTAGGATTTCGGGAGTATGCGTATTCACCAAAAATGATTGTAATTGACTCCCGCAACCGAAAATAATTTTTCCAGAACGATTTGAAATTTTTGAATTTAATTGTTAATAACTTTTTAATGAAGCCTCCATCAACAAATTGGTATTCTTGATTTTCGTCTTATTTTGGCCTCTAGAATCTCTCATTAAAATTTTTCCCAGGTTTGGCCGAACACCCTGTATAAGCATGAAGAACTGGGAAAAGAGGATTTATTTATTTATTTAACGGAGTGATCCCTTTAGCATACGTGATTACAAAGAATGCAACAGGAAATGCGAGCATATCTTTAGTTCGTAAAAAATTCTAAATGTACAATAAGACCAATATATTTTGAAAATGATAAAGAGTTGTTGATTTCTACCTGTATTCGATAAGAACGTACCCTACCGTGTATTTACATAGATCTAATCTTAAATCAACTAAACTGTCTGCCTATAACGGTTCGAACTACAGAATCGGATCAGAATGGTCAGTTAATCGAATGACAATCTACGATAAACTTGATCTCAGCCAGCGTACAACAATGCGTCTCATAAAGCTGTACTAACGCGTTTATCTGCTGCGTGACAGGCCCCATGATGCACTCGACGATTTTACAGATTACATATGAACAAAACAAGCCGGAATTATATACGAATTTTTGTTTATAATTGTTGATGAGGTCAGGATATAAAATAATAAACATAGACACAAAACGAACAAAATACGAATTTATATAAAAGCAAAACTATGGCAGTACACGAACGTTCCGTTGGACATGAAAATATGTAATGCGACGGTCGCTCGTCGCAACGAAACATTCGAGACAAAAACAAAAATTTGTAACTCGAACATTCTCAGCGGGCAATGAAAATACATGTATCCAGTGCCTGAGAAATAATCTCGTCCTTTTTCTTAACAATAATTTTTCGTAAGTAATGGTACATTTAAATAATAAATTCAAACGAGTATGAATAGACCTATATTTTATGTTATTTTATTTTATTTCCCACAGCTTCGGTACTATTTATTTTCTTTGCTCGTAAAACAATAAACAAATCGTATTTTTAATTAACGTTATCGGGCGCGTAGACGCCGTCCGTTGACTCATTCGCAAATACATATCCCGGTTCGCCCAGACGGACGAAACAAAGGAACACGGAAGAAACCGTCTCGATCGAGACGCGCATTGATTAATTTTTTTTTAATAATGCCTTGAAATGTACAGATTAACGGGCTTAACGATTCTTAATCTCGTTTTCCCGCGAAACGTACGAATCTTATCGTGCGAACGTAACGATGCACTCTGTGCGTCGACGGTGTTTGTTCTGCATGTCCTATTTTCGTATAAATACATCCGGAATATCGACGAAACGACACAACAAACCGAGAAGCCGAACCAAGATGATCTATCAACTGAGCCTACTCACGCTGGCGGCGCTCGCCACAGGTAACACAGCCTTCGTTCACGAAATTACTTTTTTCTCTCCGATTTTGATTTCGCCGCTCGATCGATACTTGGATGCCTTTTCCTACAAAAGTTTATCGCATCGTGACTCTAACTATCCGAGAAAAAATTCACGGTTATTACCTCTTTCGGCCACGATCGATACCATCGAGCCCCCGTGGGCTTTTCGTACGAGCTTATAGCGCCGAAATTAAAGTCGGCAAGTCTCGGGCTCCTAGCTGTAATTACCACATTCGGATATTACCTCGACCCCTCCCAAGGGTAGCACTGGTTGGAGCTCGAACTTGATTTTATTAAAGTGAAAATAGATATATTTACTGGTCGTTTTTTATTCCACCAAATTAACACCCACTTATCAAATTGTGCCTAGTAGGAGTTTGCATGGGCCTGCACATAAATTCCAAAGGGTTAGAAGATCATTTTTGATTGTTTTTTTGCAGGAAACCCGGTGAACCCAACCTCTCTGCTGAACCCGTTGACGCCAACCGGTCAGATAGTGGGCGGGGACGCGGTGAGCATCGAGCAAGTCCCGCACCAGGTGTCCCTCCAAAGTTCTGGCTTCGGTTTCTGCGGCGGCAGCATCATATCGGACCAGTGGGTGGTCACCGCCGCCCATTGTATGGTCTACCCGGCCGATTGGATCACCGTACGCGCCGGGACCGCCACCAAATCGTCCGGCGGCACGTTGCACAAAGTCTCGGAGGTGATCGTGCACGAGAGTTACTCGACCAACTGGTACGGAGTGCCGGAGAACGACGTGGCGGTGATGAGAGTCAGCACGCCGTTCAAGATGGACAGAACCCGGCAGCCGATCGAGCTGTTCAAGCAGAACGAGGAATCTAGGGAGGGGATCAGCGCGTCGGTGACCGGATGGGGCGCGATCAGAGAGGGCGGTAGTACCACCGACGTCCTTCAGGCGGTCAACGTTCCCATCGTGTCGAAGAAATCTTGCAACGAGGCGTACGAATCTTATGGTGGAGTCCCGGCCGGGCAGATCTGCGCCGCGGTGCCCGAAGGAGGAAAGGACGCATGCCAGGGCGACTCTGGCGGCCCTCTGACCATCGGCGGTCGTCTCGCCGGTCTCGTGTCATGGGGCTACGGCTGCGCACGGAGAGGTTACCCAGGCGTTCACACGGAGGTCGCCGCCTTCAGCAACTGGATATCCTCCAAGACCGGAGTTAAGGTCTAACACTCGAATACAATTTTTGGCCTACTTGGAACCCCCCTTACGACAATGTCTTGTAGTTTTTAATTTACTTTTTGTATGTTTTTAATTTGTCCTGCACTTGCTGGACTGGGACTAATAAATACTGCATTTCTATAATACACGATTTCAACCGATTATTTAAAAATTCTGACCATCTCCAACTATCTTTACATCCATCATATACAGAAGTAAGGAATTTTTTTCTCGAAAGTGCGTGGGATTTTGGGGGTATGTTTATTGACCAAAAATGATCATAATCGACCTCGGTAACCAAAAACAATTTTTTTAGAACTATTTGAAATTTCTTAATTTTGTCGAAAAATTTCACACCTTCTCGAATTTTTTTCTTGAAAGTGGCTAGGATTTCGGGGGTATGACTATTGACCAAAAATGATCGTAATCGACCTCGGTAACCAAAAATAATTTTTTTAGAAGTATTTGAAATTTTTTAATTTTGTCGAAAAATTTTCCACCTTCTCGAATTTTTTTCTTGAAAACGCGTAGGATTTCGGAGGTATGTCTATTGACCAAAAATGATCGTAATTGACGTCTGCAACCAAAAATAATTTTTTTAGAACTATTTGAAATTTCTTGATTTTGTCGAAAAATTTCACACCTTCTCGAATTTTTTTCTTGAAAGTGGCTAGGATTTCGATGGTATGTTTATTCACCGAAAATGATTGTACTTGACCCCTGCAACCGAAAATAATTTTTCCAGTAAGATTTGAAATTTTTTTTTTCGCCGGAAAATTTAGGCACCTACCCCCTGTCAATTTTTAATAAATTTATTTGATGCTGTACAGAAACTTTGTTTAATACTTTTTTGTAGGTACACATGAGCTCTACTTTAGACAAAATTTCATTGAAATATATTCACTATTGTAGGAGTTATGGCTGTTTGAAAATTGGTCCATTTTTATGATGTTTGTCTCACTTTACGGGGTTAAGGAGCAACTTTTCGAATATTTTTGTAATTTCTACATATTCTACACCCAAATACGCGTTGTTTGCATTTTGAAACATTAAAATCGTCCAATCCGTTCAGAAGTTATGATGTTTCAAAGATTCCCATCTTTCGGAGGACCATTTCTGGCCAGAAATGATATTTTCGGTAAGGAATTTTTTTCTCGAAAACGCGTAGGAATTCAGGGGTATGTCTAATCACCAAAAATGATTGTTATTGACCCCCGCAACCGAATATAATTTTTCCAGAATGATTTGAAACTTTTCAATTTCGTCGAAAAATTGCAGCACCTATTCGAATTTTTTTCTCGAAAACGCGTAGGAATTCAGGGGTACATCTATTGACCAAAAATGATTGTAATTGACCCCCGCAACCGAAAATAATTTTTTCAGAACGATTTGAAATTTCTTAATTTTGTCGAAAAATTTGTCCACTTATTCGAATTTTTTTCTCGAAAACGCGTAGGAATTCGGGAGTATGTCTATTCACCAAAAATGATTATAATTGACCCCTGCAACCGAAAATAATTTCTCCAAAACGATTTGAAACTATTAAAATTCGCCAAAAAATTTCGGTACATATTCGAATTTTTTTCTCGAAAATGCGTAAGATTTCGGGAATATGCGTATTCACCAAAAATGATTGTAATTGATCCCCGCAACCGAAAATAATTTTTCCAGGAGGATTTGAAATTTTTTAGAATCTCCTAAAATCTCCCATTAAAATTTCCCGTAAAATAAATAAATATAGAACCTTGTCTGGTATAAAGTTTTTTTTGCCAGAGATTTCTTTTCCTATCACGAACCGTTCGACCCTTTGTCACCCTTGCAGGTTCCGTAGACGCGTACAGACGCGCAACGTGAAAAGTCTCTTTCACTTTCCGTTTTGGTAACCCGTCCCCGCCGCGAATCCGTTTAAGGTCGAAATTAATTCCACGTTAGCAAGGGAGGCCCCACAGTCAAGGTGCTCGATTCAATCTCGGCTAATGCGTTAACCCGATTCTACGGCGTCCGAGACGACGGGGAAGGCTATGGGTAAAGTGCACCTTTCATTAACAAATTGCACCGTATCATCGAGGCGACAGGGAAACGCACAGCTTCCGCGGAATTCCGGGCTCGCGCCAAAGAAAACTACCCCTAATAGAATTTAGAGACGTTGACCGAGTTCTGGGGGGGGCGACAATGCCTCCCCGCTGAAGCTCCGAGACAACGTCGTCGTCGATCGGAAGACGAGGATCGCGACGAGAGGACTCGAAAGGCGCGCACACACACACAACACACATATCACCACGGAGGCCACGCAATTACCAGTTGATTTACATTACTGCATCAAAGGCCCTGCCAAAATTCACCATCTGCCTCTGCCAAATAACAAACACAGACGGACACCAACCCTGGGGTGATTCGTTACTTTTTTACATCGAATATTTTGACGAGTATCGGTTACGGTGTCATAGGTTACGAGAACAGTGATCGAAGAGCGACTGAGAGACGACTCGTCGAGAGAAAACGAGTTCCAGTTTTATGTGGGTTAAAGACATGGTTCGATCTTGCCAAAGATTTTCCCGCCTCCCATTACTCGTTCGTCTATGCACAGACGATAATAAATGTTACCATTAAGGGAATCACTTGATCTCTATTCTACAGGATTCGCGAGATACCATCGATCACAAACTTGAAAATGGGGAGCTGTCGGAGAAACTCGTTTCGGTATCTGTGGCGATTTGCTATTTGTAGGAGGAAGTAACGAGCGAGATAGCTCGGAGGAAAGAAAAGTGCTAAAGCGAACTCATCGAGTAAGATAACACTGGCAGGTCCTGTCTTGGACGCTGGAATATTCTATGGTGGATCGAGGACCGTATATATAGGAATCGGTGACGTGTCGAGCAGCTGCGAGAGAGTCGAGAGCGTGGCCCTCTGGCGACGAGCGCGGTAGGTGTCGCCGCGCGTCGTTAAACTCGAGTACCAATCGTTCGATTGGCGATCGTCGCGAGAGGTGGACGATCGCGCCCCGGGAAGCTCCGGCGGCGAGCGTTTAAATGTAAGCACCGTTTTTTTTTTCTTCTTCGATTGTCAAAGGAGACCGAAACCGGCTGCCAAGAGCGTCAAGGGCCATCGAATTCGCAACTGGCCCATCGCGCCATGTGTCTCAATGCGGCCAAGTGCATCGCTCGCTGTCGCACCGTGCCATCCTTTGCATACACGCCGGTGCATATTGGACCGCGGCCAGCAAGGACGGAACTACCTCGAATAGCTATTCCGTAGGTAGCTACTCCCGATCGGAAATCGAGAAAATTTCCAACCAGAAATCTCGCGAATCGTCCTTAACCCTTTTAGTGCTGAACGACGATATATCGTTGCGTATGCGATGCTGCCTTATTCTTCGCATTAGGAGAAAGCTCTGTCTAAAAAAAAATTTACAAAACATTATAAAGGGTCTAATTTTATTACAAAAGCGTTTAAAAAATTATTTTTGGGTTTAACCCTTTGCCCCAGAACCAGCAACTGAACACTACTTTGTAAATAAGACGAAAATTAAGAATATCAGTTTCTTGACTGTGACCTTGTTAAAAAGTTATTAACGATTAAATTAAAAAATTTCAAACCGTTCTGGAAAAATTATCTTCGGCCCCGGGGGGTTAAATTACAATCATTTTTGGTGAATACACATACCCCTGAATTCCTACCCACTTTCCAGAAAAAAATTCGAGAAGGTGTGAAATTTTTCAACGGGGAAACAAAAATTTGAAAAAAAAAGAAATGAAGGAGGGGGGAGGTAACTACAATTATTAACAAACGCATTTATATGTTGTACAAAAAGTCACAAAATTCTAAGAAATTGTGTCATACATAATTGTTTTTCTACTCGAAATTAAAAAGCAGTCAAAATGACTTCCTTGGGCAATCCAGTGTTAACAAACTTCGAAACTAAAATTAAAATCATCCCTCTTTGCGGGTGAAAAAACTTGATTTATTAAACGAGAAAAAAAAATGGGGAAAAACAGGAGTAAAACTTGTTCGTCAAACTTGGTCGAACTTTGTTAAACTAGGGGTCCAAAGCTTTCGAGTTCGACAAATTTAAACAATATCGAGGGCTTCCGTTGATTCCGTACTCGATACATTACTTGTTGAAAGCTGCCTCCTCGTTGTGTAACTTTCGTCACCCGGGTTCATACTTACGATCATATTATATTTCGTTGTCCGTTATCGCGGATTCCTAGGATCGATGGCGCAAAGTTCGACGAACGAGAGAAAGGAGACGAGCGCAAACAGCCACGCGTACCGAGCAAGGACCAGTCGATAAATTATTTTTAGACCGTCCGGTTGGCCGGCGTGGAACTAACGATCGAACCTGGCGAACGAGGACGATTCGATCGAGGTCAATCGCGATTGCCCTGAGAGAAAACGATCCGTTTACCTTGAACGTCGGTACTCTTCAAGCCCCTTGGACGCGAACCGCCAGGCAAAGGACTCTCGACCAACCCCCTGGATATCGACGAGCGACAAGCTTTCTATTTTCGTGGTCGAAAATACGAACGTTTTCGGTTCGTTAAAGATTTCAACGTCCTCCCCGCTTGCTCTCAAGAAAATTCGTCGCGTCTGCTCCAGAGTTTGCGTTCCGTTCTAAAAATTTCAACAACCCCGTCCATCGTTGGATATAATAAATTACAGTCACGCTCTATTCCAATCGATATTTATAGAAGGCTCGATATTTATAGGCACGACTGACCTGATATTTATAAAGCCGATACAAGAGCGTGACATTTAAAAGAGAAAAAAAAAAAAAAAAAAGATGCATTTTCTCGACGCGAATGCTAGCGCGCGTCCCCGAGATTCTGCGGTGCCCTGGAAAGCGTACAGTCTGGCAAATTAATGTCTCTCGGACCAGTTGGAAATTCTCAATTTAATCGTACGTGTCTCTTGCTTGCTCGCCCTGGTGGAAAAGGGACCGGGCATAAAGGCAACGACCCAGCCAGCTATTTTCAACCAAGCAAGGATAATTCGATGTTAGATAGAAGATCGATAGCATCGTTTTCGTCATACCGGTATTTTCGAGTCGCTGTTCCTACGACGGTTCCTTGGACCCCGGAAAATACTGTCATAATATTTATAACCCCGGTGGCGCCTCGTCCGACATCGATTTTTAATCGTTACGATGAAGCAAGAACACTTACTCCATCTATATATGTCAGATATCGACAGACACCTGCGTTATCGATCCTCCAGCAATCACGACATCTTCCTTGCAATTAGCCAAACAAATATTATAGGTGTGACTCTCGTGCGAAGAAAGTTAATCTATTCCTACGATATAATTCCCAGCAAAAAAAACAATGAAACAAGAGACACTGTCCTCTGGCGATCAACCGTGATGCATTTCGTGGAAATCTCGTATATAAACCAGCGCGACGCTTACGAAAGCATCGAAAGAGCTTCTCTCCGTCCCTCACTCTCTTTCGAGGCTTTCTTTCGCGGTCGCTGGAAACCCGCTCTTCTTTGGCCGCCCGTTTTGTTTTTTTTTGCCAGCGGAATTAGAGAAACACCAAGCAGCAGGAGCAAACGGTGGTCACCGGTAAAGCGCGTGAACTTTTGACCTCGTCGCTAACGGCACGCATACACAACCCCCGATCGGACTACTTTTGCTCGAAATATTCCTATTAACCTCTCGCCGGTCCTTCGTCGAGCTGGCCTCTATTTCTATTATACTTTATTGCGTTTAACGTTGAGTTTTATTACGAGAGAGCCACGGGAGCACGCAACACGCCCAACGCGATAAGAGCAACGCCACGAACGTGCACCTCGGCGCTTCGAAAATGAATTTATTGCGGGCTAACGACAATGTTTCCGACGATTCGCGATCCCTCACAAGTCGTCGGGAAAAGTAAGTGGAAATAGTACTATTCTTGCACGTCGAAATTGCATTTAACGGGAAACAAAGCGATGGTCGCGCTTACGTGCATTTGTTTCGAACTAATCTATCAGCGTCTATTACACACTTACGAGAGCAACGGTATTTGTCACATAGTAATGGTAATGATGAAAGAAACGTTACAAGTTCGATATTTGATTCGAAACTACGCTCCGACAAAACACTTTCCTGTTCCTGAACAGATTGCGAAACTTACGCGCGCGAATGTGAGACACGTGGGGGTTACTCTTTGAGGTTAAGTGCAGCGGTATCGAGGTTTTATTTGTCACTGGTGAAATAACACTTCGATAGTGAATACATGTACGCACATGGTGCCACCTATTGGGACTCTTTCGAAAGATTTATAAGATTAGAACGGGGTACACAATTTCTCAGCAATTACTTATCGTAGAATAGCTGATTTACTGTATCGAATAGCGACGTATTACGAGAGGCCGTGTTAGATGCGGGCTAGACGCGACGTGTCGCTTATGACTGGAACGAATTCGTGAACACACGGACGATGGGATTAAAGGACGCGTATTAAAGCTATCGAGCATATCCCGGACTAGCGTCGAACGACGGATTAATCAACTTTCCGGCTACGGGTAGCGGATCGTTTTCGCGTATTGTCGGCAATGCAGGGGCAATCTGTCTATGACGTCACAACACGCGTAACACACGGATGAAATCGGCTGCCTGGTGCATATGCATAAATGAATATGTATGCAGGCGGGAACATCGACGACTCGCTCGACAGCTTCATCTTTGAAAATTTAATTAACCGCGTATACGTGCTTAACACCGAAGAAACCGATGCTCGCGTGGCTCGAGTGCCGCCGCGCGACGCCTCTATCGAACGTGTTTTATAAAACTGGAAATAAAGCATGACCATCGACCTTCGTTACACTCCTATTTACAGTTTTCTCTTTTTTCGCGGTTTATTAACTACTTCTCTGCACCGTCGCCCCGACGCTTTTGTCCTGCGGCCGTTTTTATCCGAGAAACCTCTCGAAAGGTCGCGGAAAAAGATTAAAACCAAGCCGGTTGCAAGCAAAAATATTTTCAACGTCGATGGTTTCGTGATAATTATTATATTTCGTAATCGTATAGCTCTTTTTATCCGAGAAATCTCTCGAAAGGTCGCGGAAAAAGATTAAAACCAAGTCGGTGCAAGCAAAAATATTTTCAACGTCGATGGTTTCGTAATAATTATTATATTTCCAAAATTATATTCTATAATCGTGTACCTCTTTTTATCCGAGAAATCTCTCGATAGGTCGCGGAAAAAGATTAAAACCAAGTCGGTGCAAATAAAAATAATTTCAACGTCGATGGGTTTTCTAATATTTATTATATTCTATAATCGTATATTTTTAATTTTTTTGTAAACAATGTGGAATCGTCCAGTTCGAATAAAATATATAAACATTGTTGAGATGATGGGAATGATGGAATCATCTTCCACGGATACGGTATTGTAGGTGTAATAGTTTGAACGTCGAATCGATATCGCGTTTCCCAATCGCATTGTTTACGATTCGAAGAGCGCAACGATCGAACGTGCCTCGTAGCGAGAGGATATGGCCGATCGCTTTGAATTCATTTCCTCTGGCGTCGGAGGACGGTCTCGATTCGTGCCACGATACCGGGTAATTGCAATCTTTGCCAGGTCGAATCACCTGTGGCCGTTCAGCTACGCAACCGTGTTTGCTTTGCCACGACCGACGCGAGACCACTTTAGTTCGATTGTCAATGGTTCGTTAAAGACACTGGTTTGCAGCGAAAATGTCGCTACAAAATGGTCTCTGCCGCCCTCTTACAGTATCTGTTCAGTATATATATTCTAAACCACTGTCCAGCGAATATCGTCCCCAACTCCCATTGACAGGAATGAAAAAGGTTAATCGATAAAAATAGACAAAGTGAAAAAGAAACGAGAGCTACGTTTTCCAATTTTTTCTCACCGATTCGAGTCCAAAAATTCTCCCTTCGTTAAAGGGAAATTTCGCATGCGCATGAAGAACCTAGTATCTACGTGGGAATTGCACGATTATCAGGTTCGAGTAATCATCGATAACGCTCGATCTTCGATGGTTTATTCGAATTCCTTATGAAAACGTTGGCAGCCCTCAAACGTACGCTACAAACGAAATTTATAGAAAAGCCTGTCCAACGGCTCGACTCGAGTGTTATTTTTGGCACATAATGATGCACTCTAGTCTACTTAGCTGGCAATTAAATTACCGATTTCAAAGAAGAAGCGAGCCAGCAATTGTAAAATTACGTTACACCTGTGTGTATAGCGGACGAAAGGTTCCGATGCGTCGAGACAGTCCGAATGCCTGCGCTGCGTTCGATCAGCGCTTCGATAAATATCGATTCAATATGGCCGACCAACGGCAAGAAAGCAGCAACGATCGAAAGATTTCCTCTCGGAAAAATCAATTCGTCGGGCTACGCTCTGACGATGACAACTGAGAAGATGTGGAGAGGGGGCGTCAGGACAATAACTATTTTAATTTTCGACCGCTTTGCGTGCTTGTTTTCGCGTTCGATCGATTCGCTTCGACGACCACCAGCACGGGAGAAAAAAAAGTACGGTCACAAATTCACCGAATACCCTGTTTCCAAACATCTCGTGTTTACCTCGATGCCCGAACCAGCGACCAAACGACCCGTTTCATCGCGACCGAAGACGTTAACCGAATGCCCTATATTCCGATACTGGCGAAGAAAAACGCGCCATTCGCGGAATCGGGACGAGGTATGGTGACCGTTGCATCGTCGACGAATCTCTCGCGATATCGTAGTCTCCCCAAACGTCGACCACCGTCGTCGCGTACACGATTCTGTTCGTTTCACGTCCGAGTACGGGCCCGTCGAAAATTCGAGTTATGTCACTCGCGGACGCGTCTGGCAATGGATCAAAAAGACTCACCGAGACGATGACTCTCTGGTACCGCGTCCGTGATGCCCGTTGGTCACTGGTTCGTCGAGCTGCTCCTTGAATTCGCCCCGAGTCTCGTGCCCACCGACGGGAAGAGTAATCTCACTGTCACGAAGACACGAGCAGTTTACCGCGAGGACGAAACACACGACGGAAACGGACGTACGACACGGACCGTGTATGCGGCAACGTAATCGTGTGTACAGGCACGGTAAAAGAGGCGCGTACCCGTGCCCGTGCGCGCCGAGTTTCAGACTGAGGGTTGTTTCGGCGCGGCGCTACCGCAACGCCACCCATCGATCAACCGGCGCACCAGAGACCGCCAAACTACCGACCCACCGGTTTCGCTATTCGCCTAGCTATTGTCTCGTAAACCGATTGGCTCGCTTCGTCCTTTTCCAATCATCGCTTCGTGCTTCTTCTGCGCCTATTCCTGCTCGATCTTCGTCGACTCTGGAGGTCGTTACACGGGACTTGCACAACTCTTATTCGCGAGCAATTAAATACGAACTTCGGATTCATTCCCGATCTGCGTAGATTGTTTGTTACTTTGAATAAGAGATTTATACCCGATACTAATTAAAACAGCTAACCAACCACGTACAGCACGATGTGCCCCTTGATATCAGGCATATTTTATGTGCTCGTGTACGATGGTGGTCCGTCATCTTTCCTTCGAAAAATTATTTTCGCAAACCGTTCTTATCAATTCCGTTATTCGATAAGAAAATGATACTTTAATATGGAGTTTCGTTGTAATACATTCAACCGTTTAGCCATGCGTACAGATATTGTTTTAGGTTGGGAAGTAAGGACAGCCTCGAACGCCATTTTCTGATTCCTGATCTTCGTCTTACCTTAACCCTGTATACCCTGTATTCTCTGTAAACGTACACGCGTGAAAGTTACGAGCAAAGACAATTATCATGACGATTGTACGAAACAGGCAGCCGCGCATTTACATCGAACTTAACATATATATAATTGCGATAACTGCGCCGTACGTTCGCGGTAATTGTACAGTTCCTACAAAATTCTTCTATAATTACGCTCGGAATCGCTTCGTTTTTCGATAAGTTGAAAGCATAAATTGCGCCATCGTCGCTCGAACTTCATTTCCCGCCAGAAAAGCATAAGCTAACCAACCATGAGCACGTTCACCCTCCTCAAGATTTTCTTTCTTTTGCTTTTCGGACGTGAGTACGCGTTAATATTAATTCGTCACGCGAGCGATAATAAACAGTTTTTCACCTGTCTTTCGAGTAGGTTTAGCGAGCACGAGCGAATTGGAACTTCCGTCGGTGGACCGAATCGTCGACGGTGCACCGATCGACATCGAGGACGCCCCGTACATGGCAAGTACCACATTCTAATTGCAATATTATAGATCTTCCCCGTCTTTTCTATTTTCCTCGAGGCCTTTAACCGTCCAACGTGCTCCATAATTCATAAGGCGATAACGAAACAAAGTCGGCGACAAGTAACGGAACGATTAACCATAATAGTTATCGTACATGGTAAATGGCGAACATGCGTGCGGCGCTGCTATCATCGATAAAGAATGGGGATTAACGGCCGCTCATTGTGTCGTTCCGTGAGTAGCAATTTTCACCGATACAACTAAATTATATATCCAAATATGCTCGAAACACGTTTGAGAATATAATTAAATTGGTTGCACACAGCTTCATCGACAGTTCGTACGATTTAATAAGCGTCCGTAGCGGATCCGACGCGTACGACGAGGGCGGAGTCATCCACAACGTGACGTATCTCTCTTACCACGAGAAATACAACGAGCTGAACAACGATTACGACATAGCGGTGTTCAAGGTGGCGCCACCGTTTCGGTTTAACAACGTTACGCAACCGGTCAAATTACCGGAGAACCGTAACCTCGTAGATACGAGGTGGGGTATGATTGCCGGTTGGGGCTACTTCCTCGTAAGATAATTCGCCTGGAAAACCGTCCCATTCCGTTTAGAGCAAGTCGAATACGAAATATAATCCCTTTTTACTTTTAGGACTTTGATCCGGTACTGTCGAAATACCTGCAGTACGTTATCGTGCCGAAAGTGAGCAGAGAAAAGTGCACCAAAGATTACAAGGACAGATACGTAATCACGGACCATCAGGTTTGCTACGGTTTCCAAGATGGCGGACAAGACGCGTGCAAGGTAAACGTGACTTTGGCTCCAAGTTAATTTAAGAGTATTTTTAACTGTACTTTCCCTATCTGTAACGGTATTTTTATCTGACTAAATTTTGTTAGGGCGACTCTGGCGGCCCGTTGGTAAACAATTTCACCGTGATCGGCATAACATCGTGGGGCGACGGTTGCGGCGAAAATTACTCGCCTGGCGTCTACACCGACGTTATCGATCTCGTAGAATGGATTACAAATAAAACCGTTCCCGAAACATAAGCTCTCGTTTATTATTCTATCGAAGTAACACAATTGCACTCGACCCAAATCATGTGGTGCATAGGCAGAGACTTGTACTATTAATACAATGGAAATATGATCGATACGATTAAAACAACCGTCCGTTATTGCAACAAAACCCTTTTATAAGAGTCTGTATTATTATTCATAAACATTCTCACCTATGTGTGGGGGTCCCCTGTGGAAGAGAGAGAGAGGAGAGGGTTCATCTCGTCCCTGCCTCAGACGCTGGGATATTAGATAGTCGGTGGAGGAGCGTATATATAGCGATGGAGGGTCGCTCGAACGCTTGCGGGAGAGATGGTCCCTCTGGCGGCGAGTACGGGAAGCGTCGAACCCCACACCTGCGCACTTCATTCCGGTATGACCAGCTGGACGGTTTCCGCGTCCTCGTCGATCAGAAATTTGGCCTTCTTGTATCTCAACAGATTTATTTTCCTCTGCGACGTCCAAGCATCGTAGCCCAGTTTGTACAGCTTTGGCAAACGATCGAAACCACCGGCATCCGCCAACGAGTTATTGTATTCCCACTGTTTGTCTATTAATTTGTGCGCATGTCTCTTCTTCGTTGCTTGCAACTTCGAGTCCTCCAGCATGGTCGATCTCGATGGCAAGTTTGCTCTCTTCTCCAGCAGAGCAAGGAAGTATTGCACCTGAGAAATTTACGTTTAATTTGAGAATATTTTACCTGACTTTGGTTTGACTGATTCGAAGAAAGAAATCGATCGTTACTTGCACGTGAAACATCGGAAACGGTACAACGACCATTGGTATCCCGACGATACACATCGTGGGATGATCGATGTTTATCAAATGTTTGTACAGGGGAGTCACGTGATTGGCGTCCACGCGTATGCCGCAGTTTTCGTTCAAAAACGGGAAACTGTATCGATAGCCTGTGCAAAATACGAACACGTTCGCGGTAATTGAACTTCCATCTTTTAAAAATATTTTATCCTCGTCTATCCTCTCCACGCCCATCGTTTCGATCATGTTCGATGGTAAAATGCCGCTGAGCCTACGCACGTACAAAATGTCATGTTCCCTGGACTTGTTTAGAAAATTTTAATCGCAGCTGACGAATACCTTTCGTTGTTGTGACTCAAATACACTCGAGACGCGTGATTGGCCAGATCGATTCCGATATCCACGCCGGAAGAGGCTGCCCCTAGAATTAAAACAGTCTTCCCGGAAAAAATTTCTGGTTTCCTGTACGAGTGACTGTGCAACACCGTTCCCGCATACGTTTCGATGCCAGGTATGGTTGGCGTGTAAGGATCGAAGTAATGCCTAAATCAATTATGCATAAAAAAATCAACAATCGAAATTTAAATTCACCGTAAATCGTTAACGTGTCGTGATTATTTTCAACCCACCCGTTGCATATCATTAAAGCGTCGTACGCGAGCACTTCCTCTTCCTTCGTTTTCAAATTTTTTATCCGAACGATCCATTTCTCCTCGTTTTCGGACGAGGTCTCTAATCGAACGGTTTCTACTCTCGTGTTAAACTGCAATATTACACTCGATAAGTTAATAAAAAGCATCATAGTTCATCGATGAAATATATCTCGTTTACCTGAATATATTTCAGCAAACCAAAATGCTCCGCGTAATTTTTTAAATAGGTTAGAACTTCCTGATGGGTCGCGCAACAAGGTTCTACGGCATTCATTCTCGGATAGTCAGGGAAATTCATGATTATCGCAGGTAAATTCGTTCTACGTCGAAAGTATGGGTTCCAGTATCATTATTTTAAGTTTCTTTGTATAGTGACAGTAATTAATCAAACCTCAGATCCCGATACATGCTCGAGTGTATCGGTAAACCGTTCTCGTCGAGTCCAGTCGCTTCCTTGTAAACCCACGTGCCACCGATATCGTTCGTTTGCTCGTAAACGTTCACCTCGAAGTTCGAATTGCGCGCGAAATGGTTCGCCGCGCACAAGCCCGCCGCGCCTGCGCCTACCACGCACACCTTTTTCTTTAGCGGTTCAGCCATCTGTGTGCTCGCGTATGATCTATGAATATCAGTCAGAATCGCCCAATTAGGCCATTTCCATGCATCTAGATGACATTACAGATCGTCCAATGTTTAATTAGCTAATCATGTTCGATCGTACAACGAAAAATTCACGGGATACTTCGCGTACGCTGTTCTATGAAAATGAGAAGTTCCGTAAAAAGTGTTTATGAATTTATTCATGAAACGCCAAGCACAGAATTGTTGCTTGATATCTCGAGATATTTGCATTAGCAAGCCTGTTAAAATGCGTTCTGTAATAATAATTTCTACGTAATAAACGTATTCCATTATGATTCGTAATATCCATCGATAAATCACAAAACCTATCCAAATTTATTTACGTTATGCTCTGACCGTAACCTACATATTATACAAAGATTTTCACAGAATATATTTACGCCAAGAAACGAAAAATCGATAAGCCACTCCTGTGCATCGTTAACTAAGATTCGAACTCTTTGCAAAGAACCAAAAACACAAGTTAGGTGTCGTGAAATCTTCAGTACTGTCCACTTACTCGGTATTTTAAATTTAAACGTGTCCTGTCCTCGTGAAATCCGTCACAGTTAGATACTTTCTGATCGTTTTACCAGCTTTATATCCTTGAGCAAGGACGAGCAGGGTAAATAAAAAACAACAAACGGTCGAAGAACGGAAAAAACATGTAACCACAAGCTCGTTACCGTTACGAAAGATCGTCACAATTTTAGTACGTATGCGTGAATTGATAAGCACATTCTTGATAAGTGTCTTTGAACTCGTGACCGTAGATCGAAAAATCTCTGCAAAATAAACTATTCCAGCCAAGTAGAAGTAAAATATTTATTGTGTTATTTCTTAATAACATTATTATGTAAATAATCGTAACATTAGTCTTACGGTCTATATTAATGATCGTGTTTGAATCCAGTTATACCTAGTACTGAGCAATTAATTATAAAGAGTCTATGTTACAGCGGCATGTATCTCTATGTATAGTTCTCAGTCGACGTGTCGTACCAGTCAAATGAGTTTACCGTGTATATAAAAATTATCTCTCTTTCTTGTTTTCGCTACGCGACGTTCGTACGGCAGAACCACGGAAAACGTAAATGCTTAGCCACGAGATTCGCGTCACGCGCAAAAAACATGGAATCTGTTTCGAACATACTTCGCAACCTAACTTCTACCGCAAAGCATCTCCCATTCGTTACTTCGTTGATTCTACACGGGTTGTCTTAAAATACGTAGTCGAACACGACAGGGGGTGATTCCTCTGCCAAAGAAAGAGAATCGAAAGCGTGGAACATTTTTTTGTACGAGTACATGCACATAATTCGAATTGATTTTTTTTGAATTTTTTTTTTTATAGACAAAAGGTCCGTTTAAACAGATATTTCTATACATTTTCGTTTTACTTTATTCTTAAGAGCAATCACCACCTCTCAGATTGTATCACGTTTTTCGGGGCGCCCCGCATGGACAATATTTCCAGAAATCGATTGTTTTGGTTTTTTCGTGCAGCATGATCGGCGAGTCGCGTCGAGGAAGACACGCCCATGGAAAAAGACAGAATTTTTCGGAGTTTTTTAAAAAAAATATAGCGATATACCTATTAGTCTACGGTAGAACCATTTCGCGACACCTGAATCCGCACATTATCGGCGCGTTAATTGTTTTCTCAGGTGAGCTTTCTTGCCGGACTAGAAAACGTCACTCTACGCGCGTGGATCGAGGAAAAAAGTAACACGATTTCGGACAATTATTTGCGGTTCGGATAAACGTCTCATCTCTAGCGATGTAAAAAATTATGTACAAAACAATCTGCTCGCTACCTCGACGCCAGTCACGCGTGGATACCTAATACAATACGCTACTGTAATTCCACCTAACTACGCCTCGAGTTTCAATTTGTCCGCCATCTTAACAATTTCTGAATTCTGAGGTAACCACGCGTTTCCATTCGATTGGCAAGTCCCTTATTTTTTTTTTTCTTTTTTCTTTTTTTTTTTCATTTTTTTTTTGCAAAAACAGGAATTCATCGATTTTGAATCATAAAAACGATTATCCCTGTATTCTCGAAAATCGACCGTCGATGAACACCGTATCGTTTAACCCATAATATAAATATACCTATGTAAAATAAACTCGATCTAAAGACGAACAAAGTACACTGTTGCGCAAAAATCGATCGAACATGCGGTAAAGGTACAAAGAAAGAAAACGTGACTTTCGTTCGCTTTTTCTCTCTCTCTACGGCAATAGATATTTTAACGTTACATGGTAGACGTTCGATTCGTTCGTACTGTCATTTTTTAAACGGGAAAAAAACTATGGAATGGAAAGATTTTCGATTGAAATCAAAATAAATATTACAAACACCGACGAGCATTCCTGGATCGAACGTTTGGACCAATCCCATTTAAAAGAAAAAAGGCCGGTCTGTCGTGTCTCGCCGAAAAATATATCATTTCCTAATTCCACTTTATCGACGCTCGTATCAAATTATAAAAAAAAACTCGACGAAAACAATATCACCAGTGAACATTTAATCGAAACGAACAGATCAACAATAATCTCATCTCCCGATTCTCTCCACTTTTTTTTTTACTCGTTCATCAGTCTATTGATCCTCCATATACATATGTTTTATATATATAAATCTATATAAGTATGCGCCGACACGTCGAGATACGATTCACTGTTAAACACACATCGGGCAAAGAAATGAAATTCGTGCAACGGGTACAAATAGCAAAATATAAAGACTATGACAAACTGTTTCTTACGCTTAAATACTGTACGTACAATAATTTTAAAACGTCCAAAGAAAATACTCAGCAAAAACAAAAGGGACAAAGAAATAGAAAAGAATATCTCCTAACATTGACTACTCGAACGAACCGACATAATTAATTCGATGCACCGATTCGTCGACAAGTTTCATCCTTTCAGGTTTATATATATTACATTGCTCCACGCTCTAATCGCCATAATATAAATACTTTCGATCATATACAACGCACTCGATCGACTCACTAAAGACTGCGAAGTAAGGCTATCGCGAAAATTTGACGAAAGCTGATCTTCCATTTTCTTCCTTTCTTCGATTCCTTTCCTCGTTTACTTTTCGTCTTTCGCAGTATTTCGCGCGTATAATGCACACGTGATCAACGCCTATAAATTACGTTCTGTTAAGTCTACGTGAAATTCGTTAGAAGTTTGAACGTTCGAATTCTCACTGTCGCTGCCCGCAACTCGACCTAACGATTACTCGCACGATTTACAATAGACTTTACCGATCTACGAACTTTCCGTTTAGCCTCGAATCGTTCATGCACGATCCCATTCAAGTAAAAATTTGGTGCATCGTTCCGGCAACGTGTATAAAAATCTGAAAAATCTCTAATAGGATGGATCCGGGCACGATTAACGAGTCCTCTTGGACAGCAATCGCAGCGTCTGACGAGCGAATTCGATAACGGGCTAAGTATTCGGATGTTCGATTGTACCGTGCCCCCGTGCACACCTCTGTCACCATTTCAAAATCTTAACGTTTCAAGAATATATGTATGTATACATATATGTATGTATATATGCTTTGGCAAATGTCCTCTTTTATCGTTCGTTCAACTACTACGATACTCCGTAACCTTACGTTAATTGTACATATGCGTTCCGACACCCCGAACAACTCGAAGCGAAAGTTGAACAAAATAATGTACCATAAAATTTCCCTCAACTTAGTCGCCAACGGAAGATAAGATTTCACAAGAGACCTGGTTCCGCGCGAGAACAAACTATTTTCAATGGGGGGGGGGGGATCGTCGTTAACATAGCTCTCATACCACGCACTAGAATATTCAAAATATATCGAACAATTCGTCCTGGTTTTCTATATATGTACAAAATTCCTTATTCGACAGGTAATATATAGCACGCCACCCAGATATGGATAAACGTGAGTGAAAACGAACAAACGTATATAATAAAAAAAAAAAAAAAAGAAAGTCAATATACAAACGGTAAGAGAAAAAGGAAGAGAACAGAAGATGGAGAAACGAAGAGAACTATTTTATACAAATATACTTCTTTACATCTACAGACTCGCATTAGCCACACATGCTCGTTTCGAATGCGTATTAAAAAGAGATTCTCTCTAACACTGTCGTCGGACTACGTTAGCCGCGTAATAAGCAACCATACATTTGTATACATATTTGGCGTAAACCTTTGATTCGTAATGTTGAACGTGTTTATTTACTAAAAAATATATATCCGTGTATCTCGATAGACGTGACCGGTCTGTCGGTGAAAATTTAGCGTTTCCCTTAGAAAAACTGTACGGCTACGTTCGTGACCGACTCTGTTCGGTTTCGATTCGTTCGCGCATGCGCGATCACGACCGTCGACCGTCTGCGTCACAGAGCCACCGATAACCGAACGTCGGAACGGCACTCGACGGATAGAGCAACAAGTACGGTAGAATTACATTCCAAACGACCGAAAATATACTTTTTCCACGTGTGCATTACGTACGTATAAAATCGCTAGGCATCCTACAAACACACTAGACATCACCGCACGCGTGTCCTCGATGGAACAGTAAATTTTCCTCGAATTGACGATAATTCCTAATAGTTCGATATACATATATCTATATATATATATATATATATATGCGTGTATAAGACGTACAAAAATTTCTCTTCGACGTAGAGTCGCGTACGCAAAACGCATACAACTGGATCTCTACGTGAAATACAGAAACACCCCCCAAGCTCTGGGGGGGGGAACGATCGATCGGGCGGACTCCGTGGATTGTATCGGGGTTGTATATACTTTCACGACAAGGATCGTAAGAAATTAAATTACAATTCGTACGCGACGATTCGCCCTCGAGACAGTGAAAAAAAAAAACACAACAAATACCTTGCAAGAGCGCCGCGACAATTAACCCGGCCCTACTCTACTTTATCGACAGGCGAGACCCACTTTCCATCTTTCGCCGCGAACAAAGTTCGAGCAACGCTCGTTGCTATTAAGCTCTCGTATGCCGTTGTAATAACGTCGAACGTATGAATTACACGACGCGTGTAATTGGTCGTTGAATAGGCGTCCGATAACAAACGTGTCGACGTCTTTTTCTTTTTTTTTTTTTTTTTCGAACGTTAAGCTCGTTGTCCACTGACGTTCTTAAATCGTAGGGGTCGCTGCGCGTTGCTGGAAGCACGACCTCGAGAGAGACCAGAGGTACGCGTATCTCTGATGCTCCTCGCGAGAGGCTCGCGCGAGAAACATAATTCGGAAGATCCAGGTTCTGTTCGATATGGTTGCACGTTAACCCTCGCTCACCGAGGAAAGGGAGCTGCGCGTCGAACCGACCGTATGATGCGTCAAATCGGGAAGATCGGCCGGTAAACACAATGGTATCGCGCTCGGTCCGTAAATGGCCTCCTGTTCCTCTAGCTGCAGAGCGAACTGCTCTTCCAGTCTCTGTAACGTACAAATCAAGCGATATTTAGAAACAATTACACGTGATCAATTGCAGGGAACAGTATCTTTACTGTCTAATCGTTTAATATCTTTACGTTTCTATTTAACTGTATTGGCGACAACGGATCTTATTTTCAACTGACCTTGTTCAATTACCTAGTAGACGATTCTGATATCCGCTCGTGAATCTCTTTTTCGACATTTTCGTCGGTTAGGTGCGTACGGAGGTATAGAACGTAAAAGGAAGCGATATATAATCGAACGTACACACTGGAAACACTTATATACGAGAAACCCGGGCGTGTAAGCGTATACCCCGTACATTTTTACTACTTTCGATAAAGTATACAACATATAGCCCACAATTATCACCGATTCACCCTGCTGTTATAGTATCACCCGACCACTTCAAGCTGCCATTTCAGAACGCGCTGCTTGCGTGTTACATTCGATACGATAATACGATATCAACGAATGCGGACAGATTTTGGTCGAATTTTATTCGCGAGCAACGAGTTTGAAATGTTGAAATTCGTAAAGCAACGTCTGCTTGGTACGTCGACGAGCAACGGGCAGAAACTAGTTTACGAATTAACCTGGCATTTCCGTTCGTTCGTTCGCGAATCGAATTTGCCCAACTCTATCCGAGGGGGCGCTGAGCGTAAAGTACCATTCTGTTTGACGACAAGCAATTTAGGATAACGTTATTCGTTAATACCTGGCGTACCAAAGACACGTATTGCTTCTATCGCTTTGTCTATTAAAATCTCTAATTCCGCCAACTAGGCAGCTGCTTTCAGTTTGCATAGGATACAATCACTGTACACGAGTGATAAACAAACATCGTGACTCGACACAGTCCATAATTTCAATAAGTTCGTTAATACCAACACAAATGCAACGTTTCGATGCTTGGAAAACTAAAAATATCGTATAACAATGGCAAGCTCCTATTGTTTTAGAGACACATACACATCGTTGTAAAATTTTCGTTTTCCCCGCTAATACCGCGAAATTTATAATGTTATAAATAAACCGTAAATAATGCCGTTATTGCTCTGTACATGTTATTTGATTTATCGTGCGAGCCCAAATACGTACTATGTACATGTCTCTCAGACTTTGTTACAAAAATAATACGTGTATAATATATGTATGTATATATTATTAAATACGTGTATAATATATATGCATATATTATTAATGCGTGTGCGTATACATAGACACGTGTATATATGTATACAGCATTTAGAGACATCATAAATATTACTGAATAATCGAAGCAACGGTGAGTAAAGCGAGCGTGTTACGCTTCAATGCTTAAAACACAATACAAAAAGAGAAGCTTCGAAATGAACAAATCGTTCCAAACTAACGATAACTATGGGAATGCTCGAATTGGTAATACATTCAGCTCGACAACTTCGGAACGATATGTGGGAAAACGCTAGTTCTTTGGTAATACAATATCAATCTTTGTTTTGCTTCTTCCAAACAGTATCAATTAGCCAATAGCTATGAGCAGTGATGGACAGTCGTGGGAACTTTGCACATGCGCACTAGAATTTTCCCTCGTTTTCCTCGGATTCCTTTCTGCGCATGCGTCAGCTCTCTGCCATAGATGTACCTTTAGAATTCCCATGTTTCGTACAAAAATTGAACTTTCTACTTCAAATGCTCGCCAATCACACAAAAATTAACTTATTGAAAATTCCCTACGTATTTCTCTAGCTATACTCATGAAGATTAAGAGGAAATTTGTTGTTTTTGTCTCTTTCCCAGTAACTTCCTTAAATTTTGTTCTTTAGTGGTACCCTAAATTCTAGTTAAGAGTATGCGGCAGTGATCATGCGCTCCAGACAATTCCCACGAATGTCCATCACTATGAGACTGTCTTATATTCGTCAGTTCATCGCGAATCGTTTCCAAATTACCGAGCTATACTTGCGTTATTTGAATCTTATAAATTGAAAAGAAACGTTTCGATGGTTTCGAAAGCAAGAGAAACCAAGGAACGATCTGTTTATTTGAAAGCTCCCCCGGATGAACAAAGGAGACACAAGACACGGATAAAGGGATGACTATCTACGAGGCGAGGAAGACGGGACCAAGTCCAGCTTGGAATGACTTCGTGAAAGCATGCCGTTCACGGAACTGGTGTCGGAACCGGCGCCGACTCTCAGCGACACTCTTGGAATGGTGAACGGGGAGGGGGAGGCGGGGGTGGAGCGGGGCAAACGCGGCGACTTCCTCCAGCTTTCGAAATTAGAGATGTGAGAATAGTCTAGAGGATGAGAACAGAGACCGCTAAGACCCGAAGGCAAATAGTCTCGGTAATGAGCTTCCAACGCTTCCATTTCAGCCGTCAGTTCAGCTTCTAACTTCTACAACAAGTACATTAAGACTTATTTCAGTATAGCTGGTATTCCGATTTCCTTATAATTTAAAGAACGATCGTGGTACGATTAGACTCGTATCTATTTGCTGCTCTGATGAATCGGACATTTGCACACGACCGTTGGCTGTACCCAGCGGATATTGCTGCAGTAATGCAAAAAAACAGAGACATTCAAAGGCGAATATTTAACCACAAGGTAGACGATATATCGGGTCATTCGGGTAAGTAGCGTCGTTTCTTCATCAAACACTATCACACAAGATAATAAGCGTGACTGTAAAAAATAAAATAATAAAGTTGCGTGTATAAAAACTTGCTACTTATGAAATGACCAGGTAATTCCACTTGGGAAGTAGTCGACGATAAAAGACGTACTTGATAACAGAAATGATGATCGTGCAAAGTATATGGAAAGCAGCCATGAGTAAATGAGGGTTAATTACCTGCTTTCGTGGCTTCAAGTGCGCCTTCCATTCACGGAGCTCTTTACTGTACGCCTCCTCGAGTTCCTTCAGCTTCAAGGTCTCGTGCTCCATCAGCATCTTCCTCTTCTCGTTCTGCAGCTGCTCCAGCTCTTTGATGGTGGCGTCGCTCTGCGCTCTTACCTCCTCCAGCTGCCGCGAGTGCTTCAACTCGAACCGCTGCTGCTCGGCCCTGTACCGCTTCTTCTCGTTCTCCTGAAACTTCTTCAGCTTCTCCCTCTCGGCGTCCGGGTCCGGCGCGATCACCGACGACATCGAGATCCTCATAGACTCCCGGAACATCATCTCGCGTGCCTTCATCTCGTTGCGAATCCGTTTTGGTAAATTTCTACGTTCCACCGTCTGCCGTTTCACCAGCTCCTCCTCCTTCCTCTGATTCATCCGCTTCATCTGCTCGAGCTCTTTCTCGTGACGGATCAGCATCTGATGCCTTTGCAGGAAGAAGATGTCCTTGAGCTGTTTCTTCAGCAGTTGCTGTTTCTCGTGAATGTGACGCTCCTCTTGCTCCCAGATGGACGCTTCCCGGGTCCTCATCAGCTGTTGCTTCTGCTGCAGGAACTGCCTCTCCATCAGGGCGATCTTCTCCCGATGGCTGTCGGACAGTCTCCTCAGCGACAAATCGTGGCTCTCGTTCAGTTTATCTAAAAAATGCTTCTCCCTCTCCTCGTGCTCTGTGTCCAACTTCTCTTTGCGTATCTTGAACGCGCTCTTCCTCTTGTCCTTCGGCATCAGGTCCACTTCCTGCTTGAGCAACCTCGTCTCCTGCTTTATACCGTCCCGGAACTGCTTCAGGTCCCTCTCCTGCTCGCTGCGTATCTTCTTCGACGCCAGCCGGATGTCAGCCTCCTGTTGCGCCTCCGCCCGTTCGATCTGCTGCCTCTGCTGCCGTGCCAGAGTCTCCAGGTCGGTCTCCGCGTTCCGTTCCAGCAGCTGTCGTTCCTGCTCGAAACGCTTCTCCTGCTGGTCCTTGTTGAACTGCGCCTTCTGCGACAAATCCTGAAACTGCTTCTGCTCCATCTTCTGCAACATCTTCAGCTCCCTGAGCTCTTGCTTCCTGAAGATCTGATCGTCGTACACCTTCCCGTTCTCGTCGTCGCCGTATATGACCTTCGACGTGGTCGTGGTCACCACGACGCCGTCTATCTCAAATTTTCTGGTCCGTTTCCGAGTCTTCTTCTTCAGATTCATCATCTGTATGTCCTCTTTCGTCCTCGTCGGTCGCGGTATGTCCCGATTGTAGTCAGGCTTTCGTCGTAACACCACTTCCTCCTCCACTTCCGTAGACTGACCTTGACCAATATGATTCTCCTTATTTGATTCCCTGCTATCCTGGCTGATCGTGGTGGAAATCGACTCAGCATCGGATCGATCTATACTCTTGCTGGGCGTGTGAGACCTCGTCGATCCTGACTCGCTCTGAGACCTGGATCCCTCGAAACTGTCCGGTGACACTCTCTTCTCCTTGTATCCCTTACCACCCTCCTTCTGTTTTATCGTCTTTATAACCTTCTCGTCGATACGACCCATGGAAGACTTGTCGTTCTTTATCAAACCGTTCATCTTCTTCGAGTTCCTATCCGCTTCGTCGACGTCTATCGAATCGACAGTCGTTCCAGCGACTATCATTTTAGTAATCTCGTCCCCGCTGTCGCTCTTCGTGCTCGATCTCTCGACCAAGCTCGTGTCACTGTGCGATGAGGAGGTCCGTACGGCGTCGTGTTTGTTAAGTACCGATGAGTCTTTCACTTGTTCCTTGTCGTCGCCGACGGTAACAACAGACACGTGACTAGTATCCTGCAAATCGTCTATTATTGGACTCACGATGAGAACCTCGGACTCGTCCAGCTTCTTCCCGACTCTCTTCGATACGTCGGTGAGAATAATGGGCTGCTCCTGCGGCGTGTACTCCAAACTGTCCAAACTGGGGAACCCGTCGTCGTCGGTGGATGTCTCGTTCACTTGGGTCTTGTTCAATTCGTTCGCGACGATAACGACCTCTGACGTCGGCGACGGGCGACAGGAAAGTGGCGCTGGCGTTACAGCGTCGACCAATACCGGGGGATGCGTAGTCACGACTGTTACTTGGCTTATGTTACTTGCAAGACTATTGGATAAATCCGGGCTCTCGGCTGTGATTCGGACGGTTGATGTGTTTGGACGTACTTCTTGGTCAGATTTACCTGTAAATCGAAAAAATAATTAAATACTTGAAACGATGTGCAAGGCAGAAAAATCTCTGCGAATAAAATGTTCCGTTTAACCCCTTGACGCCCACACACGGATCTCGTGAGGTCTCAAACTGTTACATACGACGCCCACACATCCGTATGAGATACGGGCTTGTACAACTGACTGCTCTCGCTGTCACTGTGCTTAAACGAAAGGCGACATAGTAACCATAGATGTTGGATTGTGTTTCATTTACAATCACAAAATAAAAAGTTACTGTTTCGAGATGAAATACACATCAAGGGATTAAAAATTTTAGAAAAAACCACAATTATTGTCGTTACTGATATATACATAATTTCAAGTGATTAAATAGCTCTCTTACCCGTAATGACGACTACGTTATCGCCGCTACCTCTTCTGGAAGTACTTCTGCTTCTAATAGGCGTCGATGTGATCACCGATACGTTCACCGACGAACCTTTCTTTTCGCTGTTATCGTCCGCGGTATTCTCATGATTGTACTCCTTGTGCAGCCACTTCTTCTTGTCCCGTTTCCCATCGAACTCGTCCGAAAAGTTCTCCAACGAATCGTATCTGGAAGATCCTTCGCTGTGACTTTTAACAACCGACTCCGCCTTACACGGTCCGTAATCCGTTTTTATATTCTCCGTGGAACAAGCTTTCATAATATTTTTTTCGGACGAGATCACGTTTGGAATTTCTCGGTGCGCCAATTTCTCCAAGGAGGAAATGTTCATTCGCATGTCGGAGTCCATTGAGAATCGTTTCTCTAAAACCGCATTTAACTTTTCCTCGACCGATTTTCGTTTTTCCTGCAAGCTCTTGTAATTCTCTTCCGTCGAAGATTGTCGTTTAACTTGTACATCGACCGGTGTTTTCTTTTCGATTCTAGTAAACAAATTTATAATTTTACGTTAGTAACTTTCATAGAAAATATTGTTCGATAAGAAGTTGATATAAATGAATAAGAACCTGCTTTTCTCTTCTAAAGATGACTGTTTGTTGAACATCGGCTTTGACCAGTCTTCCGATGGTTCTTGTTTCACTGGCGCAGATCTCCTCTTTTCTTCCAAAGTTAATTGCGTCCTCGTTGGTGGACCTATTTTATTATCTACCGTTTTCTGTTTAATATCAAATTTCTTCGTCATATCTATATTACTTTTGTCCTTCTCGTTACCGTCTGCTATTTTCTCTAAACTACCCAGCACGTTCTGTTTCTCGCAGACCGTATCTACATATGTTTGTTCCCTATCTAACGTTTCTTGACACTTTGATAATACATCGTCTTGCTGTTTCTCGTCGACGGCCTTGCGCTGATCCAGCATTTCTACGGAACTTTGCTTATCAGTGATTTTCAAATTGTTTTCCTTATCTTCATTTTTGCTATCTTGACGCATAGGCGGCGGAGGAGGCGCAGGACCCTTTTCGCGAGATATTCGACGTTCGTTTGTTTCGCTTGTACTAGGAGGTTTAGGCGCCTGAATAAATAAATAAATATATTAATACACGTACGAAAATATCGACGAATAATTTAAAATAATTACTTGTTTCTTCTCAACGGAAGCAGGTATGTTCTCTTTAGATTCTGCTTTACGTAATTTCTTGTTCCTGTCCTCCTTTTCACCATCCCTATTGATCTCTCGTTTGTGGCTCTCTTCTTTTTTCGCAGACACGGGTGATGCAATAAGATTTTCTTTTTCAGAAACTAAAGAAACATCAATTAATTTATCAATTATTTTCCTCGAATCTGTAACCGTTATACCAAGAATGAGAACTTACTCTTAACATCAGCGTCACTGCGCATAGATGCAGAGTCATCTCCGAGTTGGTCCAGCTCCAGAGGAAGCTGAGACGTGCGTTGCTCCTGAAATATTTACTCGTATTATATTTACGCAATTGTATAATTAACATACGTTACTTATAGGACTTAAACCGAGATATTTTCTATATTAAGACATGTAAAATTCCAAAGTAGATTAGATTAATGTAAATCAGGAAAAGGATCATTTGATATAAACATAAAGCTATAAGTTGAAAACAAAATTATCCGTTGAAATGTATTAACCGATACAAATTAACATAGTCGTTAGAAGTATTGGGTCTGAACACGAACAGAATACACTGAAAATAGCTTATGCATTGCAGTCAAGAAATGAAACAAATTAGCGTGGAGTTATAATGGTATGTACAAAAATATTAAAATTAAATTAGACAGCACTTATCGCATAAGCTACTGACCTGACAAACGCAGGGATGATGGGGCTGGCGAGGCCCAGGAGAGCCGCATGCACAGCCAAATTATCCAAATTACAACAACATATTTATTAGGATATCATTAGATTAAGTGTAAAGAAGAAAGAAGGCAATTATACTATGAAATTTTTTAGATCGCGGTCCTGAATGATTATATGCAACAAATACCAAATGCAAAAGTCACCTCGATCCTACTCATTCCTCTTAAACGAAAATAATTTATATGTATCGATTTTGCAAATCAAGAACAAAGCATGAATCAACACCGAATGTCGCATGCACGCAATTTTCTCGAAATTTTATCCACATTTATCATGCATAAATGTACAAAGTGTGATTTCGTGTTCCTTGAGACTCAAACGAAACACATTAATGGCTTATGGGAATGCATAGAAAACTATCTCGTTTCACGTTGTACCAATTTTCTAAATGCAAACGTTTCTCGATACGTAATCGTTTATAAAACTCTACGAAACTCGTATATAAAAATTGATATTTCACTCAAAAGCAGCTTACCAATCCGCTGATATTGTTCTCTGTGCTTTTTCGCCTTTTTAGCCTTCTATCAATATGAAAGCGTGTAACAACGTATATACATGTTAATTCTGTCCATAAAGCTTCTGTATATTGCTATTAATTACAAAACTTCTATATGCTAATTTTTATACGAAAACATTAATGATTGCATTTGTATCGTTTGCCCAATTCGTACGCTTCTCTTAGTTAACCATTTATACTAGTGTATTAGTATATTATTTTATAAATTGCATTTTTTTTCGTTATTGAATAAAATGATAACAGACAGCGATGGTTAAATGTAGTCTAAAAATAAAAATTACCTCTGCTTCTTCGTCGACCAATTCCTCTTCGACGACGTCGGCTTTGTACTCCAACAGCAAATCTCTGATCGGTTTTGAATCTAAATTTCGACTTATGAACGGATGCTTTATCAATTCGTCTGCTGTAGGTCGCGATGTTGGATCCTTTATAAGGGCCTTCGCGATAAAATCGTTGAAATCTTTGCTCCATTTCCCGGGCTGATCGAGTTTCGGCGGATCGCTTTTTTGTATTTTAAGGAGCACCCGCATCGGCGACATCTCGTGGTTGGGCGGTTCCATTTGTGCAAACTCTATCAAAGTAATTCCAAGTGACCAGATATCTACCTGTTATAGAACAAAGTGTACCGATCACGATATACGCAACAAAAACGAGAATCGATTTATTGTTTATTTAGCACATAAGGTTTACGATTTTATAATGTTACTGACTTTAAAATCATAAGGATTATCTCTAAATGTTTCGCATAATACTACTTCTGGCGCCATCCAATATGGTGTACCAATAAATGTATCGTGCTTCTGTAAAGTATGTTTATTTTTTGCAGACACTCCAAAATCAGCTGTGAATTCAGAAACACGTTAACATTTTTCAGATTTACGAGATGCAAGGTATATGTATTTATCGGAATATAAGGGTTACCTAATTTCACACCTCCAGCCATCGTAAGCAATACATTGCCCGCCTTTAAATCCCTGTGAATAACTTTAGATTTGTGTAAAAATGCAAGACCCTTGGTCATGTGTTGGCATATGTATGCTATTTGCGGCTCTGTTAAAGCTTTCTCTAATTCGACCATTATGGAATCGACAGCACCACCGTCGCAATATTCTATTAACATCTGTGAATTCGTTAAAATCAGCACATAAATATCGACGATCTCTGAAAATATTAAATAATTCAAGAACATACCCATAGCTTGCCCTCGATAAAATATGCTTCGTGCAATTCAACGACATTTGGATGTTTACACTCTGATAAAATATCTATTTCAATCATGAAATCACTGAGATCGTCCTCTCCCTCCAATGCGCACATTTTTGCAGCAGCAAGCTGATGCGTTTGCCTATGCTGTGCCTGGAATACACAAAATTGTTTAATACGTGATGTTTTCTGTTTCAAATTTATTAGAAATTTTACCTTATAAACTTTGCCAAATGCTCCGTCACCAAGTTCGCCCACCATTTCCCAGAATTCTTCCGGGTTACAGTCCATTTTAATATTATTATATAATTTCTTTTTCTTTGCATCGTTGCCACCAAAGTGGAACGCTTTCTTTAAATTCGACAAGAATGACATTTTCGCGATACTCATACAACACATTCGCATATATAAAAGTTGTGTCTCTATTACATTATGTTACAAAATTCAATATTATTAATCGTTAACAACAAATATCTATATCAATACTGCGCTTAAACGTAAATCTCACAGAATACTCGAATAATTCATCGTTACGCGAAACAGTTACAAGATGCATTAAATCATCTTCCTGTTTTAAATATAGTCTCGCATGTTTTTAAGTATTTAAATGTATCTTCTATTAAGATAGAAAATGTTTTGCGAAAAAGATGTTTAAATCCCCGTTTGATACATGGGGATAGTACCAAATCTCTCCCGCATCTTGATAACTTATAGTCAATGCTCATTAATCGACAGATATATTGTTTGAATCTGTATAGATACATACAATAAGAACGAAACCCATTATTAATAATCTTCTGTTTTTACTTGCAACAGCTTCCAACTGAAACCCAAAAGAAGATTAATAAGAGATTATAGCAAACATATTAACGATAGTTTCGATATTTTAAAACGACGTTAATTAAATAATAATTAAATCTTCGTAGATTAAATATTATAAAAATATTCTTTGTATATATGTACAACATATCTACGTTAAACAAATAGTTTTGTTGTAAAACGTTACATTAGTTTCAGAAAAAAGTAATGTACTAACTGCTTTCTTTCAGTACAGTGTCTGTAATACTATACAAATTCCATTGATAGAGAAAACTGGGACATAGCTAACAGAACAACATTCCAACAAGAGAGACCTCTAGAATAGGATCTTTTATATATTGTAGCTAAATTTCATTCCAAACACGTTTTAAAATAAATTCTATCGCAAATTCTGTTTTAATAAATACATTGTTGTTTGCTAACAAGAACACAACGTTATAATGTACATTACATATGTTACATTTAATGTGAGATCGATAATAATGCGCCAATTGTTTAAAAAAATATGTTAAAACCACGGACGATGCCCGTATGATCAAAATTTCAGGTATTAACAAGATAAATGTAATAAAAATGACATTACATATAAAACATTGATAGATGAGCAACCATATATCAAGAATTAAATATACGAATACATTTATTCGAAAATAACGTATTAAATATTTTATTTGAATCGTACATAAATAATATTTAGTACGTATAAATCAATTTCAAAATATTAATATAATTTTAAAATAAATGCATTAACTACAAATGCTTGTACCATACAATCCCTCAATATGTCCTGTTTCGCTACGAAAGTACATTGGCAATTGACATACAATTAACACTGTTTTAATAATTATCCACTTACTGGTTCCAAAAAAATTTCTAATCCACTGAAATTGTGTTTCGTTCGTTGTTTCGATAAAGAATACAGCGATCTACCATCGGGTAACTCAATGCACGTCAAAAGGTTCAGTCAACGAGGAAACATAGGATCGAAACTTTATTTAAAATACCGAGAGTCGGCGGTCACGAGATTGACACAATTTTGACAAGTAATCTTCGGTCGTGTCTGTCCGCCATCGTTTTGTAAATACACTTTCCCCGTCTTCAGTGACTCGGAATTATATCGTGAATAGAATCCGTCGAAACGAAACCGACCAAGAAATATCCCAAAGGTTCGGCGACGAGAACCGCGACGTAAAGAACGATGCGTGGACGCGTTTCGAACGCAATCGACGAGATTTTCACGAAGTCGTCTTATGCGGTTCGTGGCCTGCCAAAACCGATATGTGTTTCTGTCGGGTTTGGATGTAACAAATCGTGATGGAACATTCCCGTATCAACGACAGGGGACGATCGTGCACACGCGTCGCTTCGTCGTCGTCGGGACAATAAACTCGTACATTTTTTTCACCGAAAGATACAATTGTCGACAAAAAAAAAATCTGTAGACACATCCTCTGCTCACCTTCTCTTTTAATGATCTACCATTGACGAAACGGGCACACTTCGTCTTGGTGTCTAACCGTCGACGATCCACTGAGAAACTTTGTATCGCACGATACCACGAACTGTACGTATTGTCGGGAAATCCACCGACACCGTACGGGAACACGAAAAGAAACGCGAAAAAAGTATCGCGAAATCAGTAAACTAGACGGGCCCGTACGTACACGGCCATTTTCAGTAGCACACGCATATCACACATCGTACCGTACCACGCCTGGAAGTGACGTAACCAATCGGCAAGTGTGCCTGTATTCTACGAGAGGCTCTCTAACTTACAAATGCATCTTAAACGCATTTAAAAAAAAAAAAAGAAGAAAAAAATCGCCCCCCCCGATATGTCCTACAAAGTATGTAGGCTCATGGTAACGCGATTATGTAAATTATCGTTTGTCGCTTGGAAATTACGATCGTACGGCGCGCGATAAAATTCAATTGTAAACATACGGGCGTTTAGGCTCGCAGTAACATTCGCCGATAATTTAACGCGAACAATCTGATCTTTCTTTTCGCGTTTAACGAACGCGGTTCGATAGCCTTGCGTGCCGAAACAAAGTTTAAAATACGTGTTATTTGCTTTCGCGTGCATCTATTATTAAGTTACGGAATTGATTTCGTGATATGCCGTTACCGCTGCAGAAGCCTTTTAAATACCTGTACAACGCAATCTCATTAAATGCTAACGTAAAACAAACCTATGTTCCGCAACAACGTAAAGATTTCTTGAATTTATTTTACTCTGCATCCTTCGTATTACAGCAACGAAATATCCATTTACAATAAACAATGTTTTAATCGTTCAAATTAAATAAAATTGTCAATGAATTTATGTTCGATCGAAAGGTGGCATAATTGCCTGTTAGACGATAATACGAAAGGTGCAATTATGCGAAACAAACAAGATTTTACGTTCCATTGATACGGAATACCAAAAAGACTGAAATATTGGAAATTCTTTTCTTCGATGGATTACGTTAAGGACACGACAATCTTAAAAATATTTATTTTTCAGAAAGAAATTTAGTTTTAGAAGAGGCTCAACATTATAACATTAATAATTCAATTTTTTTGATTTAGAATCGCGAACGTAATACGCATTAGTTACTAGTCCCTTGATGCAGTATTATATGGTATTGTATCTGTGTTTATTGTTAAGCATGCAATAATTGTACGTGCGTACTTGGTTTATTCAGACCCTGGAAATTCGCCAAAAAGTGGTGTCACACATTGCTATTTATGGATCAGCTTGCGAACGGCGCTGATAACTTTAGTTTTTTACACTTATCTCACTTTGCACTTTGTGTAGTCTATGGCGTATTGCGAGCAAGTGATGGACAATCGTGGGAATGTTGGACATGCGCACTAGAATTTTCGTAAGATTCCTTTCTGCGCATGCGTTAGCTCTCTGCCATAGATGTACCTTTAGAATTCCCATGTTTTGTACAAAATTGAACTTTCTACTTCAAATGCTCGCCAATCACACAAAAATTAACTTATCGAAGATCTCCTACGTATTTCTCTAGCTATACTCATGAAGATTAAAAGGAGATTTCTTGTTTTTGTCTCTTTCCCTGTAACTTCCTTAAATTTTGTTCCTTACTGGTACCCTAAATTTTAGTTTGGTGTATACGAGCTCATGTATACGATCGTGCACTCCAGTGCGCATGTCCAAAATTCCCACGATTGTCCATCACTGATTGCGAGAGCCATTTACTTTTTGGCGGGCTTCGACAATCACCAAGAATACCAAGATCATAACCGATATCGATATTATGACTATTCTCAATCCTTAAGTATAGTAAACGAAATCTGACAACTGAATGGAACAATTGAATTTCTGCCTTATTTTGTTTCTGGGTCGGGCCGCATATAGTGTTGCAAAAGCCCCCAAAAAGGTCCTTGTAAGTTGCCTATCTATGACTTTATTTTCGAAGTATAATATGTAATTGATGTTTTGTATATTACTGTGCATACTATATTTGTAAAATTTGTATTATAGTTGTACTCAATATCACGATATGTTGCGTAGGTTAACTTATAAGAATTGTCTTTTCCTGCTTACGTTTGTTCAAATAAATTGTATTTACAAAAAGCTGTATTGCTTGTAATTCTCTTTCGTTTGTAAGAGCATTCTTAGTGTACTTAAAATACAAAGTGTACGTATTATAAATTACTATTAATTTATTAGAATCTTTCTTAATCGATATTATTAACTACAGCACTTAAAATCTGTATTGTTAATTCGGTTAAACATAGAAAGAAATTTAGAGTGCAGAACTTCTACAATGATCACTACGTATTTATTTGATCCTTTTAGTTCAAGTTTTCCTAATATATTAGTAAAATGACTAAACCGGAACGTGGTGTAATACAAATTATTTGGAAAAGTTTCGTTGGTTCTTTACGATTAAAAGAACCAACTGCAAAATTAATTGGCGAGGATTTCTATGGAACCAAATATTATGAGAGACCACACCCAACAAATACTGTAAAAAAGAGACCGTCTCGTTATTTCGAGCCAGTGAACAAAGAGGCTGGATTTGATCAGGAAATACCTGCGGAATGGGAGTCATGGCTAAGGTATCGCAGGATGAATCCCCCAACGAAAGAAGAACTAGAACAAAATTATCGCATGGCAATGACTAAAAAGCAAAATGCTGCGCAAATAGAAGCAAAATTTGGAAATACCAACGCCAACTTGCCGGAATTGCCGGCTAACAAGAAAGGGCAAAGTTCATTTCCGACGTACAAAGAGTACGAGGAAGAGTATAAAGTTAAGGTCAAAGAAGATAATTAGCGGAGATAGAAATGACAATTAAATTATATTTAACAAATCGATGAATAAATGATTTGACCGAATTTAGTTAAAAATAAATGTAATTAACTCGTCTGTCCAAAAGCCAATAAAATATCTAATAAATATGTACAAATTTTATTGTAACATATATTTGTATTACGATATATGTATAATTTACGTATTTATTGTTTGTATGAAGTATAGTCTATGCATAAAACAATTTATTAATATCCTATGTTTCTATACATACATTAGGTATGGTATCCTTTTATGTCATCGATCATACCATCCTCGACATAAACAAAAGTAACAGCCTCAATACTAAATTTAAGTGGAATATCTTCTTACAAAACTTCGATAATTACACTGTTTCAGACTTGAATCTTCTCTTGAAAAAGGTCGTTCTTTTGTATTTTTATTAGCTTTAATAAAATTTCTGTCTTCGAAAAATATTGTTTAAATATTTATAATAACAAACAGTTGCAGATTTTAAACGTAGATCGATGTAAAAATTGAAATTCAAGTCTGGGCTTTTTAACGAGGAGGCAGACATATAATCGTTGAAGTTTGTAAGAAGTAGTACTTCGGGTGCTGAAGTACAAAATATCAGTCAACATGAGACATAAATTCTTTCGTTCGAAAGAAATTGACGGAATTCAATGCACGACAAATGTATGTTTTTTGATCAACCAGAAAAATCGCTATTGTCGAATAGAGCTTGATCGTACAGTTCCCCTTTTACCAATCGTCCACCGAAATAGCGGCCATTTAAAGAATCTCTTGCACGTTCCGCCTCTAAAACGGTAATTGGTCATTTAATACAGAAATAACTGAAAACTAAAATTAAAAAAAAAAAAAGTACAAGCCACGTACCGCTCATTTGAGAGAACTCAACGAAAATCTTTACGATAACTTCCGCGTCTTCGTCGTCCTCAGATTGTCGTTCATTATAAATAATAACTCTTTCTACAACCCCAAACTTTGAACACTCGTCCTGGATTTCTTCTTGTAAACTTTCATCCACGTCCTCCGGGGCTACCATATTTCTCAAAATAACAACACGGGACTCGACTTTGCGCATAAGCTTTTGCATAACAAGGTGACGCGCGCTCTGCCCCTTGATCGACATGTTCTCTTGCTGTTGCAACGTTTGCGGTTCTGTCTCCTCCAGTAATTTTTTTTGTAGTTCCTCCTGTTGCTTTTGGTGCGCCGCTTGTTCCTGCGCCCGTCTCATTATATCGGAGTTTGTCGTAGTCGTGACTGGTATCTAACAATCACATTTAAAACGATTCAAAAAAATTCATCGTACGGTTCAAAATTGGTGCGAACAAGAACAAATCGTGGAAAACTTACAACCGGAGTTCCTACTATTGTTGGTGTGACGACAGCTGGAGGTGGTATAACGACTGGTTGTCCAGGTATCGGTTGAATAATTGCCGGTAGTCGAGTTAGAGTTTGTGGTATAGCTATACCAGGTGGAGGTATGACTGGTGCTACTGTTGCTATAGTCGGTGGCGCCATAATTGTCGCGGGAGCAAGTGTGGGTCTTACTATACCAGGCAAAGCTGTAAACAAAAATAATTTTATAAGATCATCGACCGAACAAGTGAAATAGATATAAAATTTTGTGAACTTCTATGTACCTTGATTCAATATCGGTGGTGCAGCAGCTCCGAGTTTGGTTAAACCAAGAGCAACTGCATTACTAGCTACGGCGTCCATTGCTTGTATCTTTGCTGTCGCAGCGGCGGCTGCAACTGCCGCTGCAGTCGGCATCATACTGGTCCCACTGGGCGGACCCATAAGAGCATTTGGCGGAGTAATGGCTCTGCCTACTCGTAAGTACTGACCACCCAGATCGAACAAATTCATCGACGCTATAGCCTCCAAAGCGGCTTGCATCGTTTCGTATTCGATAAAGCCATAACCTTTGTGCCGGTGTGGCGAACTTCCTTGCGCTAATTTGCAATACGTAATAGGACCGAACGCTTCAAATACAGATTTTATATCATCCTCGGTTAAATCCTGATGAATGGATGCAATGTAAATACGATTATAATGTTTACTCTCTTCTGTAATTTCATCTATCACGGATTGTGCTTGGGGCATGTTCGACGGACGCCCCACAACCTGAAAGAAAACCATACAAATTTAACGACGCTCTCGGCCAACGTACAAAACATTTATGTGCAAAATTTTACGAAGACTAAAAGCTCTAAATATAAAACAAATGCTTAAAATTAAATAGCTAAATATGCTCAAAATAAAATTAAGGAAAGGAATTCTATTATATTCTGCAATGGAGATAATCTGCATTTGTAGCATCGTTTAAAAACTTTTGTTACTCTTTAAAATATCATAAAAATTTTACGTCGTAATCAGTTAAAAAATCTACAGGCATGGAATTTATTATGATCGTTAAGAAGAAATTTAATTAAGTTTTTGGTCGAAGTGCATTCTCTAAATACGATGCAGTTCGATCAAAAGGAATTGGATAAGACTAAATAAAAATTTGCCGACCTCCGGCGGGATGATAGGATTGCTGGGGGACAGGAAATTCGTTATATAGGTACGTCCCGCTACCTTGATGTTACGTCCACCAATCATGACACCATTCATCTGTTCCAAAGCAAGTTGTGCTGCTTCGGGTATCTCGTATTCGACGAATGCAAATCCTTTGTGCTTCTGTGTAACAGGATCCCATGACATGTTGATCGATTTTATAGGACCAAAAGGCAGGAAAGCCTGCCTGATCGTGTCCTCTTTCAATTCGAAACTGATGCTGCCCACATATACCCTGCCATACAGGAACATCATTTCAAGTGACAATTTACCATATATATGTTAGATCGATTTCTTTCAATTTTATTTGTATCTATTATTAACGTATTCACAATTCTATGCTATCATCGATCGAATACAGAACGAAAACAAAATATTCGAAGATATTTCTTGCAAAAAGAATTTGTCACAAATTTTATTTTACAAACAAATTTTAAATATTTCCTTTGTGATGTTAATTTCTTATTTATACATTGCTTTTGTATCTCTTTTGCAAGAACGTTCTTTCAACTCGACGATAATCGGAAAGATTCTCCATTCGCGTTTGTAATGTTCAAAAAGTATTTGATATTTGAAAAGAACAAGCGTCAAGTATCGACCAATGCACGTAGCGAGATATACATAATTTGAAATAATTCGAACGGAACCCAAGTTAAATTATGAATAAAACATTTTAATAAATACAAGATACGAGAGTTAAGAATAATCTTCAAGACTCGAAGACGAAATTTTGGAGGGCTAAGACAAAGAACAAACAAACCTGCACATGAGGGCGAGAGCCTGCTGTCTCTGCACCTGATTCCGTTGACTAGCCATTTGCTGTAACACAAAGGACCATAGGCCTTCTATTGATATCCCTCCCCCTTACATACACCATGTCTCGTTCATCTCAAAAATCCCCCAAGCTCTTTTACCATTCCAACTTCTTCGCTCGACTAGTCTTTTCTCAATTTCGCAAGTCTTCGTAAAAAGAAATTTATTTGAAAACAGGCAAGACAACTTCTCAAAGATCATCTCCAATTCCATTCGAACGAAGTATAAGTATATGTATAGTAAACATTAATCGCCATAAGGTAGTACGATAAAACTTTTCATTTTGAACTTGTATCCAGAACACGTTGTTAAAAATGTACTCGTTGACAGACTACTTGCATAATACTGAAAATTATAGCCAAGGGGTCGCTTACATTTTTAACATTTTAATTCTAAATACAAATTGGAATCTATTATAAATGCTTTTGAAAAATTACTTCGCTATGAGGAGAAAAGGAAAAGAATAGTCGAGTTCAGAAGCGTGTATCGATTATTTTTCTCAAATCGTCCATAGATTCATGCACAAAAACTTGTCCTCCTTTGCGCTGGTACAGCTCTGCTCCCGCCGACTACTATCTCAAGATATCTAACCTTTTCTTACAGTAGTAACTCAGGGAAACGTTTAGGAGTGTTTGATCGTAAGGCGGTTTCATATTGTTTCTGTCTTGACTTGGTTGACACTAACCTGCACATTAGCAATAAAACTTGCTGCCGCAGGACCAACTTATTCTTCTGCAGGGAGAAAAAATCAACCGATCAGAGTTAGGTTCCAGTGTTCGTCTCTAATTTCTGTTATTGATTTTGATTTTTCTTTCACTTTACTCGCTCGTCATAACGAACACAGGTTAATCATATTCAAATAATAATTTAACATTACTCGGCGGGGCGAGCTAAATTGCAAGGACAAACGTTAATTCGAAGCACCATATGCGTAGATAAAAAATTGCTGGTTTTTTTTCTCGGTATTATTGGCAAAGAGCTAAATAGAGGAAGCAACATGTACAATATATATCTTCTAATAAATGATACTTTTTGAGATAAAAAAGAACCCCACAATCGTAATATATAATTTCATAAAACTATGTATTGGATCCATTGTGCATCCTTGCGAACAATTAACATTCGATTCAATAACTGAAATCGCGCGGAAGTTAATTTTTCAATAGCATTCGTTTTATGTTTCTTGTTTTTTTGTCATGTCAGCGCACGACAAAGATAGAGAAAAGAGAACACTCGTTTTAGAAGCTTATGAATGTACAATGGAATACAAAATGTATGTTAGGCGAGTAAAGTTTGTTAGTTTAATGTTTGAAAATTACCTGCTGTTGATGCGCGAGGGTCTGTTTCATTAGAACCATTTTGATGCTTTGTTCCATCGCGTATTTCTTTGCTCTATTTACTGTATCCTGCTGTTCGGATGTAATTTTTGGGAGACCTGCACCTAGAATGCCAGGTAATGTAAGATATTTAGCTCCAGGTCCTGCAACACAAAAGATATTTCATGTAAACATACGCTCCAAGCTGATCAAAGGACGTGACCAAATCACGTTTCATCAGATCTTATCAGCTACTTGTCCACTATATCGTTATCAACCCTCAATATACAACTTCAATTGGAGCGATTAAAATTTTATTGTCACTATTTTACTTATACATCATTTGTAAACAGTTTTATGCGACTTAATAATTTAATATAATTTTACGTACCAGCAACAACTTGTCCGATTTGGTTAAGATCATATATAGGGCCTGGCAAGAACTCTGATGCATTTCCTACGAAGAAAATTAGTATTAGATAAACACGTAACATGATAATTAATTATATTTAGTACCTCCACTATCACGCACACACGCACACACATGTTTTTAAAAATTACTCTAATTTCCAGATTACTTTTTTCTTTTTTTTCTTTTTTTTTTTGTTCTTTGTGACGATAGAGGTACTAGAATAATATTAATTTTATAGGGAATAGTTTTGATTTCTTAACTTTGATTGAAAATTAAATAAAATCGAATATATTGTTTTTTTTTTTACGAGTAAATTTATCGTAAGTGGCTGTAGAATTTTAGACAAGGAATGCAACAAAATGACTTAAAAAGAGATGAAAAAAGTAACGATGTCGTGCAGTAGTTCCCACGGTAGAACCATCCTCCAAACTGTAAGTTCAAAGAAATTAAAACAGTCAGGAACAATAAATATTTCACTTTTACAATTGAAGATATTATGTATAAAATATAAAAATATAACATATATTTTATACACATAAAGGACAAAGTGGAATTCCCTTCTTTTCTTGCACACCATTAACATAAAATCTGTTTTGTACTTCGAACGAGTAACGATCAGACTTTTGTTGAAAACAATATTAAAATTTAAAAGAGATCGCTGCAACTTAATGCACAATATCTTTCATTTAAACTTCATTACTGTTTGCACTATTAGCCTCAAACAAATCAGACAACCGATAACTAGATTAGGTTTTCGTACGATCATAACCAATTTGGTCTGCTAGTCTCTGAAACAGAAATCAGAACACGTTGAAACGCTTCTTTTTCTCTTTTACGACTTTTGCAGTTTCACGAATCAATAATTGTTAACTTTGTTCGATCATTTGATTAACGGCTAACCGTGTTCTGGGCTGAGCAATGATGGTTGTGCGCAAACTATCCGAGATTGAGGCGACGCACAAATCTGTAAGCACAAAGCAAAGGAGAATACTCTCAGTGCATTTTCTGCGCCATTTTCTTACAGTTTGCCTTTTCCAACCTACCACGCAATTAGCCTTAACACTTTCTGTGCAGCAATGGCGATCCTAATTGACAAGAAATCTAACGCGATCGACCGTCGAAAAATCGTATTTTCTCGTGTTGTACGCTCTTCTGCAATATATTCTTATCAACTTACAACGGGCTCACCTTCTTTAATTAGTCTCACCTCGTGTTTACAGAACATAAATACAAATGCGATAAACTTCGTTTTGAGAATATCTTGAAAAACATACATCGCCATTGCCTCTCCTATTTATAAGCCTCTCTTTTCATTCTTTATATATTTCGATCGAGTAAAGAATCGATAATACGATTCGCAATTTACGAAAGAGTCGCCAGGAATTTTCAAACAAACTACAGCCACTTAATTTTTTATCGGTATCTAAAAAGATGATACGCTTGGACACCATGCTCTGATAAACTAAATTCGTGTACAAAACGAGGCTTATAATTAGGATGAAAGAAGACTACCCTAAAATGCTGACCTATCTAAAATACGCATCGTATTTGGTACTCGACAATAGATGCTGTGTCAGTGGAGTTTGCAAAACTCTGATTTGTTCTGTTCAACGAATGTAGCGTTCTCTTTCTTTGTTTGGCGCACGCTCATGATCACAGCTCAGTCGTAGGCCACAGATTCTGTACTGTCTCTCCGCTGTAACATCTCAGAACAGAAGGACAACCATACATTAGTTTTATTGAGGGCCAACGATCACCTATTACCCTAGCCTACCAAAATATATTCTGAAACTGCAATAGACCTCTCGACTCTTATAGTTTGCCAGCATTTTAATAGAAAGCTAGCACCTGATTGTCCTAAGTAAATAGTATATGTTTCTCTTCATCATTTCCTTTGTTTAAAAATATATTATGCTTGCTGTTGCTTCTGTGTTCACCTGTCTTTTCCACTCGTATGCTTAACCGTATGATTTGTTAGCGATTAGGGGCATACAACTATTTGGCTGTTTTAGCAATGTACCTTCGACTCTAGGCTTCTTGTTCGGTGGTTCCGCACTGTTCTGGGACGTTGGTGCCTATAAAGATACATACGTATTTAATGTTATCGTATTTTATATTACTAATTATACAAGATTAAATAACATCGAAGGTTAATGCTGAATTTAAACATTAAAAATATTAATTCTTGTAGTACGTTGCTATTTTAATAGAAGCAATCAAATAACTGCACGCATAACGATATCTTCAAACGCTTACAATAATTATAAACTTCCAAATAACATCACTATTATTGCAAATACTATAAAACATTAAGCACACCGTTACGATATTTAATGTTTCTCGTTTGCGTACAATGATTCGAAACAAATGTTGGGGATAACCCAAAATATTTTAAGAGCATTCTGTATGAATGAAAAGGCATGATAAATTTTCTCGGTATTCAGCTTGTTAAAAAATAAATTTGTAAATAGTAACTTTTATCTATGATACACATTAAAATGTATGAAAAAGTCTGTAAACTTTATTGATTGGATCATGTGCGATATTATGTCAATACGCGTTAATAATTCGATTGGTAACTTATACGTTTTATATACAATGAAAGAAACTTCTGTTGTTTTATACTTGTAATTTATCCGGTCGCTTAAGGATATTAATCACTTAAGTACGTTGCAAGCATTTTACAACCGCCATCATGATCCGTCATTTGTTACTTCTGCCAATGCAATATTTCTTGTAAAAACAATGATAAAATTAAACTTACCATAGCCATTGCTCCGTTCATTGTCCCCTGTGGTCCAATAAAATGTGATCAATTTCTTTTAGACGTGATTTTTGAATAAAATCTCAACCGACTCGCGAGAAGTAACTTACGTCCGAAGCGATCCGAAGCTTGCCCTTACGGAAGCATACGGAAGTGCTATAAGTATACACTTTGTAGTAATGTTACTTTATCGTATATAACAAATGTTCGAACAAACAACGAACACATATGCTATATTTACCCATAAATAAAAACACGACTATTTTTCTATACTTCGAAATTTCTGTCCGATATTAACATTAACGTTTTATTCGTACGTTAAACTTGTATACCGATCGTAATTTGACTAGAGCAGTATAATTATGACAACCGGAGAACACATGTTCGAGAACCAGAATATCTTGTTAACGTGTTTGCTTTGTTAAGAAATCGAATCACGATGGATACCAAGAATTTTGAAATCAGATTAATTAACGACGAAAAGGCAAAATATATTTATATAATTCACCGTTGTGTTATTTCATGTTAATTATTATCTTATCGGTTTTAAGTCGTGTTTAATTTCAAACGACACGGGAGTTGTTCTTTTTTTGTTAAATTCAATACATTACGAACTCGTCGAAAGCACTTGCGAATACTAATATAATGTATTGTAGGGAAAGGGTCTCTTTGCTACTCGTCCATTTAAAGATGGGGATGTAATTTTGGAGGAGAAACCTATAGTTTGTTGTCAGTTTTCTTGGAATTTAGAATATGGATATTTAGCATGCGACAACTGTTTAACACCTTTAGAGACTGCGGAAGAGAATGTACATAGATTAACAGAAAATCCAGCAATTATTTTACCTCATGCAGAGTGTTGCGAAACGAAAAAAGATTTAATTACGGAATGCCCAGAGTGTGGCACAAAATACTGTAGTATCGAATGCCAAAACGAGGCTTATTCGAGGTAATATAAATTGATTAAAACAGATGAAATAATTTAATTCTATAGTTTATTATAATTTTAGATATCACAGTACATTATGCTTGCACGCAAGAGAAAAATGTGAATCTCATCCGCTTGCAAAATTAAATGACACGTGGAAGCAGATGCATTATCCTCCAGAATCAGGAACGATAATGTTACCAGCCAGAATGGTAGCTCTTGTTAATCAAGCCAATAATAAAGAGGATATTCTTTCTATCTTTTCGCGATTTTGTCATTGCGCGATCAACGATATACAGCAAATTACGCACAAGTTGTTGGAAGAGAAGTTCATCGGTCAGATCGACGTACTCAGAGAAATGATGCAAAAAGCTTTAAACACCCAATTTGTATCGGATGTACGTGATTTCATTGCAAATCAAAGAATGTTGTATCATGATATAAATAATTTAAGTTTTCGATTTACAGTGGTTTACACCACAAGGTTTTAGAAGTCTGCTAGCTTTGATAGGTACAAATGGCCAAGGAATTGGGACTAGTTCGTTTGCGCGTTGGGTAAAAAATGTATCCGCATTAGAATTGCCAAGAGGGGAAAGAATTCGGGTCGACAAATTAATAGACCATATTTACGATGAAATGGAAGAAGGTACTGTATTCTATAAAGTATGGATTGTAACGTAACCTTTTATACTTTAACAACGCTTTTACCTTTGCAGCTATAGGTTCCTTCTTAAACAATGAAGGCTCCGGTCTTTATACTCTACAGTCAACAGTAAATCATAGTTGTATACCAAACGCAATTGTAGAATTTCCTTACTCGAATAACGTATTGGTTTTAAAAGCAATACGCGATATCCAACCCGAAGAAGAAATATGTATAAGCTACCTGGATGAATGTGATCTGGAAAGAAGTAGACATTCTAGACAAAAAGCTCTATGTTCTATGTACTTGTTTCTTTGCCACTGCAATAAATGTTTGTTGCAAGCCGACGATCCAGATTTAACGTCTGAAGACGAAATAGACGAGATGTCTAGCTGAAAAGGTGTATACGTATAATTGAATTTATTATGTTCGTACATGTTTTACTGTATACGATGATAAATTTGCATTCATATGTCTCTATCTTGTCATTGGAACAATGTATGTACTATACAGCGATGACTTGATGGCTAGGCACGCCGATTGGCCGTAGCTTAATAGCGACGCCTGCTCTCACACGTCATTGGCTGAGTCGCTCGCAGCTACAATTCGTACAGGAACAGAGTACGTGACGTCATAGTACAATTTAGTTTGTGGGTGCCTAGCCAACAAGTCATCTCTTGGTAGTATGTACTTGCTATATCAAGCGAATTTCAAACTGTCCTCCGCTGACTCGAAGTCCCCTGGCGGGAATGCGAGGAAAGTAGAAGGGATACACCTGTTTCCACGTACCATTGAACTCTGGTTCGCTATTCGTCGAGGCATTTACACACACATTTGAACTGCCCGAGAGCAAGGGAGAAAGATAGATAAATGACTCCTCTTGCTCCTGTGTCATCCCGCTGGACTTCAAGTCAGCGGACCACAGTATACAGATTATAAAAATTTATACAGGTTATCTTTTTATCACGGAATGTAAATATCGAACTTGTAAACGAAATACGGAATAAAAGTTTTACACATCAAATTATTTTATTTATAAATGATCATTTTACAATAAAATATTACATAAATTTTATGCATGAATTTTTATTCCATAGAATAAAAACACAAGCATTATGGCTTCGTCTCAGTGTACGTATATGACACATTAATTTTCGTTTAATTTATCTAGTCTGATCGTACAATTTTTTTTACTTACATAGAAATGTAATGATAAAGTATAAAAGTTTGATTTCGTTACAAAAGCACTTCACTTATTTATTTATTCTATGTCAATTTTAAATATATTAAATCTTAAACCTTGTAAAAATCGATCTAAAAATTGCACATATATGTATAACTAGATTTGACTAATTTTAATAAAAAAACATAGCAAATATAACAATTTTCTAAAATTCAGCAACAATGGGATTAATGAGCATGCCAGGCTAGGCATTTGTTAATAATTATGATCTAATAATACAAATATACATCATTTAAACATCAAAATTGTCAATTCCTATGAAGCTTAAATTGGTTTTTGCCCGATACCATGAAATTTGATATGTAATTTGGTACGGGCGAAACGAGTACTTTTTTTTCTATTAATTTTTTTAAAAATGTAACAATGTTGTGGCTACGAAACTCCCACCTGGAATACAAAACAATTACCAAAATATAGCGTACTTATTTCGAAGAAAAAAACTACTCACGTTACACTGATTTTTTCACTTGGCAGTTTTGTTGATAGATCTTTGTGCACCCAAGGTACATCTGGTGCAGTTATGACAAGTGATTCTAAAGTAGGAGTGTCATCGCCGAAACACTGTTCCGCGTATTTTTTCCGTTGTTTATGTTGAGTGAAATCTATACCTGTACTCCTAGAAAACGAACAAAGTACACGATTAGAACATAATATTTTCATTTTGTTAAACCTATTTAAAGTAAATATTACTTGATATCAGGATCAGCATCCATATACTGCACAGTTTCAGAAATATTTTCCGAATTCAGTGCTCGTCCGTTCCTCCTCCACAGCATCGCAGATAACGATTTAAGGTTTTTCCCCATTAAATTGAAGGGTTTGCTTTTCTGGTATCCCATACTGTGTGCTATCGCTTGCGTTACATTTGACAGAACATTTTTTCTAGTACAAAAAAAATACTTGTCGCCGACGAATAAAGCCATATAAATAGGGACACTTTTTATAGGCTTTGATGTCAGAGAGATATACATAACGTCATCGTGCATGGTTATTTTCACATCTATTTTCATGTTTAACGTTTTGAAATAGTTCTCCATAGAATTTTGAATGTTTCTAATCGTAGGATAATTTGCAGATTTATTAAAATTCAATAACTTGTAACTATACCATATCCTTCGTGTGTTATGCCAACTTAAGTCTAAAATATTATATTATATTACATAAACATTATTCTCAATCTGCAAGTAAATGAAAAGAACCAATAAGGAATAAATATTACCAATTAACTGCAACGTTCTTAAGCGTTCTTTTAAATCTGTATAACGGAGGTTCTACAAAGATAAAAAATAAAATAAGATTTACATATAATTCTGTATATTTCAGCGTAAGACTTACAAGTGTCTCAATCTTTATAAGCTGGGCTACATTAGGTGACGTAAAGCTCTTGCGATGTTGAATTAATTTGGTCTTTATATCGGTCCATGATGTTTCAGGAAAAATTGGCATTACTGTTAATTGCAGGTCCTCGAACTTAAACCTTTTAATTACACATATTATTTGCCGTTGCACTTCAGTAACTGTTACTGGAACATCAGGAAACAAATTTTTTTTACTTTACACAATTTCAACACATCGCACGTCTTAACGTAACCTTTACAAATTGAAGAATTTTTAAGGAACTAACCCACTGACATTATGCAGAGCAAAGATGAAATTCGATTCAATTGGAGTATGACTATAAAATACCGCCAAACGTTCACAGAAGTCTCTTTGTGCACCTATTGGATACTAATGCAGTACGTTGCACACGCGCATAGCACGCGCCGCCTACGTTGCTCACCATTTCCCGCCTAAAATGACAGTTATACCGTAGTTCACGAATTCGGCGACAGAGGGACGACACATAAGTAAGAGGGGTGGGCAAAGAAGGCCGCTATGTTTGCGTAAAAATTTGCTTGTAGATTTCAGATTTAGTGTAGTTGACGATATGTATGTGTAATTTATCACCTTTCGGTCATCTTCCCATCTCTTCTCGTGCTATATGAGAGAAAGAGAACATGACCCGTATATTCCTGGATGCGATACGGGGTATCTAACGCTGACCTTTATCTATGTATACAGACGATCTATACGTATATGTCAATATTAATTTGGCTGTTGGAACATAGGGACACTATAATTTGTCTTATATTGATCTTCGACGATATCTACGTTCTATTATGAGATGCGGTTTATTTGCCATGACCATGACCTTGCGATCCGGATCAAAAGAAGATCCCAAGAATGCACGCTGTACAAATACGCACAGTTGCCTCTCGAGTGACACGTTATGTACTTTCCTCCATACGTGCACGTTTACTACCCGATTTGCATACGACCAAAGTAAAAAGAAGACGAGAGTAGACGCGGGACGAGAAAAATCAGTGTGCCTCGCGTGTCCTTTGTGCGAGGATTTCGAAAGACTGTCGATCAGTGGTTTTTGTCGCGGCTGGCCGGCATATCTTGTACTATAAAAGCAAACGCGGATAGCCCTCGTTGTCCAGAGTAGGAGCGAGAATTTAATCAGGATGTGGATACTGTACGTGGCATTGGGTGGGTGTCGCGCATTGCGTTCGGAGTATTTTTTGAATTGCGCTTTGTGCAACGTGAGCCCAAAGTGTCGTAAATTTCATTAAAAACAATGAAAATTGTACGAGCTACAATTTAAGTAAAAGTGTCCCCCCAATTTCGGTGATCTAAGGAGGAAAAAGTATCTTCGCAAAAATCGTCATTTAATCATTCATTTTCGATCGCAGTTGCGTCGTGCGGAAGCGTGATCGCGTTTCCACAAAACGACAACTTCTACGGAGTGGATGATTTTGTTTTCAACGAACCTATCACGAGACCATCGCACGTTACTTACGCCCCTGTGACACCCACCACCGTTGCAACAACGACAACTTCGGAAAATTCTGACGCCGCGATCCAGGCGTGCATCAACAGTTGCCAGGTGAATGAAAATTAGAACTATAACAACAATTTTTTCAGTTCTACTGATCGCTGGCATATTGATAATTAAGTTTATCGCGCAAGTTCAAAGTTCTCGCTGCACAAGATAGCCCGGTGACAGAAAATGGAACACGATGCTCGAAGTGTACAAGCGGTGGCAGATTCAATATGGCGTCAATATCATCTCCCTCCCAATTAACTAAAAAAATGTATTATCTGAGTTTCCTTAATGTTATTTACATTATCGCGTTAAGGAAACTCTTCGATTTATTCCTATCTATTCGAAGTCAAGTATTTTTATACGTAATTGCCCCCGATTAACTCGAATGGTCTTCAAATGCAGTTTATACGCATCTTGCTAGAAAAATTATTTTTCGAGCCTATATTCTGCGCGCGATTCATCGTATACCAGGCATTATACTGAATATTCCAGTCGTTAAAATGATGTTGACCTTCGATCTTCGCGTCTCCACCTAAAATAAAAAAAAAAATACATCAGATTGTGTCGTCCTTGAGACCGAGCAAGCTTTGGAAGGCAAACGAATTATTCAGGCAACTTGTTCGCGAACCTGATCTTGTACAGAATTAATCGAATCTTCAGACTACCTCGGAATATAACCCGATTTGCGGCACGGACAACGTGGTGTACTCCAATCCAGGAAGCTTGGGCTGTGCAATGCAATGCGGCAAAGGTAAAAGTTTTACAGTAGTAGCCATAAAGTGTAAATTTTAATTTTTAAATTCATGGTAAATTTTGGCGGGTAAAACATTTTTTAAACTTTTGGGGGCCGATTTGAATTCGAAACGTTCAGGACGATTTCTTTTCTCGGAGATGCAACAGTTGAAAAATTAACAACATCTTCTTGCTTGCAGACATCAAGTTGAAGTACTACGGAATGTGCGGTGTGGCTGACAGAGGTTAATTCCTGGCTGGTCTGACTGGGATCGCATACTTCACCGTCGTCCATTTATTGTAACCCGTTTTCACCGTCATGGCGGTCGTTTTTATGTAAATCTGAAGAAACTGTCCTCGATCATGGTTTTATTTTACCACCGACTTCACCGTTGCCTTTCATTTTGATATATGAGTAGAAGCGTTACTAGGAATTAATGAAATTAGTTTATTAGTTGTCCGTCTTATACATTATATTAAATATATATAGGAGACCGAGAAAAGTTTTGCAACAAAGGCACGTGTTTCTATAAGATGTTGCAAAGTATCGGTTGTTCGCTACACGATGTACTGCTTTCAAAAACAATAAAGTCACTCAACGTGTCATAGACGTCGTTCTAGCGTAAGGGGTTAATGCAGTCAGAGTATGGCGTATTTCCTTTCACGAGTAACGAATACTTCTAGATTTGTTTGTAAACTAACTTCTACGTGCAAAAGCTAGATTACAAACGAATCTAAACATTTTTATTCGTCATTCGAGAGTGGAAATCGACTCTGGTCGAAGGCAAGTCGATCGTCGTCGAGCAGGGCGGCGACGTTGAAGCGGGACGCTTGGTCAGGCAGCGAATGATTAACCAAGGGACGAAGAGGATGCGTTGTTGTCCGCCCATCTGACTCTCCGAGCTACTTCGAAGTTGCCCCCGTGAACACCGTAGAGATGCCTGGCCAAAACGCTGGCTCTGTCCTCCTCTGCTCGTATCGCTGTTCGTCTGTATTGGGCCACCGCTAACAGGCAGCCGACGATTAGAATAATTTGTACGATCAGCCAGAAAATCAGTAGACTTAGGGCGAGACTGGCATCGACGCAAAAAAGCCCGTCTATAGAGGAGTCTGGGAACACGAGGATCGATATACAATCACCCGGACGTACGGAAGAATCTCTACCACAGAAAACAAGGGGGTACGGAACAAAATGGAGGAGAGGAACTTCCCCTGCTCGGTGATACTCACTTCCATTGGTGATTAAGACGGTATCTGGTGACCCGTTTTCCCTTGACGATAAACGATCCGCCGACGACGGGACGGAATTTTGAACGATTATGGAGAGTTGCAGCGGTAGCTCTTCAGGGGTCACGTCTTGAGATACCTGCGTCACTGTGGCGTTGTAAGGGGCACCATTTGGTAGCCCAGTCTCACGTTTTCTTCTTCCATAGGAGAGATGACCGCCTGTACATTTGGTCTGTAACGCGCAGGGTTTTGAATACAATTTATTTGAACCATATTCAACGCGGCAGGCATTGAATCCTCTAAGTATCGAGGGACTTACAGGAGTACATTCCTCCGAACAGAATCGAACGATCACGTTGAATCTGACCAGCTGACTGTTGGGGAACTTGAAGGCGGTGAACGTCGAGGTCAGAGAACGACCATCGCGCGGGTCTTTTGCCAAGGCAGGGAAGGTTGACGAGTCCGTGGGGCAGCCGACTTCGTCCAGAAGTAGGAAGGAGGCGTCACCGGAAGCGCTGCTGGCGACTAGGTGTCCGGCGATGATGTCGTATGGACCTTCGAGCAGAAATTGATCACCACCCGTTACATTTATGGAAATCACTCCTCGTCGATCTTACCATTCGCTGGACTTAGCTGGATCTTCAAAGTGAGCTTCTGTCCCAGGTGCGTGACGACCGCGTCCTTTAAGTTCTCATCCAGGATCCTCATAGTGACCAACGGCGCTTGCGACGAGGCGTTCACGATGGTCGACGATATCGGTGGCACTCCTGCGCTGAACACACGTAATTCGAGCGGTTTGTCGCGTGGAAACAGAACAGAAAAGAGCTACAAACAATGTCTCTGGACGATACAGCTAAATAATCTTTTTTAAACGTTTCAACGGCTAAGTATGACTTTTATACAGAAACATTCTTTTCAGGTGTTCGGTATATGCGTTCCTACTTTGGATCTAAAAAGCTGAAGCTCGAATGGACGGTGATGTTTCTCGGTTCCGGGGGCTCGTGATCGTTCAACGAGCATCCAACCCTGACCGCCTGATCGCCCAGTCGCTGAACTATGGGGTTGAACTGCACCACGATCGTCGTCCAAACCAGCGGTCGTGTTCTGCAACATCCATCATTTTAATATTCAAGACTGTCTAGTCCGAGATCCAGCGTAGTTCTAGATTAGATTGTTCACCGATTTCGATCGTCGATGGAAAACGCGGGATTCAGGCCACACTTGGGCATCAGCTTGCGTAGATCTTCGGCGCGAGGCAGCGGTAACGTTAACGTGGTTCGATTTGACCCGTAACCCTGAACGCCGCAAGTCTCCGCGTGGCCAGTTGCATAAACTCGACCGAAGAACGCGTCGTTCGTCCTCAGCTCGATCGTCATCGCCGTATCGTTGCATCGTACCTTCACTGAAACATCAAAATTCGTATTAGTTTTAATAACAACTAATCCTTGATCAAAACAGAAGCCATAGACGTAGCCAATTATTCTACAATTAATCGTGTGATCCAGTTGCAACTGGTTTAGTTGTGTCGTACTTAACACACTATCGGCGGGAAGGGTATTAATACCTTTTTCATAAACTGGCGCCAAACGCAGGTCGGGTATTGACCATCGATAGTGTGTTAATTACTGTTTCGCTAAAGATTCTCTTTTAAAAGTGTTGCAAAACAAATTCTATTATTATACAATAATAATAAAAATTCTGGTATGTACAGCAAGGGTGTCCTTGGCTACCCTGATGATTGTATGAAAAATTGTTAAGTTCGTGGCTCCTGTAACAGTATCGTTGCACGATACTCACGGTCCAGACATGGTTCTCGTTCTTTGTAAACGGCGTTCGCGGTGGTGATCAGCGAACTGACGCCCAGGCCGACCGTGTCCTCCGAGTGCAACAGGCACAACGACTCGCCGGATGAGTTGTCCAGAGTGTAGCCACGGCACACGAAACCGTCCGCGCTGAGATCGCACCTTCTCTCGCACTGAATTCAACCGACACGGATCGATCTTGCGTCGCGGGCGAATTCTTGCGAAAAGAGACGGAGGTTCGTTCTTACCTGCTTCGCGTCCAGGTTGGTCAGGGCGACGTCCGAATACGGTAACGTCGTGTTTCGAAACTCCGCGTAAGAGCAGTACTCGCGTTTAGCTTGAAAGAAGAAGGAGACAAGATCAGATGCGATACCAGTAAATTGTAATCCCTATTTTGATTCTAACTCGAGTGCCCCTAACAGAAGGCAACCCTGTGTACTGAGCGTCGATTATTCTTTGCAGCAGTACGCTTGGTAATACCTATATCCTTTTCATCGACCAAAGCTAGGGATCACGGTTTTCAACGTCTATTTAAATCTAAAATTTTAAGAAATGTAAAGTAAAAATTGGCAAGGAGGATCCTTTGGTAAACATTTACTATTGTATGGCTTCGAGTTCATTTTGAACCTTTTGTTACACTCACACACGTTCCGACATTGGTCACGAAGATATTCGTCCCTGTACATCGAGACTCTGTAGGCTTGTGGTCTCGTCCCCCTCTCGAGCAACGACAGGGTACATCTGCCCATCGCGTTGTTGGCAGAAAGTGGCCTCGTTGTCCGAAATTGTGCCGACTCGCAGCTTTTACCTGCGACCAGATCGATTAGGATTAATACCTACAATAAAACAATGTATTCTTATCTTTATTTACTAAATAAAAAATTTGGATCATCTATGATCATTTAAATAAAAGTAACATCAACCTTATGATTCTTTGCTCGACGAGCATAATTTAATATCAAAGACTGCCGTCAGCCATCTGTCTCCCCACGAATATATCAGCAATAAATTTAAAAATGACGTAGAATTACGTAATCGACGATCAACGATAGATTTTTAAATGATGTAATCAGCTGGGAACGTGTTGATTTACCGAATCGAATCGACATTCCAATTGAAAGTGTTTGAAAGAAATTCATGCTTATTTGAGACTACAATGAATATGCATACATTTTCATGCACTTCACCATACGTTGGAAGCATTAAAATTGTCGAGGAGGCTCCTTTTGTGCAGTTTTACCATAGTTCTTTCGTTGCTTCAGTTTTTCGTAATTTTTTAATATCTTTATACAACTGCTTTTTGTATCTTGAGTAATTTGTTTGCAGTCGACCTTTTTTTTATCATCAGAAATAACAAAAATTTTACGTATACTTAAGATAAACATCGTGACAAATTTCGAGCATTTGTTTCCTTGGAACAAAATAATTCGTTCGTAAATAAGTTAAGGCGGGAAAATATTATCGTGTGACATGGAAACAATGGATTCCCGCCATAATCTTACTTTTCCCGCCAATATCTTACTTTTCCCGCCATAATCTTGCTTCTTCTGCCATTATCTTACTTTTCCCGCCATAATCTTGCTTCTTCCGCCATTATCTTACATTTCCCGCCATAATCTTGCTTCTTCCGCCATTATCTTACTTTTCTCGCCATAATCTTGCTTCTTCCGCCATTATCTTACATTTCCTGCCATAATCTTGCTTCTTCCGCCATTATCTTACTTTTCTCGCCATAATTTTGTTTCTTCCGCTATTATCTTACTTTTCCCGCCAATATCTTACTTTTCTCGCCATAATCTTGCTTCTTCCGCCATTATCTTACTTTTCTCGCCATAATCTTGTTTCTTCCGCCATTATCTTACTTTTCCCGCCAATATCTTACTTTTTCAGCCATAATCTTGCTTCTTCCGCCATTATCTTACTTTTCCCGCCATAATCTTGCTTCTTCCGCCATTATCTTAATTTTCCCGCCATAATCTTGCTTCTTCCGCCATTATCTTACTTTTCTTGCCATAATTTTGTTTCTTCCGCTATTATCTTACTTTTCCCGCCAATATCTTACTTTTCTCGCCATAATCTTGCTTCTTCCGCCATTATCTTACTTTTCTCGCCATAATCTTGTTTCTTCCGCCATTATCTTGTTTCTTCCGCCAATATCTTACTTTTCCCGCCATAATCTTGCTTCTTCCGCCATTATCTTACTTTTCCCGCCATAATCTTGCTTCTTCCGCCATTATCTTACATTTCCCGCCATAATCTTGCTTCTTCCGCCATTATCTTACTTTTCCCGCCATAATCTTGCTTCTTCCGCCATTATCTTACATTTCCCGCCATAATCTTGCTTCTTCCGCCATTATCTTACTTTTCTCGCCATAATTTTGTTTCTTCCGCTATTATCTTACTTTTCCCGCCAATATCTTACTTTTCTCGCCATAATCTTGCTTCTTCCGCCATTATCTTACTTTTCCCGCCATAATCTTGCTACTTCCGCCATTATCTTACTTTTCCCGCCATAATCTTGTTTCTTCCGCCATTATCTTACTTTTCCCGCCAATATCTTACTTTTACCGCCATTATCTTTCTTTTCGCGCCCCCCCGCCAGTCATCGAGATCGTACTTACCAATCTGTATGCATTTTTCGTAACATTGGTTTCTGGTGATCGATTGTGGCAAATGAAACGCGCCTGAATCGATGAACACTGCTCCAGCGTTTCTTTCCACCTGCCAAAGGCTCTTTCGTCTGCAGGTTGCTGGAACTGATCGCAATAAGTATCATATTATTAGTGTTAACAATCTGCCAGCTACAAGTTAGGTTTCACGGCCTCGTCGTTACCTCTTACGCAGACTCGATGATAAAACGTCGAGTTGGCTTCCGGCACCAGTTCGTCATCTTCCATCTCGACGCTGTAACAAATGCTTCTGCCGAAATCTACGACGAACGCGGTACAGTTTTCCCTCTTGCATCTGAAACTCAGAAGACGACGATGCCAGACGAGAATGGCGTATGTACATATTCCGCCCTTTTTCCTAACCTCCTCTCATTTTTCATGAAACTTCTGGTGCAAAGAGTTAGAAAGAATGCCTTTATGCGATGTGAATTGTCGACAGTAGCGACAAAAAATAAGGTACATGTACACCAGTGTTTCATCTCTTTTTTAAACGTTCCAAATGTTTCTGAATTCTATTACTATACCTCTCGAAACAAGGCTTGGTGATCCCATTCGAGTTTATAGAGCTAAATAGAACCGTTTGTGATTTCACGGATTCTGGCCTAATCCCGCCAATTTTTTCCCAAACGGGGTCCGAACACGTTTCTTGGGACTCTGGAACGAATTGTGAAGAAATTCGCGATTATTCATTCGTCTCTAAGGTTCGTTTTAGATCCATTTATACCCACGTAACGTAAATAACGCGTAACAAGTTTTAATTCATTTCTAAATTAACCTCCCTTTGCCCTCCATTCATAAATTGCATAAAAACGAAGGAAGTTGTACAAAGAAGTTTTTTATTTTTCAACAGTATATTTTGGGGTTCTAAAACATTTTAAGGTATCTCATTATACATATCATTCATCGAATCAAGTTACCAACTATAAACAAACAAAGTTCTACTTTTAATCTACAGATATCGTTGTCTCTGTTCGATCTGTATTGCAGTTTTTTGTTGCTTGTTTACATCTAGCGATCGCTCGGTGAATGGACTTTGTTTACGTTTTGAGAATACACGATACCATTTTAAGGTTAACTCTTTTTATTGGGGATGGTAATTACATGGAGTACAGACAGAATGTTACTATTTTCAATTTTTCAGATACGAAATCCACGCCAACGAGACGAATTTCCATCGAGACGATTCTTGTATTGGAAAGTGAAGTTACACGAAGTATTATAGATTACGAAAACTGAATAGAACTGGTGACAGAACAATGTGTGGACCCCTAATATAAGATGAATGTATGGAGACGTTCGTCGTGGCTCGATACGTGGGTGTAAATGGATCTTTGTTCGATTGATCCTCACCGGTCGACGCGATAAACCCGCAAATCGAGATCACAACCGCGAGACGCGCGACTATCGACATGGTCGATTATCGCTTCCCGTCCGCGTGGCCGTTGAGCGACGAGACTGTGCCAAGGATTAGCACGAACTGTTATTGTTGATCGTCCTGATGTGTGACGCGGAACGCTTATGTAACGACGCTGCACCTAACGTCGACGAAACCGAGAGAGCTGAAATGCCATCCGAAAACTCGGCCTAAAAATTCGCGAGAACAAGCAGTAAAGAATCGCCCAGGAGGTTAAGTCACAGTTTCGAATTTTGGTTTTCGATAAGTCGATGTCACGTCGTGTTTCCAACGGAAAACGTAGGGAATTAACGAGACAGAACGAAGTCGATAACGACAAGCACGTTGTTATCTCGCGTTATTCTTTCCTATTTTACCAAGTACTTCTCACGAGGTTAGGTTTTACGATCACGTTCGCCGCACTCTTTTTCTTTTGATTTATCTCGTTCGTGACGTGTTATTAAAACTGCGTGCGATACGAACGTCGAATAAAATAAATAAAATCGTTCTTCCTGTCCACTGTTCACGCGGCTCGTCGTTTTCCATCGACCGATTTCGCGTGGCTTCGATTTATTTACACCGCCCGTGGACGCGATGGCGCGACAAAAGGTACGAGCGAGTTGCGAATTCGCGGGCAACTGACGAGCCGCGGAATGTGAGTAGAACTCTGCCTCGTTCACCTGCATCCTCGTAAAAAAAAAAAAAGAAAAAAAGAAACGAATGGGAGCGAACGAGCCCGCTCCCGCGCGCGTAACGATGGTCCACGAATAATCGCGGTATGGTGTAATGCGTCCGCGAGCGGACGGATGTCGCGTAAATCGCCCCTATTCCAACGAAACGTGATTTTTGCGCAGACGACTCGTTCGTATCCTCAGATCGTACCAAATGAACTTCCATTGTTTAAACCATTCTTAGCGTTAAGATAGGTTTCTTAAATGAAAAATATTACAATCATAATAAAAAAAAGACAGTTAAATGGCTGTTATAATGTGTCAGACATTATTGTTTACTCATTATAATTAAAAATAGCTACTGTGTTACGAACAAAAGCAGTGAATGTTATTAAAATGAAAGAATGCAGTTTTAATGAAAAAAGATTTAGAATTTTGTATCGGATCAATACATTTTATATTAATTTTTATATTTCGGTTTAGGAACAACCTTCAGAATCGAGGCTCGAGCCGTGCATCGCTGTAATTGGACGATCATCGAAAGGGAGAGAGCGCGAATCGACGAAATGCAACAACGGAACCGCGATTGGTGGACGTCGTCGGGACGCTGGTTGATCGACGAAGGCTTGGCCGGTGCTCGTAAAACTGTGACGCGGCGATACGAGACACGCCGGTGGCTTTTCACGTTGCATCGATGTTTATCTCGCCTCGTCGACTATTTCCGTTCGGTTACGCGTTACGCGTTACGGGGATCCGTGCTCCATCGTCCCCCGTCGGTGTCTTCGATCCTTTCGCCTCGTCGGATTTACGAGAACGCGAACGCGACGACGCGCTCGGCTATATGCACGCGACCGGGACACGCGATGACGTCGATGCTCGACACCCGACGGCGGCGTCCTTCGGCTTACATAATCGCGATTTTGCATGCACAATTTTTTTTTTTCGAGTGCACGATTCGACACGCTTAACGGCATTATCTTGGCCTGCGGTCGACTACGGCTCGAGCGAATCATTTCGAGTAATGGTTTATAGCTACAACTTCGTTTATCGAAACAAATTACTATTATTATTATTAAATAATGCATTTTAACGGACATTATATGTACACGAACCAACAAACAATTACTAGTTTACATTTTGTTTAAATTAGAGGTTTCTTATCAGGCTTGTTGGAACAAAATGGCGGGGAATTATCATGGAAAGCAATGAAACCGGGTATGACGCGAATCAACCCTGATTAGGTAAACGCTAGATGATCATGTCAATGCTCACATACGTAATAGTTCTATTCTGATTTATGGATTAGGATCTGTTTGAGTTTCTGGAGAAATTTCGTTTTCAAAATGTGGTCGATTCTGCGCAGAGTGGGTCAAAATGGCGGAGTGCAGGTCACGCGCACGGTTTTGCGCGCCAAGGACTCATCGGTCGATCGCTTATCGTACGACCTTCGCCAGCGGCTCGGACTCTGACTCGTCATCGAGTAATTACCATTCTATTGAACGACCCATAACGACGTTCGTTGATTTTTTAGCGCAAAACGAACAATGCCCACGGGACCAAGAAGTTTCTCCGTTGGTCAATCCGTTACTGGAAATTGTAGGATGAACAGTAGAGTTGAGATCTATTCTAGGATCATCAAAGTCTGTCTAATATTAATTCCAACGCAATCCTGGTCATCAGTTCTATGATGGAGCTTGAACAATACGACAATTAATATGTACAACTCGTTTACTTCGACGTTACAAACGAATTATGTAACTTATGGGAGATTGTCTCCCAGAATTCTAATTCTGAACAGTCGCGTCACCGGTAAATGGCTCTACGAGCCATTTATTTTAATCGTTGATTACTTCACGAGTATTGTCCGTTCAAGAAATTAAGACGAGACCCGACTCTTGGAAATAGAAAGTGTTAGAAAATAGCTTTTAAAAAGTTCAGTACATCGACCAAAAAAGTCTAGAGGTTTTTGTAACGGGAAGAATTCTGGGTACAAAGATCGATATTACCGCGATTCTTCCCGGATCTGCCGGTTGAACTCATCGATTAGGCTTACCTAACAGATCCTGCCTTTGACGCGATGCTATTAATACTTTGAACAGCCACAAATTACTCCATAGGTTATTAATATACACAGATTAGTCGAACGATTAATAGCAACGTGTCTGGGGCAGAATTCTTCAGTCTTTTATATTCTCTGAAGCCTATTTTGACTAATTCTGTTAAGGTTTTTACAGGTTAATTGAAATATTGTGTGGCGTCACCTCCTGTACTCGCCGCAAGAGGGCTACACGCAACTTGTCTCTCTCGCAAGCGTTCGAGCGACTCTTCGTTGCTATATATACACTTCTCGATCGACTGCTCAGAGTCTGCTAAGAAGACTTATTGATGGGCCTACTAGTAGTCAAGCTCTGAACCAAAAAACTATTCCGCCTTTACTTTTCTGCTTTCCTACTATCATTCTCGTTAGATCCAGCGATATAGCACCACAAAAGGTGATGTTTCCTCCTTCGAAGCTCTTTCTGAACAACCTAATAATTAATAATAATCTCGTTGCTCAATACAGCGCCCGCATAGTTGTGAACGATGCAACGTGGGGAAACTTTGTGGACGATTTCTCCCGCGTTTATCCTCCTTCGACTGTCGGCCGTGTAAACGTGTTTTCGCAAGAAGCTCCGAATACACGAATGAGATAATACCACCACAATGTGGTACCACCTCGATTGTTGCATTAGAGCCAAGTATTATTTCACCAGGAGATTAAATGTCAGAGTTTTTTTAACATTTTGCAATAATTTTATTTATATTTCTACAAAAATTGAATTTTCTAATTCGACAGTGTCTCGTCCATGAATCTTACTGTGCGCTGTTCAATTTTACAGCTTCCAAATTAGATTTTCACATCCCTACATAACCGAACAGCTAGAGGGTCCTGTAGAAGGTGTTGAAGGATTCGATCAGGCCTGGAACGGTAGAGGGCACGTTGTACGACGATTCGATCCGGTCCAACACGCTGTGCAGCCAGGGGAGTCCTGAAGAGACCATAAAGTGTTCGAGCCAACGTACAAACACCGATATGTACTTCACGAAAATCTGCAACGCGTTGGTCCCGCTCATCGACAGCCACTCCCGCACGCTATTGATCGGATTCGACAAGAATCCCTCGAAGACGGAGCTCAGGGAGGAAGGGAAGCCCATAGACCCGTCGAGTCCAAAGAGCGAACCGATTTTCGAACCAACGGTCGAAACGACCCAATGAACGACTATCTGCACTACGTGTTTGACCGATTCCAAGATCGTCATCAAGCAATTATTGATATTGTTAACCACTACCGTCAGCTCCGACGTCACACTGGACGTGGTGTTGAATAACGACGAAACGATGTCCTTTACATTGTTGCCAAAGCCTTCCACTATTGTGTCTATCCCTGAAAATCATCAATACGTGTATCGAATGTGTCCATGGCGGCGGCCATCTTGTTTATTCGAAATCAGAAGATAGTGTGGCCTTCTAACTCCTTAACGTTCATGCCCGACTGCTTTGAAAAATAATATTTGTTTGATCCAATGGTTTAAGGGATGATAATATTTGTTTTCGTTAGATACAACATTGTAATTAACAAAAACTGTATTTTTAGAAACAAATCCAACAAAGAAAACTGATCATTGTTGGTTGACCCGAGAAATATGAGCGTTAAGGTGTAATAGAATTAGAAAGGAGGTTGAAAATCGCTAGTTTATATATTGTATAACAAATTATTATCTCAATCGATTGTTATCTAACAGTAAGATAGTTTCAGATTCCGAGAAACCATACCTGTACTCAAGTCATCGGCGGGGACAGCGTCGTTGCAAGGCAAGCGCCATAGTCCATGGAGGACCACCGCAAACACAATGACCAATGAATGCTTCATCGCAAGAGAGGACCAGGGATGAAATTACACGCTTTTGTAGGCGGGAAACCGTCGATGTTCGCTGGATGACCGTCGAAAAAGTTTCTACGAGACCCACGGCCAAGAATTGGGAATCTTATTACGTTTTCTGCCTTCCATATCCTTTCGACAGGGGGTTATCGATGCTAATTCGCGAGTGTTGCAAATTTTTCTGTCTTCGCTGCTATTCAACCCTTATTGACGTGTTCGCGATACTGTCGCGCTAGAAATATGGGCGAAATTCCGCCAAACGATATGTGCTACATGTAATTAATATTTATTTATTTCTGTTTGTAGATATAAACCGGCTGAAGGGTTGCAGGCGTTGCATTGTGTCAGCCACCATCTTTCTTTTCCGTCGGCGTGACGAATCTAAGTCTGTTTACAATATATTTAGAACCATGGTCAATCGGTTGTGTGTCAACGCGAATAATCATCCTCGGCGAAAAAGTATAAACAACCGATAAGATTATCCGCAACCTCTAAAAACATGTTCCCAGCTAATTAGCGGTTATGAATATTTTTGAAACGCAAAAGCTTATATATCTCGAAACAGAGATAAATGGACTTAATAATATAGAAGCATTTTCGTTGCTCAGATATGCAAGGATGACTAATGCACGCCGTTACTTCCGGGTAGTGAATGTATACTTTAAAACGTATAAAAAAAAAAATGTCCTATGAATATGCACGTATGTGGTTTTGGATAGTTATAAAAACCTCGATTTTTATGCTCATTAAATGTAGGGGAAAAAGTGGAACTGCGCCCGGAAGTCGATGATCGGAGAACAAAAAAATTTCAAAACGATTGTTTTGCGAATTCTTTATTTTCATTTCGATAGAAATCAATGTTTCCAATATTTACATTTCTTCGTTTGTAAGTTTCATGGCCGCAGCAATCGTCCTTAAATCTACGCTTTAACCCTTTCAGCCCTATCGGGATATTTTGGTCCTGAATTAGTGTAGAATGAACATTCCATAATGTTAAAACCTAAAAATTCATTTGAACGATAGGGAAGAAGGTAATGAAAAGTATAGAATAGGAAATAAGAAAATAATAAATAATAGAATGGAATAAAATTAAGTACCAAAAGAACTATTTATAGCAAATAAGCTTGGACTTCTATCATGTGCAATTTCTGTGCAGAAGAATACCATGTATTAATTTAAACATAAAAAATAATTTAAAACTATAATCAAATTAAAGTTGAGCCAGTTGGTCTATGCGAAGACACCGAGTACTCGTAGCAACGAATAAGTGGCGTTTATGGTTCTGATCATGTCGTGAATTCCAGAAGGCAAGGTCACCGATTCGTCGATCGTGTTCAGCGCGCTGTGCAGCCCCGGGATCGCATAAGTGGACAAGAAGTACCAGGACCATTGTATCGCTTGCATCAAGAACGTCTGGATCCACTCGATAACGTAATTCTCGATCGACGATATCCTATTTTGCACGAACTGGATCGGAAATGTCACCGTGGATAACAGCCATCTTCGAGGTCTTCCGCCGCCAGAGCTGCCCAAGATCGAAAATGGCGCCAGAAATGGGTCGATCAGCGAGGCCATCGTCGATGGGGCGTTTTGTAGCCAGGCATTGATGTTGGAGAACACGTTTCTCACGATACTCAGGACGAATTCGATGATCGTCTCGGGAAAGTGACTGATCGTGGTCACTAGATTCTCGACCAAGCTTGGCAAGTTCGCTTGGATGCTGCTTGGATTCAACAAACCACTCAATGACGAGAGCCCTGAAAATCGTAGATCTTTTACACTAGAACCACCAGACAATTATGGTGCATTTATTTGTACCAAAGAAATTGAAACGATAGATGCTTTATATTAAAAATTACAAATCATTTTGACCACTTTTCGGTAGTTCTAGTGTTGAATATTGGCAGTTAGAATTCTAACCACGACTAACCACCAATTGTAAATTTCAAAAGTACCAAAACAAGAAGTTTTAGTATACAATTCTATCAAAATAACTGGAAAGAGGATTAACGCTAGATTTGCATTCATTGCATAACTTAAGTAAGCTTTTTCTCATGGTTCTTTCATTATGAATCGAGTATTTCAATTGCCAAGGGCCTTAATAAACGAATAACCTATTTTTGCAGCGCTGTAACATTTTTATTGGAGCTCTTACCTAAACCTACGGCCGTTGGGGGCGCTGCGTGGGCGCAAGGTGCATACCACAGTCCACAAAGGACCACCGCCAGTCCCAGGACCCACGAAACCTTCATCTCGAAAGACCCCCAGGGAAAGGAAATGGCTGATCGTCGAAAGAACGCGGGACACGTGGAAAACCGTGGACGTTCGCGATGATAGTTGGAAACTTATTAGGGGTCTTATTACATTTTCCACCTCCCGATGTCCGACACGGTTCGTCCTTTCTACTACTCCGTCGATATCGATGCTAATTTACACAACGCGATACAGTCACAAATTGGTCTCCTAACCGCCATTTAATTCTTACCGCTGTTGTTCCACGGTACTCGAACGAATATAGAATACCACGACCCAATTGTCTTCCATTTTGATGGATTTTTCAAGTACTCTTTCCATTATCCTTCTTTGTTTTAACTTCTAACGTTTCTGGTAACTCAATACCAGTGTATTAGCAAAATTGAAATGTCGTGTGGTTGGTGTAAAATTAGGGAGCACTTATATCGTCAGTTTATCGATTTCGAATCGTTGGAGTGGAGAGGATGGTCGTTGACACATTCACGTTATCATATATTAAAATTATTATGCATTTTAATGTAATGGCTACTTGGTTCATTCAGTATTTTCATTCTATTTTGCCACGACATTGTTTTACAATTTTAGAAGCGTTAGTTCTGACTCATCCATTGTAAACAATATTGCAACACGTTGTAAGTCTGCTCGAGGGTTGGGAATCCGTTTCAAAGGAACAAGATGGCGCCTCCGTACGGAGCGTCCAGGAAATTAAAAATCGTAGAGAGGATTATACTCTGATATTTTTATTTATATTTCTACATAAATCAACACTTTTGCGTTTGATTGTTATAATAGTCCTGAAACTTTGAGGTTAGGTTAATCGATCCAGCAAGTTGTGAGTCGGGTATACGATCCCGGTTACTATGCTTCTTCGACTTTTCCCGCTGGAGGAAGTATTGTTTATGTCGAATCCCAGAAACGAGTTGCCCGACAGGCCAAAGAATGAAACGACCTGTTTGAACATAGCTCTTAAATATTGTATAATATTTGTCATGATCTCCCTAGGTATAGTGGTGAGTTTGGACTCCAAGCTTTGGGCGTAGGACATCACGGTTTTTCTGAAGCCGGACGCCTCGTTCCACAGCGACGAAATGACGTTCCTCGCCTCATCGGTTAATTCCAGCCCTGAAAAACATTGGTTCAAGGATGAAAGATCATTTATAAATTTCAAAAAATTAAACTCACACGTAAATAAAAAAAATGTTTGCAATACGTCGTAAACTGAAAACATTACGGGTTGTTTAACAATAATTTGTATACATAATGTTACGTCTTATCGGTGGTTTCGTTACCACTTGTACGTCGTTTGTCAAACACGCGTGACTCATATTGCAATACCCCGCTGCGTGCAATCTATGTATTACAATTTGTTTTTTTGAAAAATATTTTGACAACTACTATCCGTAATATTTGTTTACAAAATGTTAGGCTGATCTGTCCTTAGTAATCTATGTGTTAATTGCCTCTTATTATGACTTTCAGTCTTCTATTTTGCACTTAAAAATTGACACTATTATATTATTTTTATCATCGATGGAGAATGTGTTTGCAAAATAATTTCTAGTGAAAATTTTCAGGTGTCTTTTGAGAGTTTGGAGAACGTACCTGTGGTAGTACTCGGTGTGGGACTGGCGTCGATGAATGTTAACCAGAAGAGTCCGTAAAGGACCACCACCAATGCAAGGATCGACGAAGTTTTCATCGTTGTAGCAGCTCGAGAAGGAAATTGCACGTTTGTCGCACCTGGTGAACGTTGGTGATGGCCTGGATGACCGTCGAGAACTTTTTGACACGAATCGTCGCTCGGGCTCGGGGATCTTTAAGGTGTTCTCCACCTTCCACGTTCCACGCGGTTCGTCCTTTCGATAGGCGGTGGTTATCGATACGAATTTGCAAATGAGTTCCGCGCTCGATGATTCAATCGTTATCGCCGCCTACGCGATACGTCATTGTACTTGAACGAAAACAGGACACCAAACCTATCGATTTCCAAATATGCACCGCATACTTCGTTGTTTCAACAACCACAAGGCTCTAAGAAATTGTTATGTAACGGAAGTGGAACGCTGTTAACGCGTCAATCGCCACGGTGGTCACCGGTGACCGGCATTTTGAACTTACAAATAAAAAGTGTTGCAATATCGTTTACAAGGGAAGAACAAGAGCTAATACTTGTAAATAACGCTATTTTAATTTGAAATATTGTAAAATAACAAATCCACCATTTAAGTATCGAATATTTCCATTTGGATATGGAAAACTAGCGTGACGGTTAACGTGTTAAGCATATGGGGGCCATAGCTTCCTGTTACAAAAGCTAATGCTTGTAAGTAACGCTATTTTAATTTGAAATATTGTAAACTAACAAATTCACCCATTGAATTATCGAATATTTCCATTTGGACATGGAGAACTAGCGTATGGGGTCCATAGCTTCCCGTTAGTCGCCACTAGAGGGACCGTTCCTCTCGCAAGCGCTCGAGCAACCTTCCATTAGTATATATCTTCCAATAAGCACACATAACAAAGGCAGTTAAAAAGCAGAGGGTCAAAGGTCAGAGAAGGAATCGAACGATGCTTTACGACAGTTTTATTAAGTCCTCATAGAAAACTGGAATTACCAAACTTGTTTACACCCTGTTCTAAGTCACTTAGAATCTTGACAAACGATCGAAGCCTTCTAGTTTATTGATTACCAATGAGATTGGTTCTCTCGAGCAACGAGTAGCCGATGTTGAAGACGTCGATGAGCTGTTTCCCTTTGGGGGTAATATCGTTCGAGTTCTTGGCTTCCTCGAGCGTGGCGCGTAATTGTGGCAGCCCTTACGTGGACAGAAGTTGCCATATCGACTTTATCAGGTCCGTCGCGATCGTCATCAGATCCCGGGAATTGAAACCTTCCGGATGGGTCAATAGTTGCACCAGGCTATTGACCGCCATCGTAGCGTCGTTTCCCGCCATTCTTCGACGTCTTCCGCCAACAGTGTTACCGATTTTCACTTTGAAAGCCTCCATGAAAAGATCGATCGCCGAGTTCATGAACGAGAGGATCGATCGAAGCAACGGATGATTCATAGGAAGTAGATTGCGTCCAAAGCACGAGATCGGGTCGTCGTTCGATTTAGGAATTTCACAAAATTTCGTCGTCACGAATTTTAATAAGGACGACAGGCTCGACTGTAAAGTTATCGTACCGTTCCATACTTTCGAAAAGAGCTCGTCGTCCGATCCGCCATTGGAGTCCTCCAGCGACAAATGCGTCTCTGGAAATCGTAGCATAAAAATTGATACTAAATGGGAGCAATAAAATGACTTAAATGTTAGAAAAAATTTGCTTGTAAAACGGTCGTGTTAAATATCGATTTGAAAATAATTCTTGTCGAATGTTTAAGTTCCCACAAAATGAATAATTAAATTATCTCGATTATTTTATGGTTTAGGACACTCTGGGACTCCGAGAAACGTACCTGAATTCGAGGACGCGACTGGAACCGCTACATTGGGAAACACACAACACAACAGTCCACCAAAAACCACAGTCAAAACGAGGATAAACGAGACGTTCATCTTGAGAGATGCTTCGAAAGGAAATTGCAAAAGTTGATCGTCGAGAAAACGTGCCTGGCGAGATCTGGACGCACGCGATTGCTTAAATGGCCATCGAATAGTAATTCATGCGACTGACAGATCGAAATTGGGCATCTTATTGCGTTCTCCACCTTCCACGTCCGACGTGCTTCGTCCTTTCGACCGCCAACTGACGTCGATGCTAATTTACGAATACGCGAGTGCAACGTGGGCGCCTCGAAATTGTTAATTTTTGCAACTTTGCTGCCATTCGACCCTTATCGTCTCGTTAGCGTCACGAAAACGTTGACAGAAATTAAAACGGCTAGAGGAACGTTAAAAACTTCCCTAGAAAAGGCCTCCACTGTTAAGAAAGCAAAGACCAGAATTACAGGTTTTGCACCCCAAATTCAACATTTTACAAATCTAGTTTTTTAAAAGTGAATACACCAGATTCCACTGTACGTAACACGTGCATGAATTACTTATTTAATTATACAAATTAACTACATACAAGATTCATAATTAGGTGTATAATATGAAAACTGTATTTATTTATAGGAATAATTGTAAACATTGCAACTCATGACTTAATGGGATTGCTATGACCGAGCTGTTGGGTCATCCTGTAAATGGCGTCGAGGCTCGTGGGAAACAAAGTGTTCGATTCGTCCATTTTGTCAATTTTGTCCGAAGTGGTGTGCAACCATGCAACCAGAAGACGAGTGGTCAGATAGTTCCATAATCGGCGCAACGATTCCTCGCTCATTGACTCGACCTCTTCGAGAACGTAATCTTTCACTGGGTCTATCAATGTCTGCAAGTAATCATCCATCGACTGCGACGTGTTCGTCATCCAACTTCGACTCCTTCTGGAGTTGGAAGAACCTAAGAGCCAATCGAGGGTCGACGCGATGGACGAAACGATCCATCGAAGCGCGGAATCGACGATGGAAAATAGACACTTCACGAAATGCACGATCGTCTCCACGAGCCTTTGCAAAAATCTGTCGAATCTGGACGCTAGGAACCCGACCAGGTTCGCCAGATTCGTATCCAACGTGGCGACGAAGTCCTCCGCCATTTTTCCCCTAGGAACTTCCACTAGAGTCTGGATCTCTGAAAATCATTGTCGAAATCAAATAAAGTAGGACAACGTACATATTAACTGGTATATTCAAGTTTATTAAAGTGCTAAATGTAATAAAATATTTTTAAAAGTTTCGTATAACATTCTACGTGATATATCTATATCGTATATATATTTTGCATAGATATATGCATAGTTGACGTCCGCAAATGACACACGTACTATGCATATCTCAAACGCGTAAATACTCGGAGTCTAATTATTATTTAATATCCTGAATAATTAGTTCGCTGTTTACTATCGATTTTTGAAGCTTTAAAACACCCTAAGATTGACTTCGAACGTTTTGTAGGAAACGAAACACCGAGGAACGTACCTGTGCCAGAGACATCGACAGGACTCGCATAAACGGAAGGCGTACAGCATAATCCATAAAGGACCACCAGCAATCCTAAGATCGTCGAATTGATCATCGAGATAGATTGGTTTCGAAAAGAAATTGCACGTTTATCGTCGAAAACAAATTACTCGCGGACGATGACGATGGTCTGGATGGTCGTGGCAAACTCCTCGACGTGACTCGCCGATCAAAATTATAAATCTCATTGCATTTTTCACGTTTTCACCGTTGATATCGATGCTAATTCTCGAACGCAATCTATACGCGATGACATCATTAGAAATTGTTCTTCGCGGCGCCATTTAACCGTTATCGTCGTTCTCTGCGATACGTCGCGACACTCGGACAGAAACTAGAACACCCGATTGTCTTCCAATTCCGTCGATTGACGTTCTTGAGACCTTTGCAAACGTAACTGATATTATCCAACGTTAAACTGATCTCTTTTTGCGTTCCAAATTTGTTAAAATTGAGAGGAATATAAATAACAAACAGATCAACAGAATATCGTATTATATGTAAATCTTCTTTAGTCGATTTATTGTCTACCTAAACGGTACTCGGAAATAAACAGTCACCATTGGTCAGCAAGTGGTCACCAGTGGTCATCACATGCTCACCATTGGTCAACTGGTCAGTAGTGGTCAGTAGTGGCCAGTAGAGGGCAGTAGAAGTTTGTTCCCTGATATAAACAAATCAAGATAGGGGAGATTTAATAAATATTAAAACGATTAATAATGCATTACTAGCAAAGTTCTTAAATACATGTAAAAATGTATGTAAAACGAAGGGGAAGAAAATTTTACTGATTTTAAAACAAAATGACAATAATTTTTAATCGAATAATTCTATTACAGCGGGATTAATAACATGAAAAATACATGACATCGAATTGTGTAACAATTGACAGTTTATGGGAAAATAGGTTGAACAAATGAATATTTATCTCTGAAACTGTCAACTGTACTGAGTTGTTATTCGGTTTTGTTTCCATCGAGGTTTAAATTTTCCGTACGGACTAAAAAACAGGCTTAACATTACGATAATTTAAACATATTCTTATCTTGCAAACGTCGAATCGTTATCTGGTCGTAGAAATTGGAAGAAATACGAGCTTGCTTCTCGAAGCAGCGGGGAAAATGTAGTCAAAAGACAATAATCAATCAGAATGACCACGCTCGTTCTAATTAATACATAACCTTTTTTAATTCCTGCTTTTTAAAGCATCCCCTTCGATGTTCGATATTAATCTAAACTGACACTTTACAAATTCGAAGCTGTTAAATCGCGTGTATCTCCATTTTTTTTTTATGAAATAATCACAATGCAACGTTGTCGCAAAAAAGCATAGTTTTCTTCGGTTAATGAATATATTGTTTAAGCTTGTGATTAACTTATTTATCCCGGATAGCCGAAAGCATAACCCAAACTACTTAGCTTATCTTTCAGTCGCTTAAAATGCATAATCTTTTTATATCTCGATCAGATAAATGGACTTACACCGTGTCGTTAGAACTATTTTTCTGGTCACGCGATACAAACGTATCTTTCGACGTCTTTCCTTCAATAATTTCGCGAAATCACTATATCCACTCAGATTTTCCAATTTCTTTTTAAGCTTATGGCCACCTGCTGCATCCGCAGGAGAGTTTTAACGTTGTATTAATAATTTTTACGTTTTGTATGACCCATCGAGGAGATATACATCCTAAATCAACACCGACATCGATCGATACTTTGCAAAGTTTGACCAACGTTCGATCAAAAGACCCAACCGTTCTTTCCCGACCGAAATCGTAAATTATTCAGGGCAATATGGCTAATGGACGACGATTTATGGGTTTTCCCGGACGCAAATGCAACCGAACCAGCGATACGATATTTGCAGAGTATCGCAAACATTTCCATTGAAGTAAACTAATTGGATTCGAATGCACGCGATGGAATTTGTGACGAAGGAACGTGACCTATTCCGACAGTCTCGCGATGCCTCGTTTGTTGCATCAATCTGCGTTAGGGATACTTGCAACAATATCGTCCTTGCCACGAACAGTGAATGTACTACTCTTCTATCTACTCTTCTTGTTTTTCCAAACGTCTCTGAACGAAATCTAGACATTTAAGAGGAACAAGTGGCCAGTGATATAGCGAAAATCTGAGAAAATCGTTAATTGCGATCACGATCGTTTCCATCGTAGCGTTTGTTGTGGTTTTATCGTTTCGAGCCAGGCTAGGCAACTATCGTTACGGAGAAACTAAAGATTATCCGCGTGTTTCATCTGACATCGACCTGACATCCAATCCCCGACGCACAGCGGACGTTCGAACGATTTTACGACTACGCGTAATTATCAACTCGTCGCTGTCGGTCAGTTGGCGTGCTGATCGCCAACATTCGTGAACGATAAACACCCGTGGGCGATGTCGCGATTGGAATTTTGGTCATTATGGATGCTACTGGTCAGCGTCCCGTTGCGCACGGACAGCCAATTGACGATCACGATCGGCAACAAACCACTCATGATAAGGCCTCAACGAGTTTACGAGAACTTGATCAAAGGGGTCCACGATTTCTTCAACAACACCTGCATCATACTATTCCATGGATCGCCGAACGTGATCGAAACGGAAGGTGGGTAAAATTAAATCGTCTGAAACGAAAAATGTATTTAATAAAAAAATCAGGAGTAAATCGTGTCATTTATTTTCATTATCATCGGTAGCTTTAAAATGTTCTCAGGATTGGAGGACATCGATGGACTGCTGGGTCTTCAGAAGTATCTCAGCGGGACTCTGAACATACGTACCGCGATCATGGACTTCCACACGTTCAAGGACAAAGTGAGTTCGATGAACATCACCAATCCTCATCACCTTGAATTAGATTATTCGAGACTCTCGTTATCAGGTGGGAAGTACTTACTACAACATCAAGCGGCCATTGTTCGTGCTGCTGAACGACCTGGACGAGATCAAGGAACAATTTGTTCTGGTTAGAATATTTATATTCTTTTTCTATTTCCATAGAATATGAGTTTTAAACTAAAATGAATACTCTATCAGTCTGCTAAGTTTCCAAGGTCCTTAACAGGTTTCAGAGTGGATCACGATGTCTTATCCCACTTGGCTGATCTTCCTGAGGGACGGCACCAGAATGGAGGACTTCCTGGCGGACGTTTACGTGCCCTTCGACTGTATACTGATGACTGTGCAAACGGACGCTGAAGGGAACGGTGAGATCATCAGGGACGCGTATCGAATAAGCAGGGAGGGCGACTTGAGGTGGATGGAATTCGGTGCTTGGGACCAGGCAGATGGCTTTCGAGGTCCCAAACTAGGACTCTATCAACGCAGACACGATCTGGAAGGAAGCAACCTCAGAGTCATTTCCATTCACGTGAGGGATACATCCAGATAAGATTTTTTTGCCTGTGAAAATGAAGAAAATGTCACTGCAAGATTTTAATTTTCTAAAAGGGTTCTATTTATTCTCTACCATGTTTGTGTGTGTTCGCAGGATCCTCCAGTCTCGAAAATCCTTCGAAACGAGTACAATGAAACGGTGGGGGTCGGTGGATTTTTCGGCGAAGTGATCCAGCTGCTGCAAGAGGGAATGAATTGCACGTCAGTCTTTTTATTAGTTAATAGAGCACGAAATAATTTTTATTCGATTTATAAAGCAGTCAAATATGAATGATAAGTGTTGAATGCCTCTCACCTGGCCACTTTCGGTTTCATCGCGAAACACGATCGTCCTCTTCGTCCGCCATCTTGGTTTTCTTCCGCGTAGAGTCTTCGACGCCCTCTTCTGCCTTCCTCTTCACGCCACGCTTGCGAATCTCCTCCAGTTGTCTAGACGTTTCTCTACGAAAGTATTCCTCTTCGTTGGCGGCCGCCCTTTCTTCGAACGCGGTCCTCTTTCGACCATCGCCGCTCCTTCGAAGTCTTTCGTAGAAGAATCGACGGGTCGTTGCATCGTATCGTCGCGAATATAACAAACGTCCTTTGGGGCTGACCGGTTCCAAGCATCGCGACGCAAACCCGCGTATCATACTATTTTTTTCTTAATAGTTTCTTCCTTTTCGATTCCTTCGATGATGGATATTATGCTTGTTAACCTAATCCAAAGTTTCGTGTGTCCTCCATCCTTCCCGTCCTTCCGTCCTTCGTGTTGAGAAAACGGACGATCGATAGGCAACGATTCTCGATTTAATCGCGGATAAATTCACGATTGAGTCGAGGCAACGATAGATCCAATATTACGACGCCATTTTGTGTTTAAATCTGAGGTTAATTCAGCATTATAATCCTCCAGTTACAAATTCTAAATTTGTCTCTTTGGTTGCTTAAAAACATTTGTGGCGTTGCTTCTTCGCCTAGTTGTAGGCAGAACGAGAAAGATTGTAAATAATGCAATCCTAGCAGGCCCTGCTTTAGACGTCGTCCGCAGAGTGTATATGTAGTAACGGAGGGGTCGGTCGAGCGCTTGCGAGAGAGAGACAAGAACGTAGCCCTCTGGTGGCCAGTACGGGAAGTCGTGCATCCTGTGTTCCGTCATTTTTAAAAAATTCATGTATTTACCCTGCTCCACTTCCTTGTAAATGAAACAAAGGTGTAACAAAGACTATTAATTCAGGTTCAGCTACCAGGAGTCCGACAAGTGGGGCATACAGCTGCCAAACGGCACGTGGACAGGAATGATAGGGATGCTGATGCACGACGAGGCGGGCCTCGCGGCCACCGAGCTGATGATGACGTCCGACAGACTGGACGTCGTGAAATTTACCACGCCCGTCTACTCGACCAAGTACATAACGAACTAAAAGCATAAATTTTAGGCCCAGTTATACTTTTCTCATCTTAGAATCATCTAGAGTCATCTTCCTGTGTGTTCAGATCTCGCGTGTACATCAAGAGGCCGGACACAACGGCGGTGAAATGGAACGCGTACTTGGCTCCGTTCGCTTGCAACGTTTGGAACGCGATCGCGCTGATGATCGTCGTCACGGGGATATCGATATCCACGATCGACACGATATTCTCGAAGAAAGCAATCTTCCATTTACCAACGACCGAAGCGTCCTCTACAACGGTCCCCGAGACCATGTTCTTCGTTTTTGGCGCGCTATGTGGTCAGGGTACGTGTACCCCCCACGCCTGTAGACAGTTACAACATTTTACAGTCGTTTACTGCGATCATTTAACAGTCGATATCCTACAGATGATTTATTGCTTTATATTAAACTTATTAAGTTACACAATAATTGTTCTACGTATGATATAACTTAGGTTTACGAATAAGTTCAATGTTGTGTAGTAAGTCCTGCTTTTACGCGACAAATTTATTAGGCATGGCAATGTCCTCGTTGGACCCAATACGGGTGGTGCATCTGAGCATTCACTCGATGGCGGTCGTGGTGTTAGCAGCTTACTCTGCCGCGTTGATCAGCTTCCTCGCCATTAAGACGTTCGCTATGCCATTCACAACAATGGAGGGCATGCTGGAAGACGGTAGCTATCGGTTCGCCGTGGTTGGCGAGTCGGCCGATTACTATTTCTTTCAGGTAACACGGATCGTACGTCCAATTATTACCAAATTGTTTTGAACGTTCATGTACCATATTGTCGTTCGTTAGAAACTTCTATGCGCTTTCTGAACAACCCAACATATTTTTCTTTGTACACAACGTTCATACCTGAAAATAGCGAAGACAGTAAACGTTATAATATATTTTTACACGCTTCTCGAACGCAACAGAATACCAGCGATCGCGTGTTGACCTTCATGTTCGACGAGCTGCTGACCGGCGAGAGCAATCTTCCGGCTAACTATCTCGATGGCTTGAAACGCGTTTGCAAGGAGCCCAAATACGCGTTCATGACGTTGGACAATATGGCGGCCGTGCTCCAAGGAAAAGTCGACTGTATCTTGGAACCGCTGGACACGATGATGCAGGCCACCATAGCTATGGCGGTGTCGGTGAACAGCCCTTACCGCGGTATTATCGACAGCAAGTGAGTCAGCAATAGCTATTATTATCAAGGTACTAACAACTATACTATAATGGTATATTCTCGTAAGTTCGGTTCGTAAGTTACGCCCCCTAGTCTATACTCTCGCCAACGAGACGAGTCAGCATCCCTAAACGAACGTCTTTCAGCAGCCAATGACTGCAGCCGCAGCATCGACCACGTGGACATCACACGAACACTGTTTTTCTTCAACGACTCGTCTCATTGACCCGCGTATGGATCTGTTCCCCTGTTCCGTGGTCACACTTCCCGTTTCTCTGTTCGCAGTATCCTGCTGCTGCGCGACAGCGGTATTCTTCAAAGGCTGCTCGAGATAGAATGGGCCACAATCTCGAAACGAGTAATCCACTGACAATTTCCATCTTCCTACGCGACGAGCACTCGAGAGTTACTAAATTGTTATCTGTTTCAGCCGAAATCTGGCTGGTCGTCGGTGGAGCTGGAGGACGCGATGCCCCTGCTCATCTTCATGTTTCTCGCGTTCGTCATTGCTTGGGCGTTGCTGTTCGTCGAGCGTTCGATTCATCAAAAACGCAGTAGAAACGCAAAACCGACGAGACGAACGCCGCCTAAAAAATGACTGGTGGCGCCTCTGTCGGGACGAGCGCGAGTTTCGTGATTCGATTATTTTTCAAGCGAGGTCGCGGTGTGGGTTGCAAGATCATTTTACCTCGGCTTATTCCGCGGTCTGGTCGCCAATAACTTTATTATAACTTTATTTCTCTAACAAGATACAAATCCCTAATCCCTAATTCCTCTATATTAGTTGTAAGAAAGTAACTCCAAACAAAATGCTCGATTCTAAAGAATTTTAGGAACAAATTCGTATCCAGTGTGCCACGATATTAATTGGAGTGGCTGCACTTCGTTTTGGGGGACCAAACATAACATTTTTTTTGTATACGTTAGAAAACTTAGTCGGTAAGAAAGTTTGTGGTCTTTTCAGCGGACACAAAACGAAGTTTAATCGTCGCAATCTAAACTCTGATTTTACTACGAACAGACGAGGATGGAAATGATCGTCACATTTGAACGTTCATCTACGCAGTGTGACGTTTCACAGTTGTTAATCTTAAACATAAAACAAAATTCAATCACGAATCCAAATAACAATCGAAATTAATATAGAAGAGATCGAAATCGGAATCGGGCGTGCCTCGTAGCGAGAAATAATTTCGAGTCGTTGCTGGCATTAACAGGAATTCTGTATTATCGATGATATTGGCCTCTTGCTGCCATCTTCTGAAAATCATCGGAGTGTTGTACTGACGTTGCGAACTGTGTCTTTCGTACATGCACGTGTAAAATGACCTAACCTCGTCGTATCCTTGGCGTTAAAAAACTGAAAAGAAATATAGTAATATCGGTAGCGGTGGATCGGAAGATTGGCACAAATTGATCGTGAACAGCGCGGAGGAAAATGGGTAAATTAGGGCCGCGATTAAACAGCAGGAAGAAAGCAAAACGATGGCCAAAGGGTCAAAGCGCCAGTTCCAATCCGGAGACAAAAATACATCGTGAAAATGCAGCGTGGATGTTTTTTAAGGAGAGCATAGGTTCGTTCTTGCGATTATTCTGATCAGCTATGTGTGCCAATTTCTGCTCACCTGTTTTCCAATACTTTATCTCACTTCTGAGACTGGTTTCTTTGTTACAGGAAAGCCTGGTCTGACGAAGACAGATTTACAAAAACACGACGCCATCCAGGGCATCGAGCCTCAATTTGAAAAACTCGATCTAGACGAAAGCGGCTCCGACAATGTCACGGAAAATACAATTAACACATACGATACATTTGCCACTAACTATAGTAATTGTTCAAACGTATCGTTCAATAAGTGAGTAATTGGCTGTACCGAAAGCAAATTTATTGTCAGCTGGAAAGAATATTTCCTAAGGATAGGGTTAATTCGAACAATTCTGTCCGAACTTCCAGGGAACTACATAAGAATCTAGTTTGTTATAAATCGTACCCTTATCTTAGGCAATCTTCTCACCAACGATAGTTTCATTTTAAATTTGATAACTTGCAAATATTAATTGAACAATAATTTTGCAGATTTTTAAATCACTTCCAGTCGAATTCGCTGTTGCACAAAGAAATGTTAGCTGTATTGTCTGCAGTTACGGAAATCATAAAACAGAACAGTGGAAAAGAAACATCCACGGAATACTTTGCAGCATTGGTACCGTATAGAATATCCGTGTGTTTATTAAACAGATTTTTTACAGTTTTATAATCGATGCATATTTGTCTACAGATGAGTACGTTGGAGGCAATCGAATCTTCCACGTCGATAGCAGCGACGCTTGCATTGTTGCGCATGGGTTTAAAAACTGTACCTAGAAACGTTCTAAATGCTCAGTTTGGACCCGCGAGTAAAATTTTTCTCGATATCCTCACGAACAACGTATCCTCGGAAGACTTCTTAGTACTACGCCACGTAAGCTTCTAACTGATCAATTTAATATACGTAATATGCGAAATATGCGTTATTGATAATAAACAATCTGTTCCAGGGCATTCATTGTTTGTTTTTGCTTCTTCAAGCGCTAGAACTGGCTGCATGGTCAGACTCTTCAACCATGCAAGTATTAGACGTCTTTTTATCCTTCAGTATACACAGCAAGCCGAAAATACGAAAGGCGGCGCAAGCAGGAATTTGCGCCATCTTGAAAGGTAGATATCAGAAAAACTAAAACGAAATTATACCATAAAGAATACGGTGGGCATAAATATTTTATCGATCATGAACTGTAATACGATTTTAAATATTATTTGGCGTATCTTTGATGAATCATAGGAAGCGAAGTAATGAATGGCGAGAAACCGCCGCGGTATCATCCAGCTGCAGCTCAAATCGCGAAACATTGCCTAAAGCAATTGCACATCAATTCAGAACCTGGCGGTATCACTACCGTTCTTCACGTACTCACGCTTTTGAAGGATATCGTTTCTCATTTGCCTAAATGGCACGTGAAGGTATTTATCATTTAAAGATCGCATCTTTCCTGTACGCTGGTATAATTGAAATGTTCCTCTCTGGCAGTTCATTTGCGAAGCAATGCTAAGAATCATGACGTTAAAGAATGTTTTGATAACGTCCTGTTGCCTCCAAACCTTTCACGGTTTGTTCGTTTCCCGACCCACGGATGCTACTTTACCGATGCAAAGAAACGCACAGATTATTTCTGCTCTTTACGATTACCAGCCTCCCCCAACCGATTCGCAACCGACTCTTGCATGGTTGGCGGTCATGCAAGAGGCTCATTTAAATTTAGCTCAGTGAGTGTATATTTTTTGTTTAAATACTGTATATGGTAAAGTTTGAAAACTTGACCCTTTGCACTCCGAATTATATTTCAATTTTGTTACCGGCAACTCCCAACGCCTTTAAGTGTTTTATTTACACTGTTGTTGTATTTTGTAATTTTCAAGTGTACGAATGGGATTTGACGAAGGTGCTCCTGAGATAAGAATTGATGTCGAATCACACTCGACATAGGAGTGCAAAGGGTTGATAATTATTAGCCTTCAGAGTCCCTTAAAACTTTATTCGTCAATGCATTTTTACAGAAATTCGTTGAATTTGTGCGCAGCTATTTTGCCAAAAATGTTAGAGAAATGTGTAGGATTATGGATGTCGGATAGATCGGAAGTTATAGCCGGTACGTCGAACGCGATCAAAGTATTATTCCAGGAGTGTGTTAGCAAAATGTGTGAAAACCAGGAACAAGTGAAAAAGTAAGAATAAATGTAAAACATTTCCTTCGAATATTATCGTGTATACGTGTATCATGTATATTTATGCACTATTGTTTGTTTCAGATATAAAGTTATAATCGATCAAGTAATTGTCATGATGCACAAAGCATTGAGTTACCAATACCTGGAAGCATGGTATCATATTCTTCACCTAGTAGCTTTACTCTTCCAGGTAATATTTCATTTTTATTTTTTAACCTCAACTGGTTTCGTCTAACCGTGTTGTTTACGACAGATAACTGGAACATCGAAATGTATGAAATTGGTAGATTTATTACAATCCGTAGCAGATTTACGCGATTCTTACTATTTCGCGTCGAAGAATGACGCCGAGTATGCTATAGGAGCTGCGATAAAGAGCATGGGTCCTGAAACAGTACTAAATTTAATTCCACTGAAAGTATGTATTCTCCTTTTGGTCTCTGGATTAAATTTTCACAGTTTGATGGAAAGCTCACAGTTTTTTAATTTTCTAGGTAGCAGATAATACAATTAACTTGCAGAGGAGTTGGTTATTGCCACTATTGAAGGATTGTATAACCAGAGGGTCGATTGCATTCTTCACAGAGTCGTTACTGCCATTAGCCTCGACGTGCGAGTGAGTATTTCAGATTATTTCGATCGAAGAAAATCACTACTTCCTTTTGTCGTTAATTTTAGAATGAAAGCGCATGAACAAGTAGGAGGAAAAACTTATGAATTCTTGTTTGCCCAGATATGGGCCATTTTTCCAAGTATTTGCCAGAACGCTATTGACGTGAAAGATAATTTTAAGGTATGTGGTACAGATTGCACGGTACACCTAGTATTACTCACAATATGAATACTGTTTCAGAACATAGCCAGGCTGTTAGGTGTGACTTTCAACGACAAAAAAGATTTGAGGTTATACGTAATGTCCGCTATACGAAAATTAATTACAAGAGCGGTCGAGGATAACAACGAAGAGGATAAAGCGGAATTAGCGCAATACGCGAAGAACTATTTACCGATATTTTTAAATCTCTATACATTTAGCCCAGTTGGGACGGACGAGGAAGGACACCGTTTGGCTGCGTTTGAAACCATAAAGGTTACCATAAAGGAAACCTGTAATCTCTCAAACAAAGTACAAAGAAATTAATTTCAATTTTAAATTCTTTGCTTTTCCAGACGTATCTTGGAATCACGAACAAAGAATTAATACACGAACTGTTCGATCGTGCACTGCACAAGTTGAACGAGCCTAATATCGATGACTTTTTCAAAGAAAGTGTTCACGATATAATAAGACTGTTAATCGAATATACAGACATTGATAGATTAAAGACGTACTACGATATTTGTGTTCCGGCTCTAAAAACCAGTTCCAACATGAAGGAACAGAAGAAAGCGTACAGGTAAATTCTTAGTAAATTTCTAGTCGTATTGTTGAACAAAAATTTGTTCACTGTAGAATTGTCTCTTATGTATATTTAAAGATTTTTGGAGGAGGTATGTGGCAGCGAAAAAGGCACGTGTAAAACGTTCGTACAGAAGCACAGACGTGAAATACAAAAGTTGCTAACATCCACGGCAACGGAGGTTGCAAAACCAAGCAGAGGAGTAAGTATAAACATCGACTTAATAGTACAATTATAAATTAAAAATCGAATTATTTTTAGTTATTTCGATAATTAATTTAATGGTACGATGAAATTTATTTTTAATCAGGCTCGATTGAGGTGCTTAATTCACATAGTCAAAATGCACCCACAACTTGAGAACACGAAATTCTTAGAAGCTATCGTTCCCGAGGCGGTGATATATCTGAAAGATTTAAACACAAAGTGCCGCACCTGTGGTTATCAACTATTAAACACCATCGCCGAGAAATTTTTAGGAAATCCCGAGAACCTTAAAGATTATGTGAATATGTTGATGGTCGGCTTGAGTGGTTCGCCACAGTTCTGTACCGCGACATTGTTCGCACTTGCGTCTCTTACTTATTATTACAACGGTAAGAGTTGACCTGACACGTTGACTGCCATGGCTGTTTTTCGTGCTCGGAAATGCCCTCGATGTTTGCTCAGATTTTGATACGAGGAATAGAAATATTTGATGATCTTTGAACGAAGGTTCGTTCGTTTTAACACTTTGACGGCCGCTGTCACGCATGCGTGACTTTGCTAGCTAGCAGACGTTGGCCACTGTCACGCATGCGTGATCTACTGGTATCAGTCACCATTTCATCGTACATTCGACTTATTACGTTTGTTGAGGTTACATTTATAATTCCTTATAATTATATACAGTATATACAGTATAAATATTCAGTATGTATATGTATATTTGTATAAATATACATCAGTGGTGACGGACAACGGTCTTCGCGTGATCAGTGCGGCCATTGAAGTGTTAAGTGTTTCGAAGAGTCACCGATGAGCGTCGTGGCAGTCGGCGCGTTAAAATTAAAAGTAAACTGTGGAAATTAAACAATGGACTTAAGTATACTAACAAACATAAAAAACAGGATCCCTAGGTATGGAATTACTTAAAGAAATATTCGAACACGCATGCAGGCTCGCTGCGAGTTCCACGAGAGAGATTACGGACTCGGCATTATCTTACATCAAAGTGTACACTAGCGTGATTCCAATTACAGTCGCTGCTCCTAATTTATCAAAATTAGTAAGTCATACGAAACGTTCGAGTACCGTAATTAATTTTTCTTACTGAAACAAATCAATTGAATTGCAGATAGAAGCCTTGTGTGGAATAAACGACGATTGTCACAGGCACTTCAGACAAAAAATACGAGATATTTTGGTGAAATTGTTGAGAAAGTACGGGCTGAAAACTATCTCTGACATGATACCTTCCGATTATACAATGTTGCACAAGAGATTGAAGAATATAAATAAACTGGAGGAGGCGAAGAAGAAGAATAGGGACGCGAAGAAAACGAAGCAACAGGACAACGAAGAGAATGAGTTCAATATAAAGAGAAGGCCCAAGAGGTAATTTTCAATGTAATTAAAAAGAAGATTTTTATTTTTCCATTTTAATATTTTTATTCAAATCTAGTATCGAGGAGGTATTGGCGGACAGCGAGGAAGAATTTGACAGCACAGAAAACGAAGCACCAAGGAAGAACAAGAAACGAACGTCACGAAAAGAGGCCTGGATTCAAGAGAATGAAGAGATCGTTGATCTCATTGATCCTGCAGCTGCTCGAAATATATCGAGTAAGAGAAGCTATTTCATAGAATACGAATTTAAGGTTTTGTAAAACGATTTTGTGACGATTGTAAAATTTTACTTTCTTCTAATTTCCTTAGCAACGCTGCCTGGAGCTCTAAATCCAAAATTAGCAGCCTCAAAATCAAACAACCGTGGATTCAAGACAGCGCCAGATGGCCGTCTTATTATCACTGTGAGGAATGAGAGAGATAACAGAGAAGAACCGAAGAACAGGAGTGTTCTACGTTTGCATAGTGACTCGGACGATGACTATGGTAAGAACATATAGTTATATTTAAAAAATCAATGACATTATATAGCTAATGAGTTCGTTTTCAGAGGACATTAACGATGATATTCAGTCTATAGTGGAGACGGGCAGGAAACGTAAATACAGTGATAACCGTGATAACGTTAGTGTAAGAAGTGCGAGCACGTCGCAATATCAAAGTGAGATATTTCTGAAGATTTCTGATCACGTGTGTTCTATGTTTCGATCGATGTTCGCGTAATCGAGTTTTGTTATTCGCAGCTGGAGGGTCGGGAATACATCGATCGTTAAAAAAAGCGAAGATGTCGCCAACGCCTGGAGCTGAATATAAAGCACAAAAAGCTAAAGGAGATATTAAGAGGAAAGATAAACCGGATCCATACGCATACGTACCACTGACGAGATCAGTGTTGAACAAAAGGTAAATAATATTGTTCTAAACTTTATTTTAAATTGATTATATTCACTCTACTGACTCGTCGATATCATTTTTAGGAAAAAGAAAAGATACGCGACCAAGTTTCAGGGTATTATCGCAGGGGCGCAGAAGGGTGCACAGATAGGAATGAAGAATAGGAAAAAGAATTAAAAATTACCTATTAGTACGTAACAAATCGAAAATAAAGAAATTCTCCTAATAGGTTTACCACTTATACTTGTGATTTTTTTTTTTTTTTTTTATCTTTCGATCGAATTGTGTAAAAAATATATAAAAGGTTGTAATCTAAGGAATGTATATCTACGAAGAACTGGATATAGATTTCTTTTTAATTATATTAATGTATATTAGTATATTATATTGTTGATAAATATATGTTTGATCGAATAGAATAGTTTTCTATAATAAAATGATTTCATACTGAAAGAACTTGTAGGTTTTGTCTGTTCAAACGAGCAATTCTCAGCGATCTTACTGAAATTGCAGGGCGCGCAAAGAATTACTTTTTATACGGATGATTTAATTTATTACATATTTTAGCAGAACAAATGATAGAAGTTTTTACAACCAATACAAAAGAGTTTAAAAATAATGACCAGCTTTTCTCAACATCTGAAAGAAACATAATAATCCCATATTTATTAACTAATGTAAGGTCTCCTACGATTAAATAATACAGGCGTACTCCGTAGCTACGGCAGCGATTGTAACGGGTACCATTGTTGTATGTTAATACTGTAATTAAATAAATAATCTATCTTTTTCTCGTTTCAATGGAATATTTTTAAAAAACAAGTTATCCTCGTTCGTTTCTTTTCGGTTATTCTGTATTTATTTTTAACAACGAATCTGGTGCTTGCTCGCACATCATTTTCAGATACACCCTGCACAGCTTCCGATGTCTAGGATTTTGTATGACTTTACAATCACGTTCTCCTTTCTCACTTTCATTTATTTGTAACATGTGCATTGATTTTACGTCGACAACACGTTCTAAGGAATCATAGGACATAATTCAAAAGTATCGTACAAGTAGACTACAATAAATAGAACGTAAAGCAATGTACACCTGTATTCGCTATGATACAAACAACGACCAACAATATTTGTGAAACTTACTTTCCTTACACATTAACTCTTCTTAGGCAGCATGCTTTCTAACTCTCCCGATTCGCTCATTTCTCTTACAATGTCCAATCCCCCGATCAATTCTCCGTTCACATAGAGCTGCGGATACGTTGGCCAATTACTGTACTTCTTCAGTCCTTCTCTGACATCGTTGTCTTGCAAGATGTCGAACGATTGGTAATCCGCTTTGTAGGTATCCAAGATCGAGACTATCGTTCTAGAGAATCCACAGCACGGATTGGCAGGGTTTCCTTTCATAAATAGCATACAAGGCGCCTGATTTACCAACTTCTTTATTCTTTCGTCGAGATTTACTTTCGGTTTGCAGGCTTCGATCGAGGTTGTGTTTTTGTGGGCGCAGTGTCTCTCAACTTTTGCCGAAATAGCGGACGGATTGGCTCCGTCTACTCTGTCGACTATAGTGTCGTTTCTCGTCAAAATAACCGTCGGCACAGCTGTGATGCCAGCCTTTAACGATAAATTGGGCACTTTCTCGGCTTCGATCTTGGCAAATTTCACTCCTTTGTATTCGGCCAGCTTGCTCATTTCGTCGAGAACGATGTTTATTTGGGAACACTGATCGGCCCATGGTGCATAGAAATGAATAACGGAAAGATCCTGCGACCTAACGTGAGAAAAAAACGTCCTTGAAAATCACAAATTTCCCGCATGCTGTTATGCAGAAGCATCAACGTCGAAGCACCGTTATATTATCGCAAGACAATATCGGTAAAAATTTCGTGACTTTCGATCCCGGGGTAATTCCATACCAAACAAACAAGAGACGCGAAACGTTGATTATCAATTATAAAAATTACAAAAACTGTACGGTCGTCGTAAGAAAATGAAAAGCGTTCTTTCGAAGCACTCGTAACTAATAATAAATATATACATGCAGCGATATGTCAAGCAAAGCAAGATAGGGTTATTGTTCTGTCGTTTTTAGAAACCAAATATTTAAAACGACGATTACTCACTTAACGTAATCCTCATAGTCCGGCTCAGAACAGAGATCGGTGACAGTCATCCTGTCACGGATTTTCGTGCCCGTTTCCTTCTCAAACACGCGTTATTAACGAAAAAAAATATTCTCAACAACTTTCTCACTCGTCACGGCGTTTGTCTACGCGACTTTCATCGGTGCATTCATGGAGGCTTTATATTTGCGAATGGAGAACTTCTGCGTCGGCGCAGACGTTCACCAATCCCCTTTAACTACAGTAGAATGTTCCCGTGCTGCGAGCGGCAAGCTTCGCTAATCGTTTTGGTAATTAAAAACAATGCTAATTCATACGTCAATTATTGTTATCGGGCACTGTTGCGCGTTAACCAGACAAATTGGAAAACAGACACTATCGCGAATGTATTAAAATACGTTAGCATAACCGGATTTTTCGCCTCTTTTGCGGTATCGATAAAATGTCACCATTTTGTTTTAAACAGAAAACTGCAAAATAGCTTGCAGCACAGTGTGAACGCGACTTTCAAGCAACGGTGCTCAATTCAGAATTCACACAATTAAATTCAAAGAGTTCATGTGTGAATACATATAGAACACGACGTAACATACGTGGAGAACTGTAACTGTAATGTTAATAACACAGGGCCGACTCTAGGACAAATTATATGCAGTTTTAAGGGTGGTCAGATTTAGAGGGTACCAATTTTTCAAATTGTTAGGAGACGAGAACAGCGAGAATTTCTTTTAATCAATTTCTAAAGATAAATCGCAAAATTTTTATAAAATTGTTGTTTGACGAGTTAATCATGTTACATCACACTCTGTAAATATGTCTGAGTACGAATTTGTGTAAATAATTGAAATATAAAATTTTCAGTCTCGCAAAAGGAGGTTAGAAAAGGACTTTTGCATGTTTCGCCCCTCCGCCGCCACTAGTAACTTTTCCAGAGCCGCCCCTGCATGACGATTCCTTGGGCGGTCATTGTATGGCACGTATATATCCGCCAAACGCTTGCAAACGTGCTAATACGCTAAAAAGTTGAATAAACGTACGGACTGATGCAACGAACGAATTGTTGGAAATTCCGTTGTGCGATCGTGGGGACGTGGAGCCACGGATTGAGTGTCGCTGGTATGGATCGCGGTGTGGTGAAACAGGTGCACTGTTGGAAAATGACCAATCGCAGTCGCGATGGACAGTTGGTCGTGTCGGTTTGCGGAACGGTCGTCATCGCGCGTACGTCATCGGACCGGAGGGGGGAAAAAGAGGAAAATACGAAGCGGCCGAGGGTTGTCAAGACACCTCGCCCAACAAAAACTAGATGCAGATGCGACCGGGCGGCGAACACGTGCGACGATTTTTTTTGTAGCGGGCGCGCGAACACGCGGGTGCAATGTTTAAAAAGACATCGCAGATCAACGCCCTCGAGGACATTTCCAATTGGACTACCAGCGACGTGTTGTGCCTGCTACAAAAGGTGAGTAAACTCGGACGACCCTTGACACCGCTGGACAAGCCTCTTTTACAGCGAACTCTGCGCCGGGATCCTGAACGGCGCTCGTCAGACATTTTTTGACGTGCCACGGGAACTTGGACGTTCGTTTAGTCCAGAAACTGCGAGTCTACCGTAGACGGAGACTTTTTGTCATTAAATCGTGACTAATGCAGGGGCAACTGCTGTCCACGAACGTCTTGACAGGAGGCGTATCAAGTTTTCAACAAATTTTTCGCCGACTCGTCGCTCGTTCGTTCGAAGTCAGTGTTTTAAGCATGGTTAACGGTAAAGAGAAACGACAATCGCCGCGAGCAAAGTCATTTACACCGATCGGCAACGAGACGATCGATATACACGCGTTACGCGAGTTTGTTCCGTTAATTAGATCGATTCTCTACACGGATAGTAAAATCTGATTTTTTCGTAAAAGTTGAGGTATATATAGATATATTCCCATGGGTATTTTAATGAGATCGATTGATTTGTACAAAATTACTCTTTCGTGCATTTAACACTGGAACTACCAAACCAGTCAAAATGATCCATTCGTAATTTCTAATGAGACTTATAAAAAATTTACTCGACTGAATTTTTGAAATTATTTATTTCCATTGCATTATATATTTCTTCGCGTCTCTATTTTTGGTACAAATAAACACACTATAATTATCGATAGTTCTAGTATTAAAGAAAAAAGTGGCATATCGTGGCGAACCATTTGTACCATTCTGCTATCTTCCACGATACAACATATTATGTTTAATCAACAGATGACAGAACGTGATAGCATCGAGGTTTCAAAAAACAGAGATCGGTCAATATCGATCGGTTCAGTTGGTTCAGAAGGTGAAATGGCTTATTTAAAAAATTGTTACGAACTTAATATTTCGATGATTTCTTCTCGTCAATTTTGTCTCTGACGGCGATTGCCATGAGTTTTACAAGCTACTACCAACCACTAACATTGCTGGAGAATTTTTACGAGTTCGTCGGTGATGTATCGGGTTTAATCACACGAACCACGATCTTAATATTTGATCGGTTGGTATAATTTGCGGAGTGGTTGTCAAAGAGTGACAAATCCGGAATGCCAAGCATCGCGGCGCGGCGTACGTGTACGAAACTACGAACTATGGTTCACCGTGTTTATTTTTAGCGTTCGACTATGGAACGAAATACACGAGGTTCGCGTACCATACCGCGCTTTCTTTTTACTCCCACCTTGGAAGAAATTTTGAATCCTCAAACTTGGCACGCTTCGCGTGTTTCTATCGTTTCTATTACGGAACTGATAAAACTCGCTCGGATATAAAAGGGTTCTTGTATCTCTGCAGATAACTTCGTTTTATTTCCATTGACTGTAAGGAATTGGAAGCTACGCGGAAACAGAACGCTTAATTATTATATTATGTTATGCAATATTTTACGGAATAACGTTTTTTAATATTAATTAAATCAATATTTTTTTATCGAAACAGAATGTCTCATTCGATTGTTAAATTTCTACACGACATAAATTACAAAATTAAATTACAAAAAAACACAAAATTAAACCGATCCGAAGTTTCAACGAATAAATCAACAATTTAAAACGGTTTAATTAATTTGATCGTCGATTGTCGTGAGCGATTAATTTCAATAATCGACGAACTTTAGACGTGATTAATTCTAGTTTCTTTTTTTTAAATATAAGTACTGGTCGATGAGTAAAATATCCTCGCTATTTTTTGATGATGCATATACTTGAAAAAAGTTAGAAAGGACGTCTTATCGTTGCGGCATATCCTGTTTGATTACACGGTTTTCCTCGTTTTACAGAACGGTTTGGAAGAATGTTGCAAAGCTATCACGAAGCGACAAATCGACGGCAGCGAGCTACTGGTGAGTAAATCGTTCGAAACTCGATCCCTCCGCGGACTTGATAGTTTTTTCTTCGCGCTTCGCCGAGTACCATTCGCACCGTTCACGGCTCTGTTGACGGTATCGCGTTGCCGCACGTGTGTCGCAAACACCGCTGATAATTCTTTGTCGCGTGGATAGGCAGCTGGGATTTCAGAATACCGAGGACAATGACTCGTCGTCACGACGTCCACGAATGGAGGACGATTTCTTCCTCGCAACTTGAATCTGAAACGCGGAATAATAGCTTCTGGGGAAGTAAACATCGAACGCGCTCACGGCGCATGCGTCAGCGCCATTTAAAAATTTTATTGCGAAACTATTTCCTAAATTTAATTATTTTTAAAAGCGAGTGGAATGAATAAGTTGTTGCAATTATGCAAACGACGTCCTAGGAGTTTTATTTATATTTTTAAAAATAAGGAAAGTTCTTAAAATGTTTTTTTTAGGCATATCGTTGCGTGTAAGTTTGCGTGGACCGTTCTGGTGCATCGTGCGTAAAATTATATGATTATTGGCACGAGAAAGTGTTCTGGTGAAATGATATTTATAACCAACGAAGACCGGGGAAACGTTCTAATATAATGTACCGTGTTTCATTCATAACCGACTCGTATTTCGGCCCAACCGGCGCGTGTTCTATTATGCCCGTCTTAATTCATTGTAATTATTCCAGCAATTGACGGAAGGGCAGCTGGCGCTGTGGAAGAGTGACCTCACGCGTCCGTTGATATGGTAAGAGAAACAAAATACGCGTAAGGTAAGAAATTGCACTTAATTCCAACGTTGGTTCAATTGTCGTCGCGTTTCCAAATTTTCTAATGAAATTCTAATCCCATGCGAAATTACGTTCATCCAGGATTGCCAGAGGTGTCTATATTTCGTTAAGATCGTCTTAATAACGACGTCCCGGGTAAAGCAGAGACGAAGTCATTAACCTTTGAAATTGATGCTGCAAACCGATCTTCGCAGGAATCAAAACAACGTCGAAGAAATGTTGAATCCCGTGGCGGATTTTTTAAACATCATATCGTATATAGAGAATTTAGTTTTTCGCATATGTTACAAAGTATATTGAATTTAGTTTATTCTAAAGGTTTTTTTAAAACAATTTTTTATCAACCATATACAAGGTGTTCCATCCCTGGGAATAATTTTGATGGGAGATTCTAGAGGCCAAAATAAGACGAAAATCAAGGATACTAATTTGTTGATGGAGACTTCGTTAAAAAGTTATTAACGTTTAAAGTTCCATCCGTACTGAATTTTTTTCTAGAAAGTGGGTAAGATTTCGGGGGTATGTCTATTCACCAAAAATGATTGTAATTGACCCCTGCAACCGAAAATAATTTTTCCAGAACGATTTGAAATTTTTTTTCCCGTCGAAAAATTTCATAATTTCTCGAATTTTTTTCTCGAAAGTGGATAGGGTTTCAAGGGTATGTATGTTCACCAAAAATGCTTGTAATAGACCCCTGTAACTAAATATAATTTTTTTAGTATGATTTGAAATTTTTGAATTTAATTGTTAATAACTTTTCAACGAAGCCTCAATCAACAAATTGATATTCTTGATTTTCGTCTCATTTTGGTCTCTAGAATCTCTCATTAAAATTTTTCCCAGGGTTGGCCCTGTATAGTTATCGCGTAATTTTTAAATTGTCAATTTGCGAAAAATGTGCCCTCGATCGGGGACATTTATCTTACAGAACACCGCGTTTCGTCGAAACGCGTCCGAATAATGCGTGAACTGTTGCCGAGAAATAGGATTACGAAGTCCGTGTCACGGTCTAACGGTTCCTCTCTACGCTCGCGAAGAATCTTCACAAGACACGCCTTCGAATCGCGTGTTCACCTCGATTCCAGCAATTACTCATATGCATCGAAACATTAAACGTTTCACCCGGCTCGAGATAATCAGCGGGCCATCTGGACCGATCAGTCGTTTCGTCGCTCAGTAAATTAGACGCTCGGGAACAAATGTCTGTCTCTCTGGGGAAAATTTTAATGGGAGATTCTGGAGGCCAAAATAAGACGAAAATCAAGAATACCAATTTGTCGATGGAGGCCTCGTTAAAAAGTTATTAACAATTAAAATTTCAAATTTCAAATCGTTCTGGAAAAATTATCTTCGATTGGGGGGTCAATTACAATCATTTTTGGTCATTAGACATACCCTCGAAATCCTACCCACTTTCGAGAAAAAAATTCGAGAAGGTATGAAATTTTCGACGAAAAAAAAAAATTTCAAATCGTTCTGGAAAAATTATTTTCTGTTGCGGGGGTCAATTACAATCATTTTTGGTGAATAGACATACTCCCGAAATCCTGCGCATTTTCGAGAAAAAAATTGGAAAAGGTATGTAATTTTTCGAAGGAAAACAAAAATTTCAAATCGTTCTGGAAAAATTATTTTCTGTTGCGGGGGTCAATTACAATTATCTTTGGTCATTAGACATACCCTTAAAATCCTACCCACTTTCGAGAAAAAAATTCGAGAAGGTATGAAATTTTCGACGGAAAACAAAAATTTCAAATCATTTTGGAAAAATTATTTTCTGTTGCGGGGGTCAATTACAATCATTTTTGGTGAATAGACACACCCCTGAAATCCTACCCATTTTCGAGAAAAAAATTCGAGAAGGTATGAAACTTTTCGAAGGAAAAAAAAATTTCAAATCGTTCTGGAAAAATTATTTTCTGTTGCGGGGGTCAATTACAATTATCTTTGGTCATTAGACATACCCTTAAAATCCTACCCACTTTCGAGAAAAAAATTCGAGAAGGTATGAAATTTTTCGACGGAAAACAAAAATTTCAAATCGTTCTAAAAAAATTATTTTCTGTTGCGGGGGTTAATTATAATCATTTTTGGTGAATAGACATACCCCCGAAATCCTGCGCATTTTCGAGAAAAAAATTCAGTAAGGGCGGAACTTTAAATGTTAATAACTTTTTGACAAAGCCTCCATCAACAAATTGGTATTCTTGATTTTCGTCTTATTTTGGCTGCTAGAATCCCTCATTAAAATTTTTCCCAGGGTTGACTGAACACCCTGTATGTATTTTTTATTACAATTCCCATACATTGATCTACGATATTTTTCAATGTCTCAATAACAGGATACCTTGATAACTGAAGATGAAAATAGTATTCAGTCGGCTGTGACGATCTCTTCTCAGAGCCCTCGTTTGTTTATTTTATTTCGTTTTGACCTCCAAAGATTCTAAACATTTATGAACATATTTTGGTTCTAGCTAAAATTACAATTTAAATAACAAATGGTAACTAATTTACGGATATAGTCGTCGAACATAGCCGACTGATCAAACGTGTTCTGGCTTCATGGCCGTTGAAAAATTTGGCGAGCGACGACGCCCATAGAAAGCACCATGGGACGCTGTACGCATACCGAGAGGCCAGTTCAACGGCTCGCGCAAAACCGAAATATGTCGCGGTGATTCCGAAGGCCGTCCTCTGGGCCATCACGGGTTCGATGGTTGCTGGTTGCACGTAATTCTATCGCGTGGGACGCGCTGACGCTAGGAAATTCACCGTCTTCGTTTATTAAGGAAATTCCACTTGATAATAAAGCGACGTCGTTTGCATACCAATCGAAACTACAATGGGATCCGACTCTGCGTAACAGACCACGTTTCTAGTGCATCGCAGAAACGCGTATAATTGTTTTCATTAATATTTCCCCAAGAGCCAATGTAAAGCAATATTTCTTGGCGTTACTCTTAACACGTATATTTATTGATACCCTTCATGTTGACAATAACCTTAAAATACGATTTTTCTTTTAACTGGAATATGTATTCTTGCCATTGCATCGATCAAATTCAACATAAGTTGTTAAAAAATAATACACCAAAATCAAATTGTTATAATTCGTTTATTATATCTTTTTTTATTAAAAAGTTGCAAAAGAAACGACGAGATTTTGCAATTTTTACTTTAAGCTTCCACCATTTTGTCAATTTGCAATATGAATTATTTTGGTACGGGCGATAACTGTAAACCTACCGAATAAAAATCTTTTTCATTTTTTTTATTTAGTCAACCTTGAGAGCTGCGATCGCCTACGCCAGTGTTTAAACACGTGTTCACTGAGGGCGTGATAACGACGTTAAAAGTTAATAAAAATTAATAAAAAAAATTATCTTGTATTCCCCGAAGGATAGCTAAGTAAACTGCAAAAAAGAACCATAATATCAGATGTAACAATAACTTAAAAAAAATTAAGAAAAATGGTTCAATTTTCTATCATTCAAAGACTGCCCCCTTAACAACAACAGTTTGTAAATATCTTATTTCCGTCTGCGTAGGAGCCTGTGGGCGTTCATAGAAGAGTTAAAGAGATCGCCGGAGAAATTCGTGGAGGAGAAGATGCCGGAACCGCAGAGCCACGAGGATCACTTCAGCGACACCGGTTCCTGGGGCACCGATTTCGAGGACGAGACCAACGACGACACAGCCTTGCCGGAGGTTCAAAAAGAACAATTTAATCCTGGGTTCAGAGGCAGCCAGAAGGTACCGCTGGACGGTGCAGAGTCCAAACGAAAGGAGTCCCGGAAAGATGCTGCCACCAGGCGGGAAGAGGAAGGAACCTACGCCAATTGTGGCTCCATACAAGACGACGAGAACACCTACGCCAATTGCCAGGAATTGAAGACCAAACCCACGAAGAACGTTTCCAGGTTGCACAGCCAGTTCGAGAAGTCGTTGGCAGAGCAGCTCAAGGAGCAACTGCAACTGAGGAACACCAAGAAACCCATGATCGTACCGAAACCAGAATCCTTGCAAGCGAGACGGAAAGAGTTCCCGTCCTCGGATAGCAATCATCCGCAGAAATCGTTTCTGTACTCGAAGCCGAAACCGAATGTTCCTAGTCAAATGAAAAGTCAGTGGCTGACATCTACTGTACAAAGATCGAACTAGATTCACCGTCTTAAGGGGGCATCTTGTAGGCACGAAAAGTTTGTGATTTTTTTGCGCGGGCTATTAAACAGCGATTAATTCCGTATTTTGTAGATACGTTTATTATACGTTTAGCTATATTTATGAATTTTTGCAACGCATAATGTCTATTGATTACGCTGTTTTTGTTGATTAAGAAACAACAGGTTTTACGAACGGCGCCTTGACTGAGAAATTTTTAAAAAGCAATGATATTCTTAATGTAGATGAGTGTGGTTATAGCATGAACTAGGATCTTTCAAAAAAAAAAGCAAAAAATGGCAAAATGGCTATTTTATGAAAAAATACTGAGTATTTTCGTATATTCGGTTGCTTTTTTGTTGATAAAAGAAAAAATATTGCATATATCGCAATTATCCTAGTTCGTGCTGTAGGGAGACTAGTTGTAAAGATACTGTGTAAGTTTCATGTTGATATCTTGAATAGTTTTTTCGTTATCACATACGCAATGCCGAAAAATGTAGTTCCGAGAAAAACAATTTTAAACAAGCTATAATTTCGTTAGTTTTCAGAATTTCAATTTAATATTTAATAGATATATTTTCGAGACTACATACTAAAAGAAAACGTAAAAAAAAAAATTCGATTTTTTAAATTTTTAGAAAGGCCCCTTAAGACTGTTTATCTAGATAGAAGTGTTGCATTTGTTAGTAAAATAGTACAAAATTCTGTTACGTTGCCTCCACGATTGCAACATTCAAAGTAGAATTCCAGTGTGTAGTGAATTGTAAAAAAAAAATATTGCTTTATTTCCTGATATGTTTTCTCCTCGTGGTTACTGGACGGTGACCGTTGAAAGCGTATAATTATGATGAACGTACAAAGTAGACGGCGTAACAACGCTGTTCTAAACACGTGGTACCAAAACTCTATTTTCTTAAATCAATAAATAAAATAAAACACGAGTATCAAATATTATAATTTGCTTTAGGAAGATGTAACTCTAGTAGCCTCGAGAGATCAGTCTATTTTGATCTAACTATGCACCTAGAAGAGACAAAGATGAATGGAATTAAGTATCTTTGTTCTATGTACTCTTTTATAAAAATGAGAAACTAAATATCGAATACGATTTCAGAAAGAATGGCCGTACCCCCGCCACCGGAGCCAAAGAGACCCAGAGATCAGTCGATGATCATCGAGAGACCCAGCAAGGATCAAGGGAAGCCTTCTAGCACCTTGAGGAGCCTCGACCTCGTCGCTAATTTGCCCGCGCGAACGGAGGAAAGTGAGGACGAATACGAGTCGTTCGACGAGCAGATCATCGAGCTGAATCAGAAGAGGAGCATGCTGAGGACGACCAGCAAGCTGTCGCTGGCCAGTGGCCATCAGAGTTCCGCGGAAAGCGTTTATCAACCGCCGAGTGTCACGAGTTTGGAGGAGGACGAGCTACAGTATGAGATCTACGAGTCGATCACGGAGACAGTAAATACTCAAACGCATTATTATTACCTCAAAGATGTACCATTTGATCAGAGTAAGAGTAAGTGACCTGTGCAATTCTTTCAGCCGGATGACAACGGATACTACTTGAGCCCCATTCAAAGGACACCGAATACAGTCCCGCCGCCATTACTGCCAGCGAAACCTGCTCAGTTGTCGGCTAGTTCCTCCTCGACTTCAAGCTGGTCGAGCTTGGAGAAGACAAAGGGTTGGTACTGTAAAATCGAATTTTTTATAAGGTGATTTGGAAGATTTGTTGGAAAACGTTCGTTGGAACTTGTCAACTGCACCTGTAACTGCGACACGACCTTCGGTACTATCCTCCACGTGCAACGGGGGAGCAGCAAATGGTCGACGAAGCGGTTCCCATGTTACGTCGACGGGGGAAAAGCCTTTAAAGAAAGGAGGGAGGAGAGAGAAACGGAAATTAGGCGGAGGACGTTCTATGGGAGGGCTGAACGCGTTACGGTGGCCAGCAAAAAGCATGGTCTGCGTGAAAATCGAAATAATAAGAGGCCCCCGGTGGCCCAACTTCCCATAAACATCTGTGTGGCAAATGGTCGGCGTTCGTGCAACCTGATGCACGGATGCAATTGTAGCCAGTCATGAACGAACTATCGTGCCCTTTATTTCGATTCATTTCGCGACGGTATCGTGGCCGATTTACGAAAACTCGAACGATAATCGAGGGGTAAAATCGAGATCGTTAACGGCGAGTAACGCTGAGTCCAAAGATAAACAAAATCGTATTCGAACGACAAACGACGAATGAGAATACAGTACCAGTGATTTATTTCTGTAGTTACGAGTATAAATATTTATCTTTGGATACGATCAAGTTTCACGATTCGAAATTCTAATTTTTGTGCTGAACGAAGAACGTTTTGTCTTCTATCGTGTAACAGAAATTTGTATTTGGAGAACGATTTTGCCCGTTTCTGGCCGAGTCGCTTACCATGAGCAACGGGAAGAACAAACGGAACGGTTTAAAGTCGTCGATCGGGCATCGAGAAAAGGTGATCGAAACTGAAACGGAAACAGTGTGATGGAATGTGTTCCTGTTTTTATCTGAGACTGAGCAAACAGCTCGTGGGTGGCCTGGGCGCCCGTTTGGCCGATGAGGTGTCCGATATGATAGTGAGGATCAAGAGAGGACTCTCTAGGTGTTGTTATTCACAACCGCCCGAGCCACCAGGTACACAGCACCGCTTATTTACACATTGGCCGGGCCAGTGGTTCTCAAACTCTATGAAAAGCGTCTTCTCTTCTAAAACAACAAATTTCTGCGCCTCGTAGTCGAAAAAATCAATAACTAATATCTGAACGAAAAGATATTAATAAATAAAATAATAGACATAAAATAGATATAAATGAAATTACAGACTCCTCGACATTTAATAGATTCAATAATTTGTACACGTTATTTATTTTTATTTCAATATTTGTCTGATAAGAATCACGTGAACTATTGATAAAATAGAGAGCCTAAACCGTAGATTAAAACGTTTATCGTTTAAAGCGGCACGCTTGTACCGAGTGACTCGTTTTAATCTCCTAATTCGTAAATTTTTCAATTTAAAAAAAAATTGATGATTGATGCCGGTTATTTAATTTCGTGAATAATTTTCTGTTCGTTAATTTGCCAGTTGAAAACCACCGGTGTACGTGTTCGTACGCACGGGCCTCGAGACTGGAGGCGTAGAATTTTTAACCAAATATTTACCGCGCCGTTTCCCTCAATTGGAAGCTCGAACGTGACCGATACACGCCCCCAAAATACACACGAGTTTCTGTTCAGTGTATTTTTACGCTTCGAGAGAACTGAGCGTACCCCATGCTGAGGGACCAACGGATGGCCGATCATTATAGCAAGGCTGTTGTCGTTCTCGAATTAAATGCCAGTCTGTGCAGTGATTTCGTCGCGCGAGCATCGGGAACGAGCCAGAGAATATTCAAACTCTGCTTTGTAGTTCGGAGGAGTTGCTTTAGATGTAAGACTCGGTTAAGGATTCGTACATTGTCAGATCGAAGCTTGGTAGCTTTATCCAACGTTTGCTCGAGTCATTAGGCATTGTTTTGTCAAAATCTTGAACATTGTTCTGTGTTTTGCTTAGTCTTCGCGTGGACCAAAAGCGTACCACAAAACCTCTCATAATATTCAGTTGTAAAATTCTACATATGATAGACAGGAAGCTTAGAACCTGTAGGCTTTACTAATTGTTCACTCAAGCATTTAATAGCATTTAAAGCAAGTAAAGAAGCAGCTGGGTATAATAGTTCAGCAATGGAACCTTCTGCTTCTTATCTTGCACTTGTATTTAACAAATTTTCTCACTACTACTTGAATTTTTAATTTGAAAAGGCGATAAGTTGGCATTATTCATTCTGGAATTACCCAGAAAACCTCAGGAAAGTGATTCCCGGAAATGGCACGGTTATGACGTGGTAAGAGCTTTGATAACACATGTACATCCTTCTTTAGTTTCCTCATCGGTGTTCATTCTCTCTTTCTGTGCAGATCCTGATTCCCAGTATCATCATCGACAATTAAAAACGTTGCCAAGCCGTCCTCTGCGTCATACTAGTTCTCATTAAATGGAAAAACTCATAAAATTTGTGACGTTCTTCTCCTTAGACGTCCATTCAATTGTGAATGTTGTTCCGTATTTCTCCAGTCTCTGCTACATAGTTTGTATTCAGTTGAGAGACTCTAAACAAACAATTTGAAGCGTAGAATCTGTAGACCATCATCCAACGTCTATACAAGTTATTAGACCTTGCAAACCTTCTGTCGTTTATTCACTGACTCTCTCTGTTTCATAATGTAGACTTAACACTTTAATGGCCACACGTATCAGGCAAAGAGAGTTGTTCGTCACCACTGATATTGCAGACCAAAGATACATGAAGACGCTAGGAATATTATTATAAGGAATTCTAAATGTAACCTCAACAAACGTAATAAGTCGAATGTATGATGAAATGGTGACTGATACAGTAGATCACGCATGCGTGACAGTGGCCAACGTCTGCTAGCTTGCAAAGTCACGTATACGTGACAGCGGCCGTCAAAGTGTTAACTATAAGGCGCAAGCCTCGATCAAAGATACCCCAGTTCTATAGACTTAAAAGCTTTCGATCTATAGCCTTTATCCAACGATTACTCAAGCTGTTGAAACCCTGAATCTTATTAGTTTACAACATTATAACATTTACAAACGTTGACCAGCTCGAAGCTTCGAATCTGTAAACAAGTTTGCTCAAATTGTTAGACGTTGACCGACGAAATCGTAAATATTTCTATTTCCTGTTCAGTCGCCAGATGGACCATGAGTGACGTCGGTTCTCGCGGCGATTAAAAAAGAAAGATAAACCCGATATTGCTTCAACAGAGTGTTTATTTACGCGCGTACGTCCGCATCCTGATCAGTCGCGTCGCGCTGGCCCCCCCCAGACGTTCGATCATGGACGGAACAGGATCCGACGACGACATGCTGGTGCACGTGCTACTGTTAAACGCGTGAACGGGCCGTGGACGATACACTGCGTTGCGAAACGTTGACGATACGATCCCCCCGGAAAAATGGCTACTATGATCGGTGATCCGAAAAGAAACGTGTCCTTGAACACGGCGATACGCCGTCAAGCCAGTCTCTCGGAGTGTCTGACCCAGGCAACCCTCACGCAGGCTCGGCTCAATCTAGCAAGTTAGTGAAACAAATAATCCTGGCTCGACGATTCACGGAATCGTTAACGCGTACCCTATCGATTGAGCCATTTGCAAGCCAAAATTATCAAGTTCCACGTCCTGGAACTTCCGAAAAATGTTACATTTAAAATAAATCTGTTAAGTTGAATTGTCAAAAATATTCATGAGGAACTTAAGAATTATTGTATATTATTTTAAGATACATATATAAGAAATGTAAACTTGAGATATACTGTTGCATTAAGTTTTGTAATTTTTTAATATTCATTGATTGCAGAACGATCCCCCGAGAAGAAATCGGCTACACTGCCTCATTCCAACAGTAACACTTCGCTGTTGTCGGAAAGAGCCACTAGACCGCTGCCACCGCCACCTGAGAGACACTCCTACGTAGACAAACCTTGGTTCCACAACGTCACCAGGGAGCAGGCGACGGCTCTTATCAAAGAACGTACGTATTAAATTTCTAACATTTGTGAAACAGTGCTTAGACCCCTCAATAAGTACAGTTGAAATCAGAATGTTTAACACGTTGACTGTCGTGGGGGTCACCGGTGGCCGGCACACGACTCGATTACAGCGCCATTACGGCGACGCGGTCAATAGTAGAAAACTAGTAAATACATTATACTATCAGTATCAGTAGTAAAGAAACTAACATTTCTTGTCTCTTACATAGAAAGTACTTATGGCAACCCGCAAAATGGATACTTCCTCCTGAGACCATCCACATCGAACGCGAACAATCCACTGGCATTGGTCCTCTGGTACAACGACAGAGTTTACAACGTTCCAGTCCGGAAGAGACGCGATAACAGGTAAGGGAGACATAATTCTTAATTTCCTTGTTCAACAAGCAGAATTAAAAAACGTTTTTTTTTTCGTTGTTAGATACGCATTGGGCTCAGCGAAAACGAAGGAGCAATCGTTCTCGAGCGTGGAGGAAATCGTGGTGTTTTACACGAGGGAGGAACTGGTGCTCCACAGCAATGGCGTACAAATGGGAAGCACAAAGTTAACCGACACACCGCCCAAGTAAAGTTTTCGGAGGCTTTATGCAACAGAACAAAGAGAAGCGCTTTTCTACGCTAAAAGTATCGCACTGTAATACTTAAAACGAATCTGTGCAATGCAAACGCTGCCTGCCCGAAAATTCTAAATGAGATTCAACCTCGAGGAATATGCATGTATTTATTTCAGAAGTGCCTTTCTATCTGTAAAAAGTTCAAACGCCGTGGGTGAACGTAAAATCAACACTTTAACGCCTAATAATTTTGGCCAACCATCGATCTTCAGGGTCGTGAAATTGTATCGTTAAATAAAGGATAATTGATTTTAATTATACCCAAATAAACGTAGTAGTATGTTATCCGGGGTTAAAGTGTTAATTTAACAATGTTCGATTACATTTTTACAATGTTCAAATGCATTTATATATATATATATATATTATAACACACGCGATTGGAAATGTTTATCGCAAAAAGGAAAAAAAAACTGATCTCTAGCGAAATGAATAGATCCGTGTATATTTTGAATACAGAATTTTACGAATCGTATTTTTATCAACGACAAATTTAAACGTTCAAATCTCAAAAGTATTAAATAACGAATGTTATCCTCTTCATCTATATACTAATCATTTCATACACATATCGACGTATGATTTATTGTTTTGTACGTGTATCCGTTGTGCATAAGTTTCTCGATAAGACGGTTTTAAGACGCGAAATTAAAAAGCTTTGGAGATATTGTAAGATTCGTTATTTGTAAATATATTTTTAAAATTGTAAACTAGATAATTCTCAAGTAGAATCGAATGGTTTTTGTACTACGTATTTTGTCTGATTTATTATGTTTTTACGTTTAAGGAAATAAATCGTGGAAAATATTGGTAGATTTCTTATTTTACTTCCACTGAAATCGTTACCCAAGATAATGTATGGCGACACGACACTGAAATAAAAGTGTCGAGAACGATATGATTCATTCTAGAAATTTGGGTCTCTAAATTCGAAGTTCTAATTCGGGTGTTCGATATAATGGCCTTGAACAGTGATAGATACTTGAGCTTCGTTCTTTCTGTACGATATACGCCCGAAACTCGTAGATGAAATTCGCTAATTGATAACTCGAAATGTACGATGATTGATAACGATAACACCGATTAATTAAATACTTCTACGATCGTGATTTCAACTTTCGATATCTTCGAGTAGTTGTGTATCAAGTGGTTGTACACGATCTTTGATCGCGAAAGGTCCGATCTCAGGGTTACGTAATACTGTATACAGGGTGTTTTCTTACAGGTGAGACAATCTTTTATGCGTTTCTGTGAAATTAAAATCAAAAACAACGAGATTCCGTCTGAGAAAAATAAAAAATAAAAGAAAATATTTTCAGCAATTAACAACGCTTTATTTTGACACGTGAAATCATTATTTATCAAAATGTCCCGTATATCTATGGCATATCTTTATGGTCATATTATCGTTAAATTGGCATCAACGATGAATTCGTAAAGTGAACTTTGAACCGGTTACTCAACAATTGGAAGACAATTAGATGCAGCGTGACGAGAAACGTGCAGCGTGTTTGATATTTCCCCGATAATAACACGCTCGATATTAAATTATCATTCGTATGTACAGATCTGTCAGTCGGTCCCGTCGAGACATATCATTTAATTCCTACCACGATTATATAACACGATAATCCGTACAAGAAACAACAAAATCGAGCTAGTAAGTTATCAATGCGTACGTCGTAACAATATTCACACCGATACAGACCTTTGTTCGTTTCTTATTTGTATTTTTCCATCTGCTCTGCGTAAACAACTGAGAAACTGTCTTGAGACGTTACGTTCATCGACCGTACACGTTATTTTAGGTTAAAAGACATGCTCCTTGCACGTATGTACGTTTTAACTTTTAATCGAATTAAGATCGAATCTTTTAACTATTCACGATAATCGAATTAAAAAAAAATACAATTTCTAACCACATTCCGAACCGTTGGTTTCCAAACTTTCTGAGAACATTTCTGAGCTCGATGAGACAAATGGTAAGTTTAAAATAAACTGCACTTCGTTCTGAGGGACTACAAATTACGATGTATTTTAAATCCAGAAAACGTCATAATATTTGGTTTCCCGAAACAAAACGTAACCGAGAATCGCATTTTGCGCGGGAGTCCTTATCGTCGAATCTCATTTCGTCGGAAGAAACGACGTCGTTCGAAAGTTCCCTAGACCGTGTGTTGGTTACTTTCGTGACGTCACGTTTGCTATTCCAGAGCGGGCGATGTGGTGGGAGATCGTAACAACGAAACACACGGCAAGTTTGTGCGCACCGCCCCGTTAACTGATTGCGACTGAACGCCAATTGACCGGTTCATTTAGCTTGTCACTCGAAGCTTTTGAGACGGCATCTCGTGGATCCGGGGCGTTGTACCGAAAATGACACTCAAATTGTAAACAGCCGCGACAGAATAGCCGTATTCCCATTCCCTCGTTCCCGGGCAGCGCGATAAACAACGCTGACATGAGTCGGTCGTTGCAGGAGCGTGATTCTAGGCGGAAATAATGGTGCGTTAGATAAGAAGTGTTAATCGCTCGAGTAATCGCCGTGGGGAGCAATGGAAGATGAACAACCGGCGAGAGAGGCGAACAAGATCTGCGGTGTTTGCGGCGATCGTGCACTCGGTTACAATTTCAACGCGGTGTCGTGCGAAAGCTGCAAGGCTTTCTTTCGAAGGAACGCTTTGAAAAACAAGGTGACCAGCTTTGAAAGTGCTTCACGTGTTCTTATTTTCACATCCAGCGATCGTTCGCGCAATAGAAAGTCTTGATCAGTTGGCAATTTATATTCGCGAGTACCGTGATCCAACACCTCGCCACTTTATACTGTTTTCCTCTCTCTTCCCTTTTTTTTCTTTTTAACTTCGAGATAGATGTTATTGCACGGAAAGGTGGCGTCGCTATAGGAGCCAAATTTGAATTGAATTAAGTAATGACTGTCAAGCGACGGGACAACGGAAACGATATTAGTGTTTGTGGTTTCATGAACCTCGTTCACCGCTAATAGAAGACACGGCTCGACGTGTCGTCGCGATGTTAATTGAAAGATTTTCATTCGAACTTTTCGGATTTCGTTTGCTTCGCAAACTTTTTGGAAGGCTCTCTACCCACTTGAAAATAAATATCTTCGAAACTACATATAGAAAATATACTCCTGGAATTAATAAACTCCGATATTCGACGTATTAGGTTGTTGCAAATGAAATGGCCAAATGCTTGATGCTAATTCAATTGCATTGTACTCTAATTTAACCCTTTTCACTCGAAGTTTTTTTTCATTTATATTACCATCAACTCTAAGCAATTTTAGTGAAAAGATCATATTTACATATAAGCAAATGATATTAAAAGAAAAGTCATTGTTGTATGTTATTATTTTTTTAATTGATTGTAGATACAAATGTTATTTATGTCATTTGTCACCATAAGCAGAATATCCTGTATACAATACTTTTTACAATTTATCTTTGTCCTTACGTTATGAACTGAAAATTATTTGCATTGTCTTCATAGCGGAGCCCTCGAGTGCAAAGGGTTAAACTTACTAAAACAATCAACAAATACCTTCTAGAAACACTTTTTAACAATCAAATTATGAAAAACTTAACTAGTCAAACAGTAATTTAAGATGCAACAACCCAGTATCGATAGAAAGACGTTTAACCCCTTGCGCTGGAAGGTTTAGACCTTTGAATCAGTGCCAGTGCAAGCAGTTAACTTGTCCACATTCTTCTACATTGAAAATGCTCTTTCGCATCCTCTTGGATTATAAGATATATCTAGAAGTTGCAACCCGTACTTTGGGAAACGATGATTCATGTTTTCTAATGTATTTCTTTTTGCAGGACTTCCGTTGTCCGTTCACAGAGAACTGTAACATCACACCGGTGACGAGACGCTTTTGCCAGAAATGTCGTTTAGACAAGTGCTTTAGTATTGGTATGAGAAAAGAGTATATTATGTCAGAGGAGGACAAAGTATTAAAGAGGCAGAAGATCGAACAAAATCGTGCGAAAAAACGACCGCCATTGGACAGCGCGAAGCCGTCGCAATCTAAAAAAGGTTGCTTGGACGAGTGCAGTTTCGACGATACCTCTATGTCGATTAACTCGGTCGCGTCGACGGTGTCGGATACGTATTTCTGGGAGTCGGATAGAAAATATACAGATTTAGATGCTAGCAGGCAGAACGTGACGGAAAGCATGAGTCCTGTGACAGCCGCGAGCGTACCAAGCCCTTCTAGTCCACCGGAAAATGGAACCATAACTGGATCGAAAACCCTGGACATGATGAAGGATTCGTCTCACAGCTCTAATTCTACCTTCGACAATTACGATCAGTCTTCTTTGCATCAGGAAGAAAACGAGACCGACATGGAACAATTGAGAATGAGTACCAACTCTCACATGCAGAGTCCGCAGAGACTCGACAAGGTTAAGTCTCTGTCTCACAGTTTGGAGAAGAACAAGAACTCTGTAGGAAGCTCGAGAAAGTTCGAGCAGAACGTGTTAGTCTTGAAGTCAGAGTTCTGTCCTGCGAGCAACGAAACGTTAAAATATTCGAGCGAGCTCGACGACGCTTGTAATTACCATAAATTCGATCACAGTCCTGTGCAGAATCCCACGTACGTGGATACCGCGTCGCACAGTACAAAACCGAATTTCGACGAGAACCCCGAGTTGCATGTAAATTTGCAGGCCTGCCCGGAGGAGACGGTCGCGTGTCAAAAACCGAGCAAGGAATCGTGTCCACGCGAAGACAATTTAATTGCCAAATTCGTTCAGGATCCGACGCTAGTCACGAAGCTTGTTAATAATTCAAATTTCATTGCAAAGATATGTCAGAACCCGGAGATACTGTTGAAGGTGATTACGGACTCTGAATTTATGAGCAAGTTAGAAGAGGATCCACAGATTTCGCAGTTCCTGAACGAGAACAGTGCCATTGCCGAAAGAGAGACAAAGTCTGAGAACGACGCCAATATACAATTTAAAGACGACTCGAAGCCCGCCAGCATTTCAAACCAAATATTCAAGCAGACGTTTAAGGTTAAACAAAGGCACATAGAAAATCCAATTTTAACGGACTTGATTAGAAACTCGAATCAAGAGGAATGTGTGAAGCAACACGCAGAGCCTGGTAGCAGTGGTAGCAGTGCTAGCAGTAGCAGTGACTGGAACAAAAGTATAACTGATGTTACGAGGGATGTGCTTCAAGATGTACAAAGGTACAACGTATGGAAGACTGGTTAAAATTAGGAGAACTAAATATTATAAAATATATGAAACGTTCGTTCATTTTCAGGGTGCCCATAGTTGCTAATTCCATAGAGTCGATTTTGTGCGAGGCGATTATGTTGGAATTTTCTGCGTATTCAGCACTTGGTGGTATAGAGTCCAGAAAGGAATTGAACGATGTAGAAAGAGCAAAGTTGAACGAATTGATAGTAGCCAACAAAGCATTGCTAGCTCCCTTGGACGAAGATATAACAAATTTAATCGGAGAAGACTGTAAATTTAAGGTACTATTCGACGCGAGTTAATATTAATTGTAGCTGTTCTATCTGCGTTCGATAAAAATCCATTTGTTTTTAGAATAATTTTGGCCAATCCTATCCGGCTCTGTTGGATGTTATAAATCTAACTGCCATTGCCATTAGACGGTTGATAAAGATGGCAAAGAAGATAAACGCGTTTAAAAACATGTGTCAGGAAGATCAGATAGCTCTTCTGAAAGGGGGTTGCACGGAGATGATGATTTTAAGATCATCTCTTAACTATGACGCTGAGAAGAACATGTGGTGGATACCGCATAGCCAAGAGAGTATGTCGAATATCAAAGTGGACGTATTGAAAGAAGTAAAAGGGAATCTGTATGCAGAGCATGCAAGATTCATTAGAAGCTTCGATCCGAGGTGGAGGGACGAGAATATTATTTTAATATTAAGTGCAATTGCTTTGTTTACGCCGGATAGGCCGAAAGTGGTGCATAACGACGTGATTAAACTAGAGCAAGTAAGTGACGAATGCATATTTTCCTGCTTGACAATTATATTATGACGTTGTGGACATATTTCGAATAATACATTTCTTTTTCGTAGAATTCTTATTATTATTTGCTCAGACGTTATCTGGAAAGTGTATATCCCGGCTGCGAGGCTAAGTCTATGTTTCTAAAATTAATTCAGAAAATTTCCGAACTTCACAGACTAAACAACGAAGTTGTCGGCGTTTATCTGAATCTGAATCCATCGAGAGTAGAACCGCTTCTTATAGAGATATTCGATTTGAAACATTGATCGAACCGTTTCGTCCTCGCGTCAGTAGTTCTAACATACTGAAAAGGGGGAATAAACAAGAATTTGTTTCATCGAACGACAAATTTTAGAAACGTTATGGGGGCTGTTCAATAATTATATGTTTATACGATCGAAGTATAGCAATAATTCGAACGCGTGAAAAATATTAACAGAAAAATTTAACAAATTATAGAAAATCAAAATATGTGTATGTACATATATATATATATATATGTACTGTTACGTGACATTAATGTTGGTGCATAATAATGTAAACGAAATTTTCCTTCGTAATAATATTTACGCTAATATAGTCCTTTAATTCGTGTTTTAAGAGTAAAAAAATTTATTGTTATTTATAGAAGCTATGCTTGAGAAACTATCAATTTATCGTTGAACCAATATATAAAATTTTATAAGAAAGCAGAAGGCCGTAGTTGTGAACGAGCGTAAGTGTATCGCATCACCTCGCGTAATTCTCTCCGTGTACCTAGAATAAACGCGTACATGTAGCGTTTAGCATAATAATTCTTATATACGATTGTTGAGAACATTATGTATATTTTGTCGCGAGTACCTTGAAACTGTTACGTATGGAGGAAATATTTGTTATATTTGCACCGAGTTCTACATTCGTGTTCGACGCGTTGATGTATGCAACAAAAATATATATACATATATATTTGTTTGTTTTAAAACAAATTAAAAAAGTTTCTCAGTGATAGAAGTCGAATATGAATTTAGTACACGGTATGAAGCAAAAGAAAAAAAAAAAACGAGACAGCTTTGCTCCAAGCATACGAAAGAGAATGCGGGACATGAGCGGTCGAGTAACGTGCATCCACGTTGCAAAGATTAAAATGTACACAATTGTGATATCGTTCGAAATATATTTTTCAAAGACTTGTTACATCTGGCTATAAATTTTTTCGTTCCCCTGTTATTGTCATTTAAAATGGCCGTATTTTGTGAAAGATAGAAAAAGTGTGGTACCTTCTAGAGCACTATTCGTTTTCGTTTTGTGGAATATCATAACCAAGCAAATGCAGGATCATGACCACCACGAGGCACGAAGACGCGATGAAGAACATCATGGTGATTAGGGTGATCAATATATATCCCAAGGTTCTAAGAACGAACGAGAAGATCCCGACTATCGAGTCCCATATCGACTTCAGTATCATTCTTCTTTATATCACTCTAGAATTTGTCCAAAGATCCATGCTAGGTATCTTATTTTCGATATGTTACAATTGACCAAATTGTAAGAGTTCGATCGAGATCGTCAACTGTTAATCACAGGACTGTTGCTACTGGTTACTGCAATATGATATAGTACATATCGTGTACTAATATTTAAAATTGTATAAAAAAATATTTTTTCAATAACATAGTAATTATTATCTTAGTACCGATGTTTGCCATTTGTATTTTATTATCATACAGTTTTCAGTGCCACAATTCTTTTCTATTTCTTCAGTTTCTTGTCGTTTGCCATTTTAATTTTAGCACTATTTACATTTGACCATCTCCACTTTTGATTCCACCTTAATCGTCGGTTTTACATAATTCTCGCGCTTGTAATGGTAGAACATTTCAGCGTTATTCTCGTAAGGTTTCGTGAACGTCCAGTCGATTCTCTCCGCGGCGAGATAGCAAGCGCCAATGGCCGACGATGCGGTCAATCGAAGCAAACTCAGCTCATCCACCGCGTGCGAGTCATGAATTTCTTCCAGGAAAGCGTCTCTCATAAATTCCCACGATTTCCACACCGATCCCACACAGACGACATTTAGCCCGCCCTTGGCTAACTTAATATTCTATAAAATATTATATATTACAAATCGACCAAACAATTCCACCGATTATTTCCAAATAGAAATCTAACTTACATTATCAGCCTTCCTTGCAAGAGCAACGATATGCTTCGCGAGGAGTACGCCATTTTCTCGTAAAATGTGCAAACAGAGGCGATCCTTGTTTTTACAACCATCTGCAATCGTCTTGGCAAACCCGGCGAATTTACTTTTCTCGAAATTCGTGTAAATGTACGGTAGCATCTCCTGCCTATCCAACACGTTGAAAAATATCTTTAGAGCCGGCCACGCGTAGCTAATTGGCTCTGGGGCATGAAACAAGCCGTCGATGTCGTCGAAGATATATTTGCAGGCTCGATGAGCGATCCAGTAAGCTGAAAGTGTTGTTCTATCTCTTACGAAGTCTTTATGGGTGCGATACTAGCGCCATCTACTTTCTAAACCCTCTATTTCCTACTTCCACCTGTCTCCTTTTCCCTTCTTAACTCTCCCTTAACTTAACCTCACTTCTAGCACTCGCTTACAACTAAAATTAAAGCTAACATTAACCTGATACAAAAGAAAATAAATCTAAAATAACACAACTTAATCTCTAGTTTTAATTGTTATACTAATGATTGATATTGTTGATTTCAAATTGCACATAGATTGTACTATGGATAGAGAAGATGTGAACCTTTACAAGCACACTCACGCTACTAAATTGATTACTACTTTGGTTAGAGACCTAAAACTCTATTCGAATCTCGATTTCATGTATCGAGAAAATATATTAGTTTGATTGCTGGTTTCTACAGTACCCACCGCTTCCTTCGTCCCCCATCATGTGTCCCCAGCCCCCACAAGTTATAACCTTTCCATCAGAGTCGATCATTAGCGCGTTGCTACCGGTGCCAGCGATCAGAACTATTCCACCATTGTCCAAGGCAGTTCTGAGACTGCCCAGCGTGTCCGAACTGACGGTATAATACTTGGCGACGTTTCGATAATTCGTTTGCATCGTTTTCACTAGAAGCTGATTCGTTTTCTCCTCCTCGCAACCGCTCAGAGACAGACCCTGATCGTTCAAAGAGTATAACGCTTATGACAGACGCTATAACGCTTAAATTTCACAAGGAAATTTAAATTTAATTCTAATTTTCCCCAGAGATAAAACTAACTTCCTGACAGATTCAATACTACTCACTAAGCAATGTAACTGGACTGTTTCAGGCATGTTTAATGCTTCCTTCCCCCTTTGCACCATAGCGTTGATCCTAGCGGCAGTCTCATCCATTCCTATCGACTGAATAGAAAGATAAATAGAAATTTTTTTTTATCCCTAAAAAGATAACAAATGTTCGTTATGTTGTTTAAGTTAGAATTACCCAATGATTGGTATTGGGACCCTTCACTTCCGTCAGCGGTGTTCCCTTGCTATCGATTATTACGAGTGTTGAATGGGTAGCGCCACTAATCACGAAAATCATTCGGTGATAATACCAAGATTATTATTTTTATTCAAAAATTTATCGAAACATTAAAACAAATAAATGGCAAAAATATTTAAAATATAGGATCAACATTAGGCCACGTATCTGTAATTTACTACTTGATACCATAAAACATTTGTTTTAAATGGTTTTCAGATAAAACTGACACACGGTATATCTACCGGTATATATATCTATCTAATTATTGAATATCAATAATTTGTGAAAAAATAGCCAACCAATGACGTTTATTTCGATAAACGTCGATAAGCATGATCGATTGCGATTATTTCTTGATCTAACATTTCAATATGGTTACCTTTTGTAACGTATAAATTTTTTTTATACAGTTTTTCGAAAATAGTAATTATTTGCATTAGGGGTCACCTTATAGATTTTGATAACCTCGAAATATGTTATTGGGGTCATTGTTTGTTGTTTTCGGTCTTAGTTTAATTACCAAATTCGCAAGTATTGTATTAACATTAACATTGACCTTGGCATCATATTTCAAGGTTACTGAAATCAGCGAGTGGGTAAATAATTACCTAGAAGATACACGATTAAGCGTAAAAGATAAAGCAGAGATAAAATTTTAGTACCCTTCGACACCGCCCAATCTGATCTCGTCAGGGTACTGCAACAATTTCTGCTTAAGCAGTGCCATCTTTGATTCCTCCTCCTCCAAATCTCTTCTGAGTGCCTGTTCCCTTAAATTTCTACGAAGCTCGAGTTCGTCGATCCTTTTCCTCCTTCCCTTTTTCTTCCCTCCCTTTTTTCGTTTCCCTGCCATATTTCAACGAGACGTTTTCAAATTCGTTTCTATTCTTCAAGCTCTGTTCATTGTCTAAAGGACGTAGGAAATCAGGCGTAGGATGCAAACGGATATGATCGTTCGATAACGCACGACGATAACAGACGAACGTGATTCAAACATCGTGCAATATTTTTCGGATAAAACGAAAAATCAAGAGATCCGAAACTCTGTGAAACTATTTCTACTCGAACTTGATTATAACTCGTTAAAAATAATAATAATTATAAGCTTATTATATGAGAAGAACTGAAATTCAGTTTGCAAAAGATTAGGAAAAAATCAGGAAGGCGTCTCGTTTGCCGTGCGATATATTTTTTATAAGTTGGATTTAAAGCTTAAATACAATCGCTCGATGGATACGGTCGATGATTTTCGATCTACTTACTATGATATTTCAACGATTCCTCGATGCCGATTTAACGGACGTATGCTGCGAAATTATTAATTATCGAGTTGCGGTGTGGGTGCGCGAAGCGAAGTTCAACGCGATTTATGAAAAAATTCCAGAAGAGTTACGGGAGTAACGGATCTGATAGGTACGAGTGCCGTGGCTGTCACAATACACGACGTGACGTTTGGTCAGTGAACGACGCGTACAACACGACGGAAGTTGTCTCCGTTACTGTCGTTTCGTGATTATTCGCGCTAAATGCATAGCCATGGCCGTGGATCGTACAATCTACTTCGGCGAATGCTCGTTGAAGTAGTAGGGGGGTTCGTCGATCTAACATCAACTGAGAAAGAGGAAGGGATTGACAGCGAGTACAGAAAAAGAATTGTAATCGTATTTGGTGAATTAATGGACTCCCCTGAGACAACGTTTCAGTACATTCATTTATTTTGTTTACGAAATTACGAAATTCAGAAACCGAACAGAACAAAGCGTATATAGGTTAGGACAAGATTGTCGAATTCGTGGCCCATGGGCAGTGCTGCCACCACTAGATGAAATTCCGTAAATGTTCTCTCAGAAAATTTGTAATAGATTTGGCTCAAACTAATCGTTTTAGTGTAATGCATCGTACAGCATAATCGACTTCAGTGCTAGCCATGAACGAGACAAAGCAAAACCGCGAAAATCTAATTTTGTAATTGATAGAATGGGTACGCGACATTTGTGCATCTTTGTCTATCCAGTGCAAAAACCGGACTTTCGCTTAGCATGGTACTGAAGTCGACTATGATGCAGTGTGGCAGTCACGGCGATTGCAGCGCCGTCATGTGTCCATGTTTGAAGAGGACGCCACAAAATTACACAGTCTACTACAAACTCCCCAAGGAGACACATGGTAGTATGTCGTTATTGAATGAAGTTATTTTTGTTACTTAAAACGTACATAGTTCTTTTGTATCGCTATCGAATATTTCCTGGTATTAATTAAAAGATCCCCCACAAATTGGTGTCGAAATTCGAGACACGCGAAAGAAAAAAAAAAACAAGAAAAAAAGGAAACTGGGGGGTTAGAATCACAGCTAATTCTACTCCTCTGGTAAACGTAAACAGAGTACAAAGTACGGAGTGCCGTGGAAACGTACCAATGAACTCCACAGGAGCCGGGTACCATGAGCACAAGGAAGTCTTGCGGCAGGTGCATTGCCGGAAGCTACAACTTTCCTACACACATACACGCCTTCGCATCTTTGAATGAAACGGGAGGAGCAAATTGTACACTTCCATTCATGGAAATAACCCATACATCCATCAAGTTTTTCACAACTGTATAATAAAGACAATCTATAGTTGATAATAAAAGAAAAAAACTTTATATACATCGTATAACGTAACTGTGGTAATATAATAAGCAATTTTTAAGTCACGTCGAAGATTACGAACGATAAAAAACTGATGCCAATTGCTATGATTTAATTTGACAAGATTTTGTATGCTTCGGCCCTTTTCGTGTCAATGTATGACTTTTAGATGAAGAATGAAGTAAAATCACGTTCCAAAAATATAAGAAACCCATTGATAGGCTATCGATGAACTATTTCACCTTACCGCGACGAATGAAAATCAATATTCCCCCAACGAAGAACAAAACCAGAAAAATCGCGCGCCCTCGCTAACAGATAACCAATAGCTTAATTCGCGGTGGGAGATGTGGCTACGACCGTAGACAGAAAGAGTCTGGAAGGTGAACATGATTCGTATGTACGCGGTTTACGAGTGCGTGAAGAATAGTGGGGCGCAGTGATGCGCGGCGCGGCCACTCCGCAGCGCTCCCCTTTCATTAGGAACACAGAATGTACAAGAAAGTGTGTCTCCCTCTGTCGTTGGGTATAGCATCTTCGACGTCACAACTCTTTAACGTTTCTGTAATTCTGATATAGGGGGTCCCCGAGAACTGGCCTGAACTCGGTTGTAGAACGCGACATCTTCTACGTATTCTGCGTGTCGGATATCGAACCATACTCTTTTTCATTAGGAATGTAGGAAACACTAAGAAACGATGTCCGACTCATGGAGAAAGGGAACGGAATACTTCTAAATTCTATGAAAGACTTCTTAAGACTTGAGGGGAATAACAGACTAGCGTTAAGACTCATCTAGGATAAGAACCAACGCTATAATTTGAATAAATCGTTAGCTAGAAAAAGATTATGCAGTCCAGTTTATGCAAGTGTAGATTCCAAGAGAAAATTAAAACCATGGAATGTTTGAATGTACCCTATATAATAGGGAAAGGATAGAATTTAGGAAAAAACTAAGGGAGGATTCTTGATTACATTGTACAAAGGAAAAAAAATACTGAAGCACCTTATAATAAGATAAATAAAAATCCAAGGGAAGTGAATTGGATAATAATGTACAATCAATATAAAATTAATGACAAGTATTAAAGAAAAAAAATACTTTGTAAAATTATATGGGAATAGATAATATATTTTAAATACATCCTTCAGCAAAACTTGTGATAAATGGTGTTTTTTTTTATGATTTGAATTTGATTTGATGATCACTTTATTTAATTTTAAATGATACTAGGGCACTCACCTTTAAATTACAACTTCTGTTTGTCGTGGTCCAATCTTTCTTATTTCTCCTTTTCCCAACTTTCCCAAAGCACCTCTTCAGTTTCTTTTTGAGGAATAGGTCTACCTTTTCTATTTTTTCTCCTTTCTAACCTCATAAAATTCACATTATCATTCAGATTGTAATCCTCTTCTTCAATATTGAACAAGTTTCTATCTGAAATACCTGGCTTGAGTTCTTTGATGCTCTCAGGTTCATTGTCACCCACCCTTCCAACATTTCTTGGATCTTTTTGGAATATCTGGTCTTAAGATTTTTGGATCCACTGTTTTGTATTCATTAAATAACACTGTTCCTTTATCTGCGTGTTGTAACTTTATTTCAGCCATCTTTTTCGTGACTACGCTAAACATTTGTAAATCTTGATATTGTTTATATGTTTTTTGTAAGTAAATTTCTTACTGGAAATCTCAACTTCGAATAGGAGAATTTCGATCGTAATTCCTTTTGATTCTTTTCTCGGCCACATGTTTTCTAACTTTCTTACCTTTTCTGTATCTTCAATATTCTTATTCATCTCACTTTTCGATCAATCAACCTTTACTCTTAGTTATTATTTCTTGTTTACTTTTCTACCTAGCTCGTTCGACATTTTGTTTGCTAATGGACAGACGCTATCCTAGTTTACCAGACACGAAGCAACTGCCCCACCACTCGCGCACACTAATTTGATTCGGGCAGTTTCGGGAATTCGACAAAGAAGGAGAACGTGATCCTTTCCTTCTCGCTTTCTCGATTTATTACACCATAAACGAGGTATATAACACCTATTATTTAATTGGACTTCGTAACACACTGATTTACCAACCTCATAAAATATATTTCGTTTCCCCATGGTACTGGTCTTCTGTCTGGTAACATTGTGGCATCCTGCATCATCTGTCGTTTAGTTGCCCGCCTTTTTTTGGCGCGTTTTCTTATGGCTCAATGGCGCGTTTCCATGGCTTGACCTCATTTCCGGTCCTAACTGGCTTTCTATTGGCCATTTCCTTTTCACTGCTGTGCCTTCCCATTCCATTGCTCTTGCACACTAGTGCCATCTTTCTTTTATACCTGTTTCCCCCTCGCCACGGAGGTCTCTTAACCTTTAGAGTTCCTCGTTGTGTTTTTTTCTCTCTTCACAGCTTTAAACCTCTCGATTTCTTCACCAAAACTTATTCTTGGTACTTCTCTTGTTTATTAGCTTCGATCCGACCATTCTTTGTTAGTTGCTATCGTTTGTTTCGTCGGAATCTTTATTTTTGGATCACCGATCGCCTTCACACACTCGTCACCCACGCGAGATTCTCGTCATGTGCGTGAAGAATAGTGGGGCGCAGTGATGCGCGGAGCGGCCACTCCGCAGCGCTCCCCTTTCATTAGGAACGCAGAATATACATGGAAGTCTGTCTCCCTCGGTTCTTGGATATACCGTCTTCGACGTCCTAACTCTTTAACGTTCCTGTAATTCTGTTACAGGGGGTCCCCGAGAACTGGCCTACCCCTAACCCAGACCTAACCCAGCAAAATACACGTCATTTCTCATGACCGGGAAACGCTCTGTTCAATCGATCTTTGCTACATGCAATTTCTCACAAATACCAGGCAAAATTGGAACACTTAAATATTTAATCTTGGAGTTTTCCTTAGGTCTATATGTCTTAGAATAAAATTTAAAGTTTTATAAGTGTTACGTTTGTTAATATTTGTTGCTAATTTCAAATGGTTTCTTTAAATGTCGAATAAAATTGATAATAATAGCACAGACGAGGTATACGAGTAGACCTTTCACCCATTGTATTTTTCGGCCCATTTTTATGGGGCTCTAGAGCCCCATTACCATTTTCGTGTCACTCGCTACATTACCAACAGATTTAGAAATGAATTTCAATCTCTTCTCCACAGTCAACTCGCATGTATTTACGCACACGTTACAACTGTCTATTCATCGATACTAATTCAATGAACAGTTTCTCAACTGACCAGGACGCTAAAATCACCTTCGAATTTCTTACTCGATATGGCAATTGTTCGAACTGATGTACAAAAAGACGCGTATTAACAAAAATTAACGAATAGAAAATGAGTAATACTACAGATACGGAGGTTATATATATGTGTCTCGATAAATCTAAAAATTGATTCATGACAGTGTTATCAGACGGCAGATCGGTGACCAGAGTAGCTTACCCCTCCATTTACGTGAACTTAGGCGCTTTGGACAGCTTCGTGAATTCAAGAAAGATGGCGAATGTGAGTCTTTCTTTCTTGCTTTCGAAACAGCTGAAATCCGATTAGGTGTCACCCTGCATACGATTTTGAGTCTCAACTGCCCAGGCATTTTTATTTTCCTACCCATGTATACCCATTACACATAAACGAGGTAAAGAATAGACCTATCGTTAGTGAGATGAATGCTATCGATGTACCACGAATGTCTTATAACATGAGATACACTCTTCCAAAATGGAACAAAATGTTAAAAAGATCATGCATCAAATTGTAAGGGGATTCTCGTAAGAAGTCTTCAATCTTAGTAATGATTTTAATGGGTCAATGATCAACAATAACTAGCTTATGGTCACTGATGGTCAACAGTGAGGTTGACGTCAAGGTCAGCGGTCCAGTGAAGCTCCAGAAATGGTCAAGAAGTGAGACAAATCGAAATAGTTACTTTGTAGACAAGACAGTCTTAATTGTCAACTGTAACTTTGGCTCTGATTAGTCTCCCCACCCTTTCGCCACCTGAGACATATAAGCAGGGTCACTGCGAAGAATTCTTCAGTCTCGTCGCGAATTCGGGAGTGTACAAGTGGCCTGAAGTGAACCGGGGACCGCTGCTGACCTCTGCTGGCCGCTGCTGACCACTACTGGCCTGAGCTGACCATGGCTGACCACTACTGACCAATACTGACCAGTGCTGACCACTACTGACCAGTTGTGACTAGCGCTCCTGCCACTACTGACCACTACTGACCACTGCTGACCACTGCTGACCACTACTGACCAGTGCCGGACGGTGATAACCAGTGGTAAGAACTGTTTAAACATTCTCTCCCCTCTCCTATTCTATCGTTTGATACCAATTTCGTTTCAATGAACTGATTTTACCTTGCTTGTCTAACTGATGTTGCTATAATATGAATATTTTCTTTCTTTACAGCGGTAACTACCCTATGCACTGGCAACAAGTAGTAAGTCCACTCCACTTGTTTATATTTTATTATTTTTATTTGTTTGTTTGATGTGAATTCCTTTTCTGTGTTTCCACTTTTACATTGTTCTTCGAATTTATGTGATTGCTTCGATATGTATAATATTGCAGGATATATTAATGTAACATTGTTTTCAATCGTATACTATATTTGTTTCTATACAATATCATGAATTTTTATTTTTAAGCTAGGTGATAGGTAATTTTTAAGTGTTTAAGAACCTCCTTTTTAACCCGTTAGCTTAATGATGTTTCAGAGACATGATGAGTTTACCGGGCCAAACATGAAGAAGACGTCTCAGAGAAGTGATAAGTCTATCGGGCCAAACCTTGATGACGCTTTTGGCACGCACAGTTGGAAATTAAATCGTAAGGCAAAGGGGTAAAACGACTGGTTGTATACGTGCTTTCTTCGGCAAGTGTAGTTAGTATCCTTTGCTTAAAAATTATAATCTTCTTGCACATCGCGATTTTTAAGATGACAAATGTCATAGTAGATTCATTTTTAATTTGACACTAATTTTAAAATGAATATATAATGAGTACATATACATATATGAGTAGTTCACTTTCTCTCGTCCGCTCGTTCTCTGGTTCTCGCTTTCCGAGATTATGTCTCGACCGAAAGGATCGGAGAGTTTTTTGCTCGATCACCTCTGTTTGATAGAATGAAACACGTGACGCCTGTGTATTAGGTGTGATAGCTCTTACCGCTTCAACCCCGGTGCAGCTTGGTTCAGCTTAAGTGGGGCCTCACCGAGCGCATATATTCTCCTCTTTATACGGAAAAGAGAATGACCTCCGGTGAGAGTTCTTGACCCATATCCGTTCTCGAGTACTAAGCGGGTCCTGTTGTGATCATGTGTCCTCCAGGACCCGGCGGTTGTACGTAGAGAGGTCCGATAGACGTGGGTCAGGGGCGCGACTTGCTTTTCTGATAATCAAGGCCGGGGGGGATCAATCTGATACCCACACTCACTGCACGCTTATGAGCACGTGTCGCGTCGCGTTTTATTTAAGCGTGCGATGTTTTTACACGCCGCAATTTTTAATATGACAAATATCGTAATATCGATCGAAAGTAGAGTAATGATTTTAATATCTTTTATAATACTTATAATTATATTCATTTTAGAATGAGTGTCAAATTAGTAGCTTCCGATTGTTCTTTACATTCTCCAATAATTAAATTCACTTTCATAATCGGGTTGACGACTTTGGGTATCCTCGATATCGAAGATACCCAAAGTCTTTCTTTACTTATCAAAAATATATCATTAGATTGACGTGCAAGAAGATATTTCGCGACGAATACATTTTAGAGACAAAGTAACCTCGTATATTATGTACTATTTTTACTTTCTCACTGCACTTGCCTGTAGTTGTAGTATTTGTAGTTTTACTTGTTTTGTTTTGTTTGTTCTCTTACTAATCTATTAAACGAGTTTCTGTTACAGAAGCATATTCCTATGGAAGTTTTAGGTTCATGGAAGTAAGAATTAAGAATTGTTACAATTTTGTTTGATATTGCTTTGTTTGTGTTTCAGGAAATCATCGTGGGATAAATAGAAGATAGAAGAAAGAAGAATGTATTTCATCTTCATTTTCTTTCAGATTGCTTAGTTTATGTTTTAATAATTTAGATTTATAGTTAGGTAGAATGTAACAGTATGTTTCAGGAAATCTTCGCCGAAAGATCAACAAGGAAGAATATATTTTCTATGTATTTTGTTAGATGATTAGATAGATAGGATGTAAATGAATTTAGATTTATAGTTAGGCAGGAATTTGGTTCTCTATATTAATCATTATATCGAGCAGGCAATATTTTGGTCCATTTCTCTGTTTTGTCGATGAGAATTTAGAGGCAAATTCTTTCTCAAAAAACTCTTTCGTTGGTTGTTTCATTCGTTGGTTGCACTTTCGTTTGTTTCTTCTACGAAAAACGATTGTTGATCACAGATCTTTATTAATGGAGGGTGGTTGGGAATCGGTTAGGGCGGGTCTCCATTCGCAGCAACCTCCACGTGGTGAGACCTGGGTAATATTATTTAGCGTTTAATTAATAATCGTATCACTCTTAGCTGGGTAATTCAATTATTAATTAAAAGCTAAATAATATTAGCAAATTGGCTGCGATCCGCCTTGCATAGATCATTACGAATATAGAGCTTCTTGGCTAGGTTAGTTTTCTTTCATCCAATGTATATTTTCGGCACATTTTTATGGGGTATCGAATCCCCATTACCATTTTCGTGTCATTTGCAACATTACCAACAGATTTAGAAATGAATTTCAATCTCTGTATAGTCCACTCAATACTAATTCAGTGAATAGTTTCTCGACTGACCGCCGTCCATGAGAAGAGGACGCTGAAATCACCTCCGAATTTTCAGGTCGGTATGGCAGTCAGATTGGGCCACGAAAGTTCATAAGCTGATGATAGGTCTGCTCATATACATCGTCTGTGATCTAACTTTGATTGCTTCCGAAATAATTAAATTCTCTCAATATTTAGTCCTAATTCCAAACACTGGAAGTGTTAAATTCGAATTCCTGTGTGAACCGGTAACGTTGGAATTGACACGGAAATGCTCGTCTTGTTTACCGACTGTCGGTAAAATAAATTGTTTGCAAAATTAGAATGGTAACTGATAATTATTCGCGGAACACGAATAAATTGCCACACGATTAGAACTTTTTTAAAAGTATGCGAGTTACAAAGGAAGATGAACATCACACTAAATTACACCAGTCTCAGAATAACTATGTATTGTATAAGATGGACTTCGGTTATAATTCTCATTATAATTCCGTTTTATAACAAAAAAAATCTGTTTAATAATAGTTCAAAAAACTATTGTATATATTACTTTCAGGATAATGTTTAGAATAAAAAAATATTAAACAGTTAAATTCGTTCGTGGAACTATTACGCGAATTATGTTAATCGATGAATTGTCACATAGTCTTAGTTATTAATCTCATGTATATTCACACATTATATGTTGTTACGACCTCTCGTAACCTGTCATCGTTCGCTTTTTCTCTGGCAATAAATCACTCTTGCATTCTTCTGCAGTAGCTTTTCGGTTCAAGGCCAGATTTTTTCCCCCCAATGATAAAGCGCAGAGTCATCTACTCAGCTATTTTATTCTTTACTTAATATGCTTTGACACGTGCCGCGTCGAACTTCGTCGTTCAATGAAACTTAACGTTTCTTTCTACCCTCGGTCAAGAAAACGAAATAAAGCCAGTAAAAGGAGCAGTGACAAAACTTAAGAGCTGAAAATTTGGAAAGAAGATACAATAAGTAATTTTTGTACGTTCTCATTTTCAACTTTTATTCGAGGGAATTTCAACCCCTTAATTAGAGGTTATGTCGTACGATGACCGACTCGTACGGATCGCAAGCGCCCCGTGCAGGTTCGCGCGGCGAATTTCAGAGGTCTTCGTTAAAGAACTCTATGAAGTATGCAGGAGAAAGATCCACGCTACCCCTTCCCACAGAACGCGGCTGCACCTGTGCCCGCGGATCGCGGCACCTTTCGTAAAGGACACATGGACATCGCTTACCGATTCATAGATCCCCCACTTTCGTACTGACTGAGTTAGTCTTGATCTTGATTTCCCAAAGGGAACAGCGGCCACGGCAGTCGTGCGTTCGACGGTGCGACGATCGGACTCCGGTTAGATTTGGCTCGCACGGAAATGCGTCTCGGTTCGCTGTCATGACATACATCCGCGTGGCCATTTACGGATTCGACGATCGATCGTTAGGAATCTTCGGACGGTCAGTCCGTTTCGAGCGATCGCCGTGGTGTCCACCGACAGTCCTCCAAGTGCAGTCCGTGATATAGGAGATCGTGGACAATAACACCTCCGGGATCGGTATAAACACGCCGCGTTCCGACTCGCGCCCGATAGAACGCCGGCGGACTCGTAATACCGCGAGAAAAAGGTTAGGCTACGGCGAACTGAGATACACGCGCAAAGTGTTCGGCGAACAAGTCGAGAAAGTTGCACTCGCGACGAGAAACATTTCAGAGATAAAAGGAGAAAAAAAAAAATAGAAGACACCAGGACGCGGACCTCGCGACGGCACCGTCGTCGCGTGTTTCACGGTTTGCATTTGGGCACAGGACCGGCGTGCGACTAACGTCTCGTCGGGAAGTGTTGTGTTGTGAATGAACGTTGGGACGGACGGACGGTCGATATCGATTTCCGCGATATTTGAAAACTGTTCGAGTCGCCGTTCGCGAAGGAAAAGGGATCGATCTTTGTGCAGTTTACGCTCGATAATCGAAGGATAATCTGCGGCGAGGTAAAGATTTACAAGTTACCATTGTTTTGATTTCTTATACAGGGTCGATAATAGCGTTGGTACGCAATCTTACTGGAATGCTATTAATCATGTGAACAGTCGTTTCAAAGTAATTACGTACTAATAACCTATCAGAGTAAGACTCTTGAAACGATTAATAACGTCTATGTTGTAGAAACGTTATTTTGATATATTATGAAGTCTTTAAGCGGAGTGTAGGTGGTTTTAAAAGGTAAATGGCCCTAAGACTCTGTCGTCATAAGAGAACTTAACCCCTAAAGGACTAAATTATAGTTCTTTGAAAGAACTCTTGACAAGTTACGACCTAACTTTTTTAAACGTTCGTATCAAATTATTAAAGAAGAATGTCTTGAACCTTTGGTCGAATTCTTATTGAAAATTTCTTCTCTTTGGGTTTGATGTTTATTCAGATTTGCTCTGTTAATTTTTATTAGAAATTCCTCCGTTCAGCCCATGCGTTCCTTCTTCTTTCATTGCAAATTTATATACGGTTTAACTGCTCGAAATCTAATTAATTACAGAGCCAATTAAACTTTTAGACTTTCCAGCGTGAAAATTCCCGCGACCTTGGAGCTTCCGAGTTTTACGATATTAAGTAATTTTCGTAAAAACGAAAACAATTTCTGCGTTCTCCCGGAGGTGCGAAGGTTTCTAAGTTTCGCTTCTAATCCATTTTCTTTCGTATTTTGGAATCCGACTTCAGCCGCGAAACCGTTTTGCAATTCAATCGGCCATTTTTGTAATGTAAAACAAGCCGTGAGTTATGATGGTCATAAAACATAGTACGTCTTTAATAAAAACGTCGTCGACTTTGCATTTTAGATCGTCGTCATCAACTAAGTAATAAAAAAATGTTAATTTTATCTAATGTTCTCATCGAATATCTTTTCAATGTTTATATGGATTATGTTTATGAATTTCTGTGTGATTTTTCCTTTGTTACACCGTTGCATGCACTTAACGAGTAATTGTTAAGTAGGTTTATTGAGTAAGGCGGCAGCTGATGTGAGATCATTGCTATGAATTTTTAAATCCATTAAGCCCTTAACACATTTGGCATTGAACCGATTGATCAATTATAACATCGAGCATGTTTCTCTTTAATTTAAATATTATTTTCATTTCAAATATAAATCGCTGCATCATCAATACTAATTTATATTTAGCATTATTCATTGCATATATTTTTACGTACGTTGCATAAATATTCGTATAATTTTTACATCGTTATAATATTTGCACAAAATGAATTAATCTAGTTTTTATGCCTGTGAAATTAAACATTCGACCTTAGAAAAACCGACCTTTGAAACTTGGAACTTTGTACTTTCAATGGTATCAAATATACATTTCCGTAACTTAAATTTAAAATTATTCTGTTTCCCAATATTGTAACTTTTGTGTTAAAATAAAATTTTAACCGATTAATTATTGCATTTAAACAAGAAGATACAATTAATCTTAAAAATTCAAAAAAGGTTGCATAAATATTTGTATAATTTTTACATCGTTATAATATTTGCACAAAATGAATTAATCTAGTTTTTATGCCTGTAAAATTAAACATTCGACCTTAGAAAAACCGACCTTTGAAACTTGGAACTTTGTACTTTCAATGATATCAAATTTACATTTCCGTAACTTAAATTTAAAATTATTCTGTTTCCCAATATTGTAACTTTTGTGTTAAAATAAAATTTTAAGCGATTAATTATTGCATTTAAACAAGAAGATAAAATTAATCTTAAAAATTCAAAAAAGGTTGCATAAATATTTGTATAATTTTTACATCGTTATAATATTTGCACAAAATGAATTAATCCATTTTTTATACCTGTAAAATTAAACATTCGACCTTTGAAACTTGGAACTTTGTACTTTCAATGGTATCAAATTTACATTTCCGTAACTTAAATATAAAATTATTCTGTTTCCCAATATTGTAACTTTTGTGTTAAAATAAAATTTTAACCGATTAATTATTGCATTTAAACAAGAAGATGAAATTAATTTCAAAAATTTAAAAAAGATTGGGAAAAATAATTTTAATCGGATAATTAGTATGAAAAATTATCAAAGTAAATCAGAATGCGTTGTTCGACCGGTATTTCCGTCCAACGGAATCCCAAAATATCGAATGGCCCGAGTCAAGGTTAACGCTGTCAAAAAATAGATCAACTCTGCTACCGGTTGTTTAAAATAAATGAAACAAGCCTTCGATTATCTAGAAAATTCCTTAACACGACGTTTATTATTTTCGTGACTTTTCTTTAATGGTAAGTTTAGTCGATGGATGGGACCATAATCTCTGCAGGAACATTAGGAAGCGTTGCGTAATAGAAGAAACGAGGAAGAGAGCACTTAACATGCCACCTAATTCATGGTACATAAAGGAGGAGACTGCGAATATAGAGAATCGTGAAGATTCAGGAGGAAGCTGATGGCTCGATCCATTCTCTCCCTTCGATCCAACGATCGATACGGTTTCCTACACGACGACATAATTTATAGAAGAACATTAGCGAACGCCATATTATAAAAGAGAGAAGGAATTAAATTTATTTATTTAATGTTCAACGGTTCAAAATGCGTAACTGTGTTCAATCTGGGGAAGTTACACAATCGTCGTGTAACGATACTTATTTACGTTTAGACATTATTCAGTTATATTTTGCTGATGGAAGCCGGACGCTTACGAAATGTACAACAGAAAATTGATGACTTGGAAATACTTTTCAGTCGCGAGGTACCATAATGCAACGTGAAATGTGCAGAGTTTAATTTTGTTCTGGATGCGACATCAAGAGATCAATTAAAAATTTTTAATATTTAATTATCAACGGTTTTCATTTCTTTAATTTAATAGAATTCATTTCGTTTCAAGAATTCTTTAATTTTAAAAAAGAGTTTACTGCACGTTGTTTCTAAATTATTTAATACGACTTTAATGTTGTACCGCAAAGAACAGTAAAGAATGCTCCCAAGTGACGTTCTCTGATGTGAGAGAAATCCATCTTTTCGCTCATGAATTGCATTTTCTTGATAGCAATCCCCGGATGAAGCACAATAATTACGGATGAGGAGAAAGCTTCAAAATAATTTCGATTAGATTAATACTGTGAAATTCTAAACTCAATGGTCGAAATCTTTACTTTTATCAATCTTGTTTGAAATATGGACAATAATATTCTCCACGAAAATGTGAATTCTCTGTCGAAGAATGACAGATAGATGGCGGTGATGGCGGTTTCAAAGGTTATGTCGCGCTGAATTTAGGCAACAACGTCATCGTTGAAACTTTCCAAAGGGTCGTTATGTGAAATTGTATATTATATACAGTGTTGATAAATAATAATTACGGAAGAATAGAACGCTTTGAAATAATTTTGGTTAGGTTAATATCGTGAAATTTTATACAGAATAGAATAAACCAGGCTGTAACCAACAGTCGAAACGTTTTCATATCAAACTATGCTTGTTCGTGTTACTTTTATTAATTTTCTTTCTTACTCGAAACGTGGAACATATATTTTCTTTGAAAATGTGAATTGTTCGACGAAGAATGAAAGGTAGATGTTGGCGATGGTGTTTTGAAGGTTATGTCGTGCTGGAATGAAGCAATAACATCATCGTTAAACATAAGTCATCGTTAAGACTTTCCTAAGGGGCATTATGTGAAACTGCAGTACATTAAGCACAGTGTCGATAAATAATAGAAAGATCTCTTCAACTTCGACTTTATGCATCGAAACGTCCGAGGGAAGGTCTTGTATAATAAACGCAACAGAGTTGTACGATGCCTTATTTCTTCGGTTAATGCTTTCGCAGATAAACAAGTAGCAATTACTAGTTTATTGCCTGAGTTTGCAATTTGCAACAGAATTCTTGGGAAAATTTATTCTCATATGCAAATGTTTATTAAAGAGTTCAAATAACGTATCAGTGTATTAGCTATCGAGGTAACAAATTTTTTAGCGTTGCTTGGCAGAATTTTTACGTAATTTCGACCTATTCGAACAACTTCGTTACTCAACCGATAATCTTCCTCGTGAATTTCGGAATCCTCTCGCTTTAGCGCGGCGAAATGAAAAGATGGGTCTGAGAATAATTTTTCAGTGAAAGTATACGCCGCACCTTTCTCAAATTTTACACATGATCTTGTTGATTACTTAACAAGGTTCAAGAATTCTTCTAACCAGGAAATCGACTTCTGGTCTGAAGCCATCAATCGAATCATAAACTGTATAAGATTCTTGGAATACCTTATTTTTATGGAAAGTTTATCTCAGTCAATAAATACCTCTTTTAATGTAAGAAAATTGTTCAATTATATTCCTTGAATTTTCGTTATTTTCTACTTTCTATCCCCGTAAATTTATTTATTAATTATTTTTCGACCATTCAATTTGCTGCAGAGATTTCCTTCGAATTTTAATATTCGATAAATAAAAAAGGAAAAATAAATCCGTTTCTTAATTTCGAGCGTAAAAATTCCTTTGCAAAAGTTGAGAAACCGCTACCCCCAGGATCCTTCCTTAATATTTCCCCATAAATATCCCCATAAATTTATTTATTAAATATTTTCCAACCATTCAATTTGCCCCGGAGTTTTTCTTCGAATTTTAATATTCGATAAATAAAAAAGGAAAAATAAATCCGTTTCTAAATTTCGAGCGTAAAACTTGTTCGTAGAATTTTTTTGTACCAATGTTTCGACAATTTTTTTTTTTCGCCAGTTTCGCGAGCGTTTTAATTAATTTCCGGCGTCGTCGAGCGTCAGGCTGGACGAGCACGTGTCATCCTAAACCCGTTCCGCGGCGTTTTACTTTCTTCCTGTGACGCGATCCACGAAAGTGACGCAAAAATGAGTCGTCGGACGTCGCGCGACACGGTCAAAAACTGATCAAGAGAGATGCTGCGATCCGGCCGTACGACGCGAATTTCTCCGGGCGAATTTACTTTCTACACTCGCCTATTTT